TGATGTTTGGCAACTCAAACCTTCAGCTCCCTCCACAGATTTTCTATGGGATTAAGGTCTGGAGACTGGCTAGGCCACTCCAGGACCTTAATGTGCTTCTTCTTGAGCCACTCCTTTGTTGCCTCGGCCGTGTGTTTTGGGTCATTGTCATGCTGGAATACCCATCCACGACCCATTTTCAATGCCCTGGCTGAGGGAAGGAGGTTCTCACCCAAGATTTGACGGTACATGGCCCCGTCCATCGTCCCTTTGATGCGGTGAAGTTGTCCTGTCCCCTTAGCAGAAAAACACCCCCCAAAGCATAATGTTTCCACCTCCATGTTTGACGGTGGAGATGGTGTTCTTGGGGTCATAGGCAGCATTCCTCCTCCTCCAAACACGGCGAGTTGAGTTGATGCCAAAGAGCTCCATTTTGGTCTCATCTGACCACAACACTTTCACCCAGTTCTCCTCTGAATCATGCAGATGTTCATTGGCAAACTTCAGACGGGCCTGTATATGTGCTTTCTTGAGCAGGGGGACCTTGCGGGCGCTGCAGGATTTCAGTCCTTCACGGCGTTGTGTGTTACCAATTGTTTTCTTGGTGACTGTGGTCCCAGCTGCCTAGAGATCATTGACAAGATCCTCCCGTGTAGTTCTGGGCTGATTCCTCACCGTTCTCATGATCATTGCAACTCCACGAGGTGAGATCTTGCATGGAGCCCCAGGCCGAGGGAGATTGACAGTCTTTTGTGTTTCTTCCATTTGCGAATAATCGCACCAACTGTTGTCACCTTCTCACCAAGCTGCTTGGCGATGGTCTTGTAACCCATTCCAGCCTTGTGTAGGTCTACAATCTTGTCCCTGACATCCTTGGAGAGCTCTTTGGTCTTGGCCATGGTGGAGAGTTTGGAATCTGATTGATTGATTGCTTCTGTGGACAGGTAACAAACTGAGATTAGGAGCACTCCCTTTAAGAGTGTGCTCCTAATCTCAGCTCGTTATCTGTATAAAAGACACCTGGGAGCCAGAAATCTTTCTGATTGAGAGGGGGTCAAATACTTATTTCCCTAATTAAAATGCAAATCAATTTATAACATTTTTGACATGCGTTTTTCTGGATAAACCTACCATTAAAATTATAGACTAATCATTTCTTTGTCAGTGGGCAAACGTACAAAATATGCAGGGGATCAAATACATTTTTCCCTCACTGTAACCACAAAGACCAGGGAGGTTTTCCTATACCTCGCAAAGGGCACCTATTGGTAGATGGGTAAAAAAAAGCAGACATTGAATATCCCTTTGAGCATGTTGAAGTTATTAATTACACTTTGGATGGTGTATCAATAAACCCAGTCACTAAAAAGATACAGGACGTCCTTTCTAACTCAGTTGCCGGACAGGAAGGAAACTGCTCAGGGATTTCACCATGAGGCCAATGGTGACTTTAAAACAGTTACAGTTTAATGGCTGTGATAGGAGAAAACTGAGGATGGATTAAAAACATTGTAGTTACTCCACAATACTAACCTAATTGACAGAGTGAAAGAAGGAAGCCTGTACAGAATATAAATATTCCAAAACATGCATCCTGTTTGCAACAGGCACTAAAGTAATACTGCAAAAAATGTGGCAAAGTCCTGAATACCAAGTGTGATGTTTGGGACAAATCCAATGCAACACATTACTGAGTACCCCTCTCCATATTTTCAAGCATAGTGGTGGCTGCATCATGTTATGGGTATGCTTGTTATTGTGAAGGACTGGGGAGTTTTTCAGGATAAAAAATTAATGGAATGGAGCTAAGCACAGAAAAATCCTAGAGGAACACCTGGTGCAGTCTGCTTTCCACCAGATACTGGGAGATGAATTAATCTAACAGCAGGACAATAATCTAAAACACAACGCCAAATCTACACTCAAGTTGCTTACCAAGAAGACAGTGAATGTTCCTGAGTGGCTGAGTTACAGTTTTGACTTATATCCACTTGAAAATCTATGGCAAGACCTGAAAATGGTTGCCTACTAATGATCAACAACCAATTTGACAGAGCTTGAAGAATTCTGAAAATAATAATGAGCAAATGTTGCACAATCCAGGTGTGCGAAGCTCTTAGAGATTTACCCAGAAAGACTCACAGCTGTAATCACTGCCAAAGGTGCTTCTACAAAGTATTGACTCGGGGTGTTAATACTTATGTAAATTAGATATTTCTGTAGGCATATTTCATAAAAAAAAACTATGTGGTATTGTGTGTAGATGTCACGTTTGTTTAAGGACGGGTCAGACCAAGGCGCAGCGTGATATGCGTACATGTTTATTTAACTTATAAACACACGACAAAACAACAAACAAAACAAAACGTGAAGTCCAAAGGTTGAACACACAACAAACCTTACACGGAACAAGATCCCACAACTAAACAGTGCCAATCGGCTGCCTAAGTATGATCCCCAATCAGAGACAACGAGCGACAGCTGCCTCTGATTGGGAACCACACCAGCCAAACATAGATCTATATATACTAGATACACCACATAGAATATACACAACAAAGAATATACACACCCTGACTCAACATATACGAGTCCCCTGAGTCAGGGCGTGACAGTAGATGGGTAAAAAAAAAATGAATTCAGGCTGTAAATTTGTCAAGGGGTATGAATCTTCAGATCATTGGTGTCAAGGAAGAGGGTTAGCCAGTGCTCCGAGAGAGAGCAGATTCCTAGCTTCAGTGTGCCTAGAGTCACGTTACCATATTAAACAGTACACACACACACACACTTCCTTGCTGTAATGACTGGGCTTGTTTTTAGTTGAGAAACCCTCAGTCATTTCTTCTTCCCACATCAACGTCCACTGAAGCTCTCAGTGTATTCTCAGTGTATACCCCAGCATGTCATGCGTTCAGTGGCACAGCTAGCTAGCATAAATAATGCTGTAATCCAATGCAAGGATAATTAGTTTGCACCAGCCGAGGCCCGTTCAGTTCCATATAATGAGACACTATATTACATATTCTCATGCTCTGTTTAGGTTCAGAATACACGATGCCTGTATCTCGACTCGGAGAAGGCAAGAACCAGGCTTCTCCCTGAAAGAGAGTAAGCCCTTGGCTTTAATTTCATTTTTGCATTTCATATTCTGTGGATTCAATGTTTTTATTTTTATGGAGACAGTTCACATTCTTCATAAGGGCACATTTAATTGTCTCCTGTTAAATTATACATCCTAGACCTTTGATTATGTTTATTATTATCAAGTTATAATCAATATTAATTTCACTGTACTCCCCTGAGTATGGGGTGAGTGGTTGACTTAATTTACCCTTCTATTAAATAGAATAAGATGATATGACAGGATAAATAAATTATGTTGTCTCATTCCTGCCTATCAGCGAATTTTCATTTTGTAGCTCCTGTTTCTTCATAACTGAGAATTCCTCCGACATTATAGAATTCCTGCAGGCTACAGTTTTGAATTATATTGCTGTTTCTTGCTCTTGGTACAAGTACAACTGCTCTGAAGTATGAGGTGCTTGTAAGCTTTTGATTGGAAAATCTCAGGCAATAAAACCTTGGAGTTCCTCTGTAGGCCGAGAGCAACATTATTTGCTGCAAAGAGTGAAAACACAATGTAATTGCTGTTGTGAGGAGGAGGACACATTTCTGAGGGTTTGCACATGTTTATTTTAATTTTTTGTAAACCCTCCTGCCATCACAGCCAAGATGGTTTAGTATTGTGCCTGTGAGCTGTGTGAGTACCCCTCTCCTACCCCTCTCCCCTCCCCACCACCACCACCCCCCAACCTGCTTGGCTGCACACAGAGATTAATGGAGCACAAGAAAAGAGATGGTATACACACGTCACATGGCAGGAGGAGAGCGTGGGAGTGAGAGAGATAGAGAGAGAGAAAGGGGAAATCCAGGCAGTGAATCGAGGATAATGATGGGGAGAGCACTGCGTTGGATGAGGCGGAGTTGTTGAGGAATAGACAGCTGAAGATGCTGGTAGAATGACTGACTAGAATTTGGTTAAGTGCATTCAACTCAAGCAACTAACTCGGAGCGGATGGTCCGGGGGCCGGAACATAATTATAGTTTGTACACTGCAAATTGGCCAAAACTAAGCCCAAAAAGAGATTGTATTTGAAAATAACACTTATTTCATACCTTGATTACGTTGACACACAATCACGTCTTTGTGTGTGTGTGTGTGGGAATAGTTGGGAACAGATTTCCTAAATCAAACAATGACTACAATTATTTTATTAAAAGCTTTGTAAAACGCCTGTACTGACCCCAGCTCCTCCTCCTCCTCCTCCTCCTCCTCCTCCTCCTCCTCCTCCTGCCCTGCAGACTAGCAGGATTAGATTGATATTCAGATAAAACTCAGGGTCTGTTGGGATGAGCTATTTTAGAAAAACAAGTACATCCACTATTGTCATGATGCTTCATGGTCAACTGTCTGACATTCTCCTTATCATATCAAGTCCCGTGTAGCTCAGTTGGTAGAGCATGGCATTTGCAACGCCAGGGTTGTGGTTTCGATTCCCACGGGGGGCCAGTATGAAAAATGTATGCACTCACTAACTGTAAGTCGCTCTGGATAAGAGCGTCTGCTAAATGACTAAAATGTAAGTCAGACAGCAGGAAACATGATTTAGTTTTTCTCCTTTAGCTGAAATCTTAATTGGCTTCATAAAAAAGTCATTATTGTGATGATTGTTATGATATGGATTATTCATACAGGTGAGAGGGCTCCAACTGGACCCATAATTATAGAGAAGGGGTCAGTAGGTTATTAGCACTCTCCGTGCCTACACTACTTGCGGGCATCTGGGTGGCAGCCCATTGTCACATTCCACTGTGACCTCAGAGAAAAGCCTTTGAGGTTCATTTAGCCAACTCTGTGATTCCAAATGGACCGCTTTCCCTCTTTTCCTTTTCTTAACTGCAGCTTTTAGAGATGAAGTGAAGGGAGGCGTTCAGTGGGGATTAGATTGAAGCCTTTGAATATGAATTCCCTGAACATGGGGGTGCTTGGCATCGGCAGGGCAGGTGGGTGGGCGCGGGATTCATTAATAATGAATGGGCCACTTGACGTCAGAGCGCGTGATAAAAAGGTCCTGGTTGCCTAAAGTGAGCCCATAGGAGATGATAGTGGTACCTTTACCTTAACACAGGGTTTCCTAAACTCGGTTCTAGGCCCCCCGGGTGCACGTTTTGTTTTTTGTCCTAGCACTACACAGCTGATTCAAATAATCAAAGCTTGATGATGAGTTGGTTATTTGAATCAGCTGTGTAGTGCTAGGGCAAAAAATTTAAACGATTACCAGGGGGAGTTCCAGAACCAAGTTTGGGAAACTCTGCCTTAACAGACCTGCTTCCATTGTGTCATACAGCCTCACTGTCGGCCTCACTGCCCCCTTTCATCATACGGAGGAGCGGTGCTCCCTCACTTTTTTCAATTTGAGAATATACAGAGCTGGTAAAACTATTTATGGAAGATTAATTTGGATAAAGCTGTAATAAATTATATTTAATTACCACAAAATTTCCATGAAAAAAACGATAGAATGACTAACCAAATAAATATGTATAGCATCCTAGAGGTAAATGGTGGTTTCTTCTGTCTTCTGTCTGGCGGTGGCGAGAATGATGAAGAACTATAGGCTATGTGTGTGCACTGTGGAGGCCCGTCGGAGGCTTGATCACTTTGGCCAATCAAAAAAAGAATCTGCGTGTGTCTGCCTTGATGTTCATAAAACTCCCCGAACCCCCTCTTGCGAAGTGGAACCCAGAACGATATGTGACCACTTGGCTACAGTGACACTGTTCTGCCGAGGACACCCAAACTAGAGTGGCCACCGCAAAGCCCAAGGAGCCTGACCCTCTCTGGAAGATGCTGTAGCCCTGGTTGGGATGCAGTATTTAGCCTACATTGGCTATTGGTTGAGACGCAGGGCCTGTTCTAGCTTGGTATGTCAGGGTAGGCAATTGGAATTGTGAATTGGGCCAAGTTGGAGATAATAAAGCATTTAGGTTATAGTTTATTGAGATGCATGAATGCACCACATCAAAGCTTGATTTGATGGCTGTTTTAAAACAAATGTCCTACAATTCTTTGTAGTAATGTTCACTACTTGGTCAATGGATTTGATAGAATGTTTAATCTATGCAAATACATTATATGAATTGATAGTTTACCTCTGTTTTCTTTTATTCTGTAATAGGGTATATTGTAGCCATGTGTTCAAGCTAATCAAATAAAAGTTTATCCATGATACAGCGTGTAAGCTACACAATGCAAGGAAATGCCTACTTGCAATAAAGCTGTCCTCACAAACAGTGCAATGATATTAAGATATACGGTACCAGTCAAAGGTTTGGACACACCTACTCATTCCAGGGTTTTTCTTTATTTTTACTATATTCTACATTGTACATAAAAACTATGAAATAACACAAATGGAATCAGGTAGTAACCAAAAAAGTGTTAAACAAATCAAAATATATTTTATATTTGAGATTATTCAAAGTAGCCACCCTTTGCCTTCATGACAGCTTTGCACAATCTTGGCATTCTCTCAACCAGCTTCATGAGATAGTCACCTGGAATGCATTTCAATTAACAGGTGTGCCTTGTTAAAAGTTAATTTGTGGAATTTCTTTCCTTCTTAGTGTGTTTGAGCCAATCAGTTGTGTTGTGACAAAGTAGGGGTGGTATACAGAAGATAGTCCTATTTGGTAAAAGACCAAGTCCATATTATGGCAAGAACAGCTCAAATAAGCAAAGAGAAATGACAGTCCATCATTACTTTAAGACATGAAGGTCAGTTAATCTGGAAGATTTCAAAAACGTTGAACGTTTCTTCAAGTGCAGTTGCAAAAAACATCAAGCGCTATGATGCAACTGGATCTCATGAGGACCATCACAGGAAAGGAAGACCCAGAGTTACCTCTGCTGCAGAGGATAAGTTCATTAGAGTTAACTGCACCTCAGACTGCAGCCCAAATAAATGCTTCACACAGTTCAAGTAACAGACACATCTCAACATCAACTGTTAAGAGGAGACTGCGTGAATCAGGCCTTCCTGGTCGAATTGCTGCAAAGCAACCACTACTAAAGGACACCAATAAGAAGAAGAGACTTGCTTGGGCCAAGAAACACGAGCAATGGACATTAGACCAGTGGAAATCTGTCCTTTGGTCTGATGAGTCCAAATTTGAGATTGTTGGTTCCAACCGCCGTATCTTTGTGAGACGCAGAGTAGGTGAACGGATGATCTCTGCATGTGTGGTTCCCACAGTGAAGCATGGAGGAGGAGGTGTGATGGTGTAGGGGTGCTTTGCTGGTGACACTGTCTGTAATTTATTTAGAATTCAAGGCACACTTAACCAGCATGGCTACCACAGTATTCTGCAGCGATATGCCATCCCATCTGGTTTGCGCTTCATGGGACTATCATTTGTTTTTCAACAGGACAATGATCCAAAACACACCTCCAGGCTGTGTAAGGGCTATTTGACCAAGAAGGAGAGTGATGGAGTACTGCATCAGATGACCTGGCCTCCACAATCACCCGACCTCAACCTAATTGAGATGGTTTGGGATGAGTTGGACCGCAGAGTGAAGGAAAAGCAGCCAACAAGTGCTCAGTATATGTGGGAACTCCTTCAAGACTGTTGGAAAAGTATTCCTCATGAAGCTGGTTGAGAGAATGCCAAGAGTGTGCAAAGCTGTCATCAAGGCAAAGGGTTGCTACTTTGAAGAATCTCAAATATAAAATATATTTGGATTTGTTTAACACTTTTTTGGTTACTACATGATTCCATGTGTTATTTCATAGTTTTGTTGCCTTCACTATATTCTACAATGTAGAAAATGTGAAGCATTTATGTCTCCTGAGTGGCACAGTGGTCTAAGGCACTGCATCGCAGTGTTAACTGTGCCACTAGAGATCCTGGTTCGAATCCAGGCTCTGTCGCAGCCGGCCGCGACCGGGAGACTCATGGGCGGCGCACAATTGTCCCAGCGTCGTCCAGGGTAGGGGAGGGAATGGCCGGCAGGGATGTAGCTCAGTTGTTAGAGTTGAACCAGAACCGAATATAATAGCATAGCATAGTAGGCCTATAACGTTACTCTTACACCAAAAACACCTCCTCATTTCTAACAAGATTTTAGGATGGTTAGCTAAAGCTGAATAGTCCAAAAAAATAATGCGCCAAAACGAAACAGAGCGCTCCACTAGGCAGGATATATGCTTTGATTGAAACAAAATACAAGAAAGGCTAATAGCTCTAATTCACTCACGAAACAGTAATTCAAAACTTTGTGTTTGAGGGTATTAAAAATATAAAATGGTCTTATGCAGCAAACCTTTTCAGCCCAGAGAGGTGTGGGTTATTAATAGGTTTGTTTTTAGAAACCTGAATCTCTAGATTGATTGACCCATTGACCCCATTTTGTTTAACCCATTACAGTATGCCTCATGCTTTCTTTCTCTCTGTCTGTTTTGCAGTGAAGAAAGCCCAACTCGATGGAGCACACGGTGAGTTGAGATATGTTTGACCATGTTTGACTTAGTATTAAAAAGTCTTAGAAACACTGGTTTGTTTTACAATAAGACTGATATTCCTTGTTGTTCCACAGAGAAATGTAACACCTATGTGACGCTGAAAGTGCAGAATGTCAAGAGCACCACCATCGCTGTGCGGGGCGCCCAGCCATGCTGGGAACAGGACTTCATGTTGTGAGTCTTCTTCCTCCTCTTTTCCTCTTCCTTATTTCTCCTCCTCTTCACCCTCTCTCCTCCTCTTTGTCCTTTCTCCTCCTCTTCCCCCTCTGTCCTCCTCTTTGTCCTTAGTCCTCCTCTTACTCCTTCTCCCCCCACTCCTCTTTATCTCTTCTCCTTTTCCTTCTTTTTCCTCCTCTTCCTCTTCTCTCTCTCTCTCTCTCTCTCTCTCTCTCTCTCCTCTCTCTCTCTCTCCTCTCTCTCTCTCTCTCTCTCTCTCTCTCTCTCTCTCTCTCTCTCTCTCTCTCTCTCTCTCTCTCTCTCTCTCTCTCTCTCTCTCCCCCCATAGGAAAGACTTACTAGTTTCTCTCTCCACACATTGAGCTGCCCTGGGTTCTCAGTGCTCTCTCAGTGATGAGATTAGAAGGTGCTGGAGGCCTGATCTCAGATGCAAGATATGCTACTGTTGAGCTTCCCAAGACAGCCAGCCAGTCATCCAGTTAGCCAGGCAGGCAGTTACACTAATGTGTTAACACCAGAGAGCACACATGTTGTGTAACACGGACTGCAGGGACTCCTGAATAAATGTTTTAAGTAGTGACGTCTAAGGTGCCCAACAGAGCCACTCACTGGTTGTGCAACAGTCAAGGGAAAGGATTAACATTAAGTTATTTTTCTGAAGTATTTCTTAACTGATAATAGGAGCAGGATGTTGCCCAGAAACAGCAGAAGAGTGAATAATAGATGATAATCACTATCTCTCTCCTGCATTTCTTAGATTCCTAAAGCTGCTAAACATCAACCTACCCAATGCCAACATCAGATGCTTGCGAGATTACTACCTGGGCTCTCAAGATAAATATATGTTTTCATATTAAAGCAGGTGCTTTTAACATTGCTGTTAAGTTTCAGTTCTGTTGGAGGCTTTAGCTGCTCCATGTCATTAGCCAGCTAGCACTGCAAAACAACTAACTACATGCACTGCACGCTCCATTTGCTCCGGCGTGGTTATTTTTACCTCAGTCTCGTTAGCCCAGTGGCTAGTTAGCTAATGTTAGCTAACATTAGCTAGTTGACGTGAAGCCTCTTGGCGCCATTCAGGAGTTTCGACCAAAACTCGATGATGGATGAGTCAAAGGCGAGTTCTGTCACTCCTGGTACCATGTTGTATCTTCTTGTCTAAGAAATACTAAAGAAAACAACTGTTCTTTAAAATATAAGTCCTTCTTTATTCAAGTTAACCGGAGCCGTATATGTATACTGCATTGAGCTGGGATCTCCCGCTCTCCCACCTCTGTGAGCGGGCTGCGCGTCCCCTAAGTGGTCACGTGGCCTCCGATACAATCTGCCACAGTATTCAGGACATAAAGTTCATTTCTTTGCCAATTTTACGGCAGTTTTACTTTAATGCCTTATTGCAAACAGGATGCATGTTCTGTACAGGCTTCCTTCTTTTCACTCTGTCATTTAGGTTACTATTGTGGAGTAACTACAATGTTGTTGATCCATCCTCAGTTTTCTCCTATCACAACCATTAAACTCTGTTACTGTTTTAATGTCACCATTGGCCTCATGGTGAAATCCCTGAGCGATTTCCTTCCTCTCCGGCAGCTGACTTAGGAAGGATGCCTGTATCTTTGTAGTGACTGGGTGTGTTGATACACCATCCAACGCGTAATGAATAACTTCACCATGCTCAAAGGGATATTCAATGCCTGCTTTTTTCCCCTCCCATCTATCAATAGGTGCCCTTCTTTGTGAGGCATTGGAAAGTTATTATGTGACTGTAAGGAAATGTTTACTCCTGAACTCATATATGCTTGCCATAAAAAAGGGGTTGAATACTTATTGACTCTAGACATTTCAGCTTTTCATTTTTAATACATTTGTAAACATTTCTAAAAACATAATTCCACTTTTACATTATGGGGTATTGTGTGTAGGCTAGTGACACAACATCTCAATATTTTTTTTTTTTTAAATTCAGGCTTTAACGCCACAAAATATGGAAAAAGCAAAGGGGTGTGAATACTTTCTGAAGGCACTGTATATTTCCCTTCTCTTTGAGATGGGTTATATCGGTCTCCCAGTCTTTTTTGTTGCATTTCCTCATCTCATCACCTCTCTCTCTCTCTTTCTCTCTTTCTCTCTCATACTCATTTTCTCTCTCTGTCCCATCCTCTCTCATTCCTCCATTCTCTCTCTCAACCCCTCTCTCATTCTTCCCCTTCTCATCTCTCTCTCTCTCTCTCTCTCTCTCTCTCTCTCTGTCTCTCTCTATGCAGTGAGATCAACAGACTGGACCTGGGACTGACAGTTGAGGTGTGGAACAAAGGGTTAATCTGGGACACCATGGTGGGCACCTTGTGGATCCCCCTGGAAAACATCCGCCAGTCTGATGAGGTACGGTATACCCACCATGCCCCCCCCCCCCCCCCCGGCGCCCCCTTCTCCTGCCCAACCACACTCCACCCTCCTGGGTGTTCAAGGAATTTTACCAGCAGCACATCTGAGGCACAGACACAAGTACATCACGAAACTAGACTGATATTGTTTGTTGTCACAGCACATCAAAGTGTTTAAGGTGGAACACACTGCATATCAGGGATGAAAGGAGTTTAAGGCAGGGCTCCAGACTGCGACCATTTAGTCACATTTTGCAACCCTATAACTTGGCTGTGTGAGTACACCTTTTTATTCAAATCAAATCAAATTGTATTGGTTGCATACACATATTTAGCAGATGTTATTGCGGGTGTAGCGGAATGCTTGTGTTCCTAGCTGCAACAGTGCAGTAATATCTAACAATTCACAACAATGCACACAAATCTAAAAGTAAAATAATGGAATTAAGAAAATATAAAAATATTAGGACGAGCAATATATGTACAGTTGAAGTCGGATGTTTACATACAACTTAGCCAAATACATTTAAACTCAGTTTTTCACAATTCCTGACATTTAATCCTTGTAAAAATTCCCTGTCTTAGGTCAGTTAGGATCACCACTTTATTTTAAGAATGTGAAATGTCAGAATAATAGTAGAGAGAATGATCTATTTCTGCTTTTATTTCTTTCATCACATTCCCAGTGGGTCAGAAGTTTACATACAAATCAAATCAAATCACATTTTATTGGCCACATGCGCTGAATACAACAGGTGCAGACATTACAGTGAAATGCTTACTTACAGCCCTTAACCAACAGTGCATTTATTTTTAATAAAAAAGTAAAATAAAACAACAACAAAAAAGTGTTGAGAAAAAAAGAGCTGAAGTAAAATAAAATAACAGTAGGGAGGCTATATATATAGGGGGGTACCGGTGCAGAGTCAATGTGCGGGGGCACCGGCTAGTTGAGGTAGTTGAAGTAATATGTACATGTGGGTAGAGTTAAAGTGACTATGCATAAATAATTAACAGAGTAGTAGCAGCGTAAAAAGATGGGGTGGGGGGTGGGGGTTGGGGGGCAGTGCAAATAGTCCGGGTAGCCATCATTAGCTGTTCAGGAGTCTTATGGCTTGGGGGTAGAAGCTGTTGAGAATTATTTTGGACCTAGACTTGGCACTCCGGTAACGCTTGCCGTGCGGTAGCAGAGAGAACAGTCTATGACTAGGGTGGCTGGAGTCTTTGACTATTTTTAGGGCCTTCCTCTGACACCGCCTGGTATAGAGGTCCTGGATGGCAGGAAGCTTGGCCCCAGTGATGTACTGGGCCGTACGCACTACCCTCTGTAGTGCCTTGCGGTCGGAGGCCGAACAGTTGCCATACCAGGCGTTGATGCAACCAGTCAGGATGCTCTCGAAGGTGCAGCTGAAGAATCTTTAGACGATCTGAGGACCCATGCCAAATCTTTTCAGTCTCCTGAGGGGGAATAGGCTTTGTCGTGCCCTCTTCACGACTGTCTTGGTGTGTTTGGACCATGATAGTTCGTTGGTGATGTGGACACCAAGGAACTTGAAGCTCTCAACCTGTTCCACTACAGCCCCGTCGATGAGAATGGGGGCGTGCTCAGTCCTCTTTTTTTTCCTGTAGTCCACAATCATCTCCTTTGTCTTGGTCACGATGAGGGAGAGGTTGTTATCGTGGCACCACACGGCCAGGTCTCTGACCTCCTCCCTATAGGCTGTCTCATCGTTGTCGGTGATCAGGCCTACCACTGTTGTGTCATCGGCAAACTTAATGATGGTGTTGGAGTCGTGCCTGGCCATGCAGTCATGGGTGAACAGGGAGTACAGGAGGGGACTGAGCACGCACCCCTGAGGGGTCCCCGTGTTGAGGATCAGTGTGGCAGATGTGTTGTTACCTACCCTTACCACCTGGGGGTGGCCCGTCAGGAAGTCCAGGATCCAGTTGCAGAGGGAGGTGTTTAGTCCCAGGATCCTTAGCTCAATTAGTATTTGGTAGCATTGCCTTTAAATTGTTTAACTTGGGTCAAACGTTTCGGGTAGCCTTCCACAAGCTTCCCACAATAAGTCGGGTGAATTTTGGCCCATTCCTCCTGACAGAGCTGGTGTAACTGAGTCAGGTTTGTAGGCCTCCTTGCTCGCACACGCTTTTTCAGTTCTGCCCACAAATGTTCTGTAGGATTGAGGTCAGGGCTTTGTGATGGCCACTCCAATACCTTGACTTTGTTGTCCTTAAGCCATTTTGCCACAACTTTGGAAGTATGCTTGGGGTCATTGTCCATTTGGAAGACCCATTTGCAACCAAGCTTTAACTTCCTGACTGATGTCTTGAGATGTTGCTTAAATATATCCACATAATTTTCCTTCCTCATGATGCCATCTATTTTGTGAAGTGCACCAGTCCCTCCTGTAGCAAAGCACCCCCACAGCATGATGCTGCCATGCCCGTGCTTCACGGTTGGGATGGTGTTCTTCGGCTTGCAAGCCACCCTCTTTTTCCTCCAAACATAACGATGGACATTATGACCAAACAGTTTTATTTTTGTTTCATCAGATCAAAGTACATTTCTCCAAAAAGTACGATCTTTGTCCCCCTGTGCAGTTGCAAATCGTAGTCTGGCTTTTTTATGGCGGTTTTGGAGCAGTGGCTTCTTCCTTGTTGAGCGGCCTTTCAAGTTATGTCGATATAGGACTTGTTTTACTGTGGATATAGATACTTTTGTACCTGTTTCCTCCAGCATCTTAACAAGGTCCTTTGCTGTTGTTCTGGGATTGATTTGCACTTTTCGCACCAAAGTACGTTCATCTCTAGGAGACAGAACACGTCTCCTTCCTGAGTGGTATGACGGCTGCGTGGTCCCATGGTGTTTATACTTGCGTACTATTGTTTGTACAGATGAACGTGGTACCTTCAGGCATTTGGAAATTGCTCCCAAGGATGAACCAGACTTGTGGAGGTCTACAATTGTTTTTCTGAGGTCTTGGCTGATTTCTTTTGATTTTCCCATGATGTCAAGCAAAGAGGCACTGAGTTTGAAGGTAGGCCTTGATATACATCCTGTGACGAGTACTGAGTATACGAAGAGGCAGGACGCAGACGCAGGAATTAACAAGGTCAAGGTTTGCTTAACAATGACAAAGAGAAATAACAAAGATAGAGTAAATGACACGAAGCTAAACAATCACACACAACATCATCCAGAACAGTCCAGGGCTAAATAGGGGTGGTGATGAGATGATGAGGTGCAGGTAGGCTGGAGATAATTAGGGTGCGTTGGGTTTCCATTCCGTTGTTGACGAGGTGGTAAGCTCAGACCGGTGGCTCAGTAGACCGGCGGGAGGAGACGTGACAGTACCCCCCCCCCCCCCCCCCCCCCGGACACGCGACTCTTAGCCGCTGGACGTCGCCATCCAGGAGGACGACCCCGAGGACGAGGAGCGGGGTCCCGGTGGAAGTCCCGAATTAGGTTGGGGTCCAGAACGTCCCCAGCCGGAACCCAGCTCCTCTCCTCAGGACCATACCCCTCCCAGTCCACCAGGTAATGGAGCCGTCCACCACAGAACCTGGAGTCCAGCAGGTCCCTCACCGCAAATGCCGGACTCCCATCAATGTCCAGGGGCGGAGGAGGCGTACCCCGGGGGACGGCATCTGCCTGAGGACCAGGAACCACCGGCCTGAGGAGAGACACATGAAAAGTGGGTGAGACACGGTAGTGAGGTGGAAGGTGCAGCTGGTATGATACCTAATTTATCCGCCGGAGGACCTTAAACAGCCCCACAAACCGGGGGCTCAGTTTCTTGCAGGGCAGGCGGAGAAGGAGGTTTTTTGTGGACAGCCAGACACGATCCCCAGGCTGGAATACAGGGGCCTCACTGTGGTGGCGGTCGGCTTGGTCCTTCTGCCGACGAATGGCCCTCTGGAGATGGACATGGGCGGCATCCCAGACCTGTCCGGCCCTGTGGAACCACTCGTCGACAGCGGGCGCATCGGTCTGGCTTGGTGTCCAAGGGGCCAGGGCCGGCTGGTAACCCAGGACGCACTGGAAGGGAGTGAGCTCCGTGGAGGAGGGAACGAGGGAGTTCTGGGCATATTCTGCCCAGAGAAGAAATCCCGCCCACTCACCCTGCCGGTCCTTACAGTGGCAACGAAGAAACCTCCCCAGCTCCTGGTTCATGCGCTCCACCTGCCCATTCGACTGAGGCCTATACCCGGAAGTGAGGCTGGCCGCCTGGAGAGCAGAAGGAAGACCAGTTAGTGGCAAAAAACTGCATGATTTGGAGAACCGATCTACGACCACCATGACTGTGGTGAAGCCATCAGAATGTGGAAGATCGGTGACAAAGTCTATGGACAGGTGTGACCAAGGTCGCTGAGGCACTGGGAGAGGAACTAGTTTGCCTGCCGGGGCGTTCCGAGGTGTCTTCGTTTGGGCACATACGGAACAGGAGTTGACATAGTGGGAGACATCAGAAGCCAAGGTGGGCCACCAGTATTTTTGGGCTAGAGAATGCAGGGTGCGCGTAATACCGGAGTGCCCTGCCATAAGGGTAGTGTGCGCCCAGATCAGCAGGTGGTCACGGACACTGGTGGGTACATACACGCGCTCCGGAGGGGCGTTGGCAGGCGCTGGGTCCTACTGAGCCGCCAGGCGGATGTCTTTGTCCACATCCCAAACGACAGGTGCAACGAGGAGAGACGAGGGCAGGATAGGACCCCCCAGATCCTTCCTTTCTCCGGTATGGTGCATCCTGGAGAGTGCGTCGGCCTTCACATTCTGGGATCCTGGGCGGTAGGACAGAATGAATTGGAAGAGTGAAAAATTGCCCATCTGGCTTGACGAGAGTTCATCCGTTTCGCTGCCCGTATGTGCTCCAAATTCCAGTGTTCAGTAAGAATCCGGAATGGATGGAATGCACCCTCCAGCCAGTGTCTCCATTCCTCCAGAGCGAGGACCACCGCCAACAGCTCCCTGTCTCCAACTCCATAGTTCCTCTCTGCGGGGGTAACCTTTTTAGAGAAAAAGGCACATGGATACATTTTCTCTGGCTTACTGTGCCACTGGGAGAGGACCACACCCACGCCCTCCTCCGATGCGTCCACCTCCAGGATGAAAGGACGAGATGGATCTGTGTGTTTTAGGATGGGCGCTGTGGTGAACCTCTCCTTCAGCCTCTTGAAGGCAGCATCAGCCTCAGGGTTCCAGGCCAGCTTCTGAGGCCCACCCTTAAGGAGAGAGGCGAGCAGGGCGGCTATGGAGCTGAAGGACCTGATGAAACGCAGGTAGAAATTAGCGAAGCCCAGGAAGCTCTGTAGGCCCTTGATGGTGGTGGGAACTGTCCATGACCTGACGGCGTCCATCTTCACTCCTTCCATGAACAACCCCTGAGGACTGATCTGGTATTCCAGGAAGGAGATGGCCTGTTGGTGGAATTCGCATGTCTCCCCCTTCACCAACAGGCTGTGTTCCCGGAGGCGGAGTAGGACAGCTCGGACGTCCCTGACGTGCTCCTCGAACGTAGCCGAGTAGATCAGGATATCGTCGAAGTACACCACCACCTGTCTACTCAGCATCCCGGAACACATCATTGACGAAGGACTGGAACACAGAAGGTGCGTTGGCGAGGCCGTAGGGCATGACGCAGTATTCATAGTGGCCTGAGGTAGTGCTGAGTGCCGTCTTCCACTCGTCTCCTTCCCGGATTCGGATCAGGTTGTAGGCACTCCTCAGGTCCAACTTGGTAAAGTACCGGGCCCCTCGTAGCTGCTCAAAGGCCGACGGAACCAGATGGAGGGGGTACCGGTACATGGTGGGCCCCCTGTAGTCAATGCATGGTCTTAGTCCTCCGTCTTTTTTGGCCACGAAGAAGAAGCTGGCGGAGGCAGGAGAGGAAGAGCGTCTGATGAACCCCTGTTTCAGGGTCTCCGCCACATACTTCTCCATGGCCTCAGTCTCCGCCATGGAAAGGGGGTAAATGCGACTCTTCGGGGGGTGTTGTCCCTCCAGCAGGTCAATGGTGCAGTCCCAGGGCCTGTGAGGAGGGAGACACATAGCCTTTAATGAAGAGAAGACATCGGAGAAATCTGCGTACTCACGTGGAATGTTGGGCTGGAGGGCGGACACCGGACTCTCCATTGACGTGGAACAACAAACCACCGGCAGGCAGGTCTTCTGGCATGAGGTGGACCAGGCTGTGATCCTCTTGGTGCTCCAATTGATGGTGGGGTTGTGTAGTCTGAGCGAGGGCAATCCCAAGACGATTCGGTGAAGGGGTGATGTGACGATGTGGAATGACAGCTCCTCGTGGTGCTCCGGTAGTGTGGGAATGGTGATGGTGATGGGGAGAGTGATGTGCGTAATGGTGCCTGATCCAAGGGGTTTATTGTCCAGTGAGGTGACGTGTAGCGGAGATGGCAGTGGCACGGTGGGCAACCCCCATTCAGAGACCAGCTCCCTATCTATAAGGTTCCCCGCTGATCCGGAATCTATCATAGCAGTAGAAATGGAAGAGAAGGAATAACCAGTCACCGTTATGGGAACTAAAAACAATGGTTTTGTGATAGGAGCTGACGTAACACGCACGGAGCGGCGACGGGAGTCATACCGCCTCCTAGATAGGGAGCCATCAGGAGGTCCGTGGTGGTGTAGGGGGTGCTACCCACCTCCATGGGTGAGGACTCGGAAGCAGGGCGGCTTCCATAGCTCAGATGTGGTGAGCATCGAGGCTCCGGGAGGTGTTGGGAATGCCGTCTCTCTCTCAACATGTCGTCAAGACGGATGGACGTGGTGATGAGGGTATCAAGGTCCATCTCGTCGTCCCGACATGCGAGTTCCGGTGGCTCAGTAGACCGGCGAATCAGAGCGCCGGAGGGGAGCAACGGGAGGAGACGTGACACATCCACAGGTTCACCTCCAATTGACTCAAATGATGTCAATTAGCCTATCAGAAGCTTCTAAAGCCATGACATCATTTTCTGGAATTTTCCAAGCTGTTTAAAGGCACAGTCAACTTAGTGTATGTAAACTTCTGACCCACTGGAATTGTGATACAGTGAATTATAAGTGAAATAATCTGTCTGTAAACAATTGGTGTCCTAACTGACTTGCCAAAACTATAGTTTGTTAACAAGAAATTTGTGGAGTGGTTGAAAAAACGAGTTTTAATGACTCCAACCTAAGTGTATGTAAACTTCCGACTTCAACTGTATCTGTGTGTGTGTGTGTGTGTGTGTGTGTGTGTGTGTGTGTGTGTGTGTGTGTGTGTGTGTGTATGTGTGTGTGTGTGTGTGGTAGGAGGGGCCGGGGCAGTGGCTGACCCTAGACTCCCAGGTCATCATGGCTGAGAATGAGATCGCAGGCACCAAAGACCCCACCTTCCACCGCGTGCTGCTGGACACCCGATTTGAAATGCCATTAGGTCAGATGATACCCTCACTCATGTCAAATGTGCTCTCTAATGTGCCTTAAAAGTTAACTATAACCCTATCTCCTTATTATTACCTACAGTATATCTACATCATTATGTCTGAAAATATTCACAGACAATGGTAGCCTATGACTGTCAAAGTATATTGCAACCATTTGGAACCATTAGAGTGTTGTGTGTGCGTGTGCGTGCGTGCCCGCGTATGCCTGTGCATATGTGATTGTCTGTGTTTGTGTGTGTGTCCTAAGTGATTGACCAGTGAATGGGTCTTTCTGCTTCAGACATTCCAGAGGATGAGGCTCAATACTGGGCCAAGAAACTGGAGCAGCTCAACGCCATGAGGGACCAGGGCGTAAGGCATCTCTTCCTCCTCCTCTCCTCCCTTCGCGCTTACATCTTACCCGCCACAAGGCAGGGCTATCAGTAATTGCAAAAGTCATAACTTACTCTATGAATTAAATATGATGTAGACCTTGTGTGTGTGTGTGTTGCAGTACACATACCAGGAGGAGGAGAGACCTCTTCAAGCACCATCAACACAATGCTGTGAGTAGTATCCTCTTCAATCTCCTTCTCCCCTCTTTAATACAGTATCCTCTTCAATCTCCTTCTCCCCTCTTTAATACAGTATCCTCTTCAATCTCCTTCTCCCCTCTTTAATACAGTATCCTCTTCAATCTCCTTCTCCCCTCTTTAATACAGTATCCTCTTCAATCTCCTTCTCCCCTCTTTAATACAGTATCCTCTTCAATCTCCTTCTCCCCTCTTTAATACAGTATCCTCTACAATCTCCTTCTCCCCTCTTTAATACAGTATCCTCTACAATCTCCTTCTCCCCTCTTTAATACAGTATCCTCCTCCCTTTCATCCTCCCTTCTTCTTTTCACTTTCTTCATGGCCTTCCTCTTCCTCCTTCTCACTCTCCTCCGTCTCTTCCTCCTCCTCCTCTTCACTCTTCCTCTTTACTATCCCCCCTCATCCTCCTTCTTCTCATATTCACTTTATTCCTCCTCTTCTTCCTCTTCCTCTTCCTCTTCCCCTACCTCCTCCACTTCACTTTATTCCTCCCTCTCACCCTCTTCTTCACTCTCCACCTCCTGACTCTTTGGGAAGCAGATTAGAGGGGAAGCAGCAGCAGGCAGGCAGGCGTATGGAGGGAGGGAGGGAGGGAGGGAGGGAGAAAAGCTGACATGACGAATCAAGCCAGCAGGCCTGCCTCATAGCTCCACACACAGTGATTTATGGCTGCTAGCTGTGTGATGGATGTGTGCTGGCATACACTTACACTGCCCTGTCAGACACAGCCCTGTCTGTCTGATGATGACAGCCCAGGTGGGTGGGCGGAGACGTCTGTGGATGAGTCTGGACTGTGGTGGGTGTTTCAGTCTGTCAGTAGGTGTGTGTGTGTGTGTGTGTGCATGCATAACTGAGTGCGTGCGTGGGTGAGTGAGAGACGGTTTGTGAGAGACCAGCCATAAAGGTTGGTCAGTGTGTGTGCGAGTGCGTGTGCATGCATGCGTGTCTACATGCTGTGTTTCATTGAGTGTGTATGGATGGGGGCTGCTTATTCGCTGTGAGTCATAGGGAGCTGGGTTGGCAGCCCTGCGGGCTAGAGTTATGGCTGACTCCCCTCTGAGATCTGTTAATTACCACACCCTGGGCCCTCCTTGGCCCTCCATCCACCACAAGATCAGCCATCTTGCCTGCCCTGGCCTGCTCTGTCTCCAGCTCCACTCTGGGATTTACCCCCCAATCAGATTGGTTCTCTGGGGTTCAGTACCCTCACCCTGACTTGTTTATTTCCTGTCATATGGCTGTACATTATTTAACCTGAAGTTAATGGCTCAGGCCCAAATCAACATTTTCTGTGATAACTTATTACTCCCTGTCCCTGTAGGTAACTGGAGTCTGTGGGGAGACCAGCAAAGTAAGTTTTTCTAGCTTTTCACACAGTTTAGCAAACAATTTATGTTTCACTATAAATGTGATGTGTCTGCTTTTGGCCTTGGTACTGTAAACTTATGTTACCAGGTTATTAAAACTAGTCACCACATCCACTTACAGTATAAGTCACCAAGCACTCACTTGCATCCTGAGTAATGAACTTGGTCCTATAATAATCATAATATTTCAATTATTTCCTGTATGTGTAGATGAGGACCCAGATGACAGAGACAGTGACTACCGCAGTGAGACCAGTAACAGCATCCCCCCTCCGTTCTACACCAAGTCTCAGCCCAACGCCTCCATGCACCAGTACCCCATCCAGAGAGACCAGCGCTGCTCCTCGCACAACTCCTCCAACGGCTCCATTCAAGAGCTGAACTACGACAACCAGAGAGCCATCAGGTAACCTAACCTAACCTCTCTGCTGTCCTGTCCTGTCCTATCCTGTCCTCCTTATCTGGTTCATTATCTGGTTTACTCAGTCCTCAGGGTCTCAATAGGGGGTTCATCCCAATAAGTCCAAGTGGCTTCCTTTCCTTGTCTCATCTCCTTCATTTTATAATTACATTTCAGTTATTTTTTTACAAGCTGCTATCCTACAGTTGTACTAATCTAAAAACATGCAGGTTAGGTGAAATGTATAAGTTGTACCTTTCCCTTGTCCAGCTCTTTGAGATCTGTGTGGGTGAAGGAAAGAAGACGAGGAAAGGAAACGACGCTGGACTATTGAGACACACACAGCATGGATCTCACCTCCTCTTCTTAGTCAAGGGATCCATATTGACTTTGTCTCGTCTAGAGATCAACACTCTATTCCCACAGAGTAAAGCAGACTGATACAGAACAGAACAGATATGCCCCTGTGTACTTGTTTGGTTTCACATTCACACTGTTGTTACATGTTAACCTGTTGTCCCATTGTGACTTCACTGTACTCTGGCCTCACTATTAAGCCTGAAGGAGCAGTCCATGCCGTCCTTGTATACAGGCCGCATGTGAAGAGCCTCACTGGCACCCTGTCACAATGATCACAGTGTGTGTACATGTGTGCGTGCGTGTGTGTGGCTGAAAAACAGCCCCCTGTGATCACTTAGCAACTTGTTTTGCCAAAAAATCTAAACAAGTCTGTTTTTTTTGTCTGTTCATCTGTTGTTCAAAGGCGCAAGTTCACTCAAACTCATGCATTGCTAGGTGCAGCCACATTATTGCATAAAGGCTTCTCTCAGAAGTGATTATGTTTTTAGCCATATGAACCTGCAAGGTCCACTATGGCTAAAACCAATCACTCTCTATCTATCTATCTATCTATCTATCTATCTATCTATCTATCTATCTATCTATCTATCTATCTATCTATCTATCTATCTATCTATCTATCTATCTATCTATCTATCTATCTATCTATCTATCTATCTATCTATCTATCTATCTATCTATCTATCTATCTATCTATCTATCTATCTATCTATCTATCTATCTATCTATCTATCTATCTATCTATCTATCTATCTATCTATCTATCTATCTATCTATCTATCTATCTATCCATCCATCCATCCATCCATCCATCCATCCATCCATCCATCCATCCATCCATCCATCCATCCATCCATCCATCCATCCATCCATCCATCCATCCATCCATCCATCCATCCATCCATCCATCCATCCATCCATCCATCCATCCATCCATCCATCCATCCATCCATCCATCCATCCATCCATCCATCCATCCATCCATGATCTTTATGCAGTAGGTGTGCTGGGCAGTGTGTGGTTCAGTTTGGTGCGTGGACGTTGCTGTGGGTCTTTGAAAAGCCTCAGGCCGGCTCTACTGATGCTTCTCCTCTCCCCCCAACCTGCCAGATGCTATGATACTTTAGACTCAGCCACCAACGGGCGCAGCGATCTCGATTCAGCTTCAGGTTCGAGCCGGCACACCAGCCGTCAGTACTCTCTAGACAGTAGGCACTCGCTGTCCGATAGGTGGGTCTCTGCACCTCCTCTCCACCTCTTCCTCCTCTTCCTCTTCCTCCTCTTCCTCCTGCTCCAGCCTGCGAGTCTGTCCATGGTCTCGCTGTGATGTCAGTGTTGGACTTGTTCTGTCCTCGCTGTGATTGCATGCGTGCACTGTTCCACCTCGCTCTCGCTACCACATATATACGTTCCGATTCTGTATCTACCTGATAATAACTACTGCATACACACTGGTATCACACACACATGAGCTCCCCTCTCTCTGTCGTACATCTGTTGTGAAATGTGAATGAGTTCCTCTGTTGTGTGTGCTGTTATCTAAGAACTTGGAGACATAGGGGAACAGTTGTACTACATTGATGTGAGTTGCAGTGTTAAAGTGTTAGTGTGTTCTGTGTGGCTGTGGCTCCTCTGCTTCCTCTGTGTCTCAGTGGCAGCCTGTTATTACCTCGTCCTCCTATGGTGTGCCACAGTGACAAGCAGTGTTGGGGGTAATATTGTTACAGTTACTTTGTGAAACAACACATGCGTTACTTTCAGAATCATCTCTACCGGGTACGTGTTTCCATGATCTGAGCTCAACTTGTTTCCTCATTTAGTTCTCGAGCGTGCGGACAAAGGCTGTTTGGAGAAATGTCATGACAGCTGCTGTCCATAGAAATGTATAGAGGGCACATGTCTGATCTTTGCCATTGATGGCTTCTGTGATAGCAAAGGCCATAAAGCCCCACAGTGGAGGTGTCAGAATACCCTTAAGCTTATTTTAAGTGTTTCTAAAATCCCCCATGGGAAAAATGAATGGTGGAAAAACGATTGGAACCATTTCCTTGTTTGACCGCTAGGTTTTATGGGTATTATGACTCATACTGTGGTACTCTATTGAGGGCTTTCCTGTCTAGTGGCAAGTGTGCCATCTATACATCTCTATGGGTCCGTGTACATGCGGTCTATAACCAGAACTGGCAACTCGAGAGAAAGATTTTGAATGAAAAGATAGGAAATCTGTACAGATGTTTGGCTTACAGTATATATCGCGAATTAAGCAGCCCATATATAGCTCAGTACTTGTAGACTAGCACAGGAAAGCAGCACCACAGATGGAAGGAGAAACTAGTGATCAAACCTGAGTTAGTAAGTAACCTATCTTTGGTAGAGCGAGCGTGGCTCACCTTGCTCCCTCCAACAGTCAAACAAACGGTGAGATTTTCATGAAAGTAACGCAAGGTAATATAACTTGTAATATAAAGCGTTACTTTCCACACAAAGTAATATTATAAAGTAACATGTTACTATTGTTAAATGTAATGAGTAATGTGTAATATATTATTTTTCCAAGTAACTAATTCCAACACTGGTGACAAGTCCTCTTTGTTATTGTGTGTGTCTCAGTTCAATTTGTGGTAATTATGAGCTCAGGCTTTCCCCCAGCCAGTGCCAGCCCTACTGTTGGCCGAGGACCCCAGCTGTGGGGTGGCAGGAGCCATGCCTGATCAAAATGAATTGTAGCCTATCAGAGAGGGGAAGACACATGTCCTCCGGTGTGTGTTTCACTGTGCTTCTGTCCTATTGTTTGGTGTTTGATAAGGGAAATGCTGGTTTCTGACGGACAGCAGGCCTATGTGTGTCCTTGTGGGTCTATGTGTGTGTATGTGTGAGGAGAGAGAGAGAGAGAGAGAGAGAGAGAGAGAAGAGGAGAGAGGAGAGAGAGATAGAGAGAGACAGTAGAGAGAGAGATGCCATCCCTCCTCTCTCTTACTCGCTTCCTCTAGTTCTCGACTCTATCTGTCCCCCCCCCTCCCTGCTTTTTCCGTGTGTGCCTTCTGATTGACCGGGTGAGGGTCAGTATTCTGTCTGAGTGTATGTGGTTTTGTACATATGCCGTGTGTGTGTGTGTGTGTTTGGTTTCCTTTCCTCAGGTGTTCTGTTTTCCTGCCCCCCCCCCCCCCCCCTCATGCATTATTGAACCTCACTGCTCTAATCGATAGTGTTAAACGGGTGGACTTGTGTGTGTGTGCATGTGTGTGTATTGTTCCTGTCTGCTCTCTCTCTCTCTCTAACTCATGCAGCGTCTCATTCTCTTTCCCTACTCACTAATAGCCTCATTCATCATATAAATGTTTGTGTGCTGGGTCAGATCGCCTGAGTGTAGATCGTCTCTGGTCTAATCCGTTGTTGTATGCTGGTAGTGATGTTCAGTTGCTCACCTCTCCTCTCCTCCTGTCGGTCTCGGTCTCGTTCCCACCCCCCCGCCTCATGGCCTTACGAACTCATTCACTGAGAGCGAAGTATGGGTAAATGGTGGACTTCGGGTGAGATGGTGATTTGTGCTATTTGTTCCTTTCGCTCTCTTTTCATCGTTCTCACTTTCTGCGGGTCTCTTCTCTCTCCTCTGTCCTATGCTCGCATTTACATAGACGTGTTAACTTTGTCGTGCTGGGTTTTCCTCTCGCTAGCAGTGTTCGGTCCTAAATCGGCCAGCTCCGCATCTCCATATCTCTTCTATCGAAGGGTCGTCCTGACTCTTGTCTGTCGTCAGTGTCGTATTTTCTCCTGGCTGCCTTCATCATCTACTCCTCGTCTCTTCACGTCTCTTCGTCTGCTCTCCTCTCATTCCTTCTCTCTCTCTCTCTCTCTGTGGGTGCGTCATTCTCCTGCTGCCTCTCCTCTCAAAAATCCGGGTCTCTCCATCTCGTATCTGGCTCTCTCTGAAGTGCACATCTCTGTTCTCTTGCTGCTCACGTCTCCGATTTCTCTCTCTCTCTCACCTGAAAGGGTGCCATTACTTGTGAAGGCTGTTTGCCTCACGTCTTGTTTTGCTGTTTATTGTGTTGGCTCTGGGTGTTTGGGAATCTCGGTTGAATACACAGATGTGTATGTGGCGTGTGATCAAAGCATTCACCAATAATCTCTCCCTATACTGAAAAAAGACCCAGAACTACATCACCCAACCCACACTCACACACACGCATCTGTACACATGCTAGCCTATCCCTTGGTCTGGGTTGCCTTGGTTGGTTCACTACCTTTTTCCTATTACCTTAGGTTAACTGTTCTGCCGCATTCTGGTCCCCACTCTAGTTTATTCTCCCAATATGTCACCTTAACTTGCACTCTGGTCCCCACTCTGGCTCCTTATCCCAATATGACACCTTAACTTGCACTCTGGTCCCCACTCTGGCTCCTTATCCCAATATGTCACCTTAACATGCACTCTGGTCCCCACTCTGGCTCCTTATCCCAATATGTCACCTTAACATGCACTCTGGTCCCCACTCTGGCTCCTTATCCCAATATGTCACCTTAACATGCCCTCTGGTCCCCACTCTGGCTCCTTATCCCAATATGTCACCTTCACATGCTCTCTGGTCCCCACTCTGGCTCCTTATCCCAATATGTCACCTTAACTTGCACTCTGTGGGCCCCTTTGGTTCTTTAGTGTTTATAGTATATAAATAAAAAAGATATAAATAATAATAATGTATGCACTCACTAACTGTAAGTCGCTCTGGATAAGAGCGTCTGCTAAATGACTAAAATGTTTAAAAAATATATATATATAATAGTGTTTCATCCACAGTCTGGAGACATAGGGGAACAGTTGTGCTACATTGACGTGAGTTGCAGTGTTAAAGTGTTAGTGTTTTCTGTGTTGTTGTGGGTCCTCTACTTCCTCTGTGTCTCAGTGGCAGCCTGTTATTACCTCCTCCTATGATGTGTCACAGTGACAAGCAGTGTTGGGGGTAATGACATTACTTTTGTTACAGTCTGCTCTGTGTGTCTGTGTATCTGACTGTGGTTCATGTGTCTGTCTGTGTCTTTCTACAGTCCTACAGGCAGCAGTCGCTATGCCTCCTCCGGGGACCTGAGCCGAGGTAGCTCCCAGCTCAGTGAGGGGTTTGGCCCCGAGGTCGAGGGGAGCATGAGGGGCTCTGTGGAGCTCTACGATGAGAATGACGCCTACCACTCCTGTCACTCCTCTGTCAGCTACGACTGGGATCCCAACGCGCCCGATGAGGTGAACAGTGACGAGGGGAGCTACGTCAAAGATGGCAAAGAGGAGGGGGCTATTTATGACGAGGAGGAGGGCGAGCTTTACGAGCCTGAGGAGGGAGAGGGGGAGTACAACTATGAGAGAGAGGAGGAGATGGTGTACGAGGAAGATGAAGACCTCTACCCTCTTGATAGCACGCTCAGCGAGGAGCCGCACTACACCCCTCCCCCCATAAGCACAGCTCCCACGCTGGTCCCCGAGGCCTCCATCACCAGGCCTCCTCTGGAGGAACAGGCCTCCCTGAGAGAGCAGCAGCCCCAGCCCCCCACCCTGGCTCCCTCTTCCGTGGCCCCCACCACCCAAGCCCAGTCCATGCTCCCTTTCCAGCCCCCTGTCACCACAGCCTCCACTAAGCCTACCTTCACCCCCATGATCCATCCATCCCTCATCCAGCCCCCGACGCCCACAGCCCAGCCACCTGCTCCAGAGACCCAGCCTCCGGTGTCTGATGCCCTGGATGACATCCTCCTAGACCTCCAAGAGGAGGAGCCTCTGACTTTAGAGGAGGAGGTCCCTGTCGTAGAGAGCCTCCCAGCAGAAGTCCCCCCAGAGAAGATCGAGACCCCTGTCGTCAGGTGAAACCTCCACTACTGGGTTCCAAAAGGGTTCTACATGGAACCAAAAAGGGTTCAACCTGCAACCAAAAAGTGTTCTACATGGAACCTAAAGGGTTCTACCTGGAACCAAAAGGGTTCTACCTGGAACCAAACGGGTTCTACCTGGAACCAAAAAGGGTTCTTCAAAGGGTTCTGCTATGGGGACAGCCGAAGAACCCTTTTAGGTTCTAGATAGCACCTTTTTTTCTAAGAATGTGTAGTCATGTAGACAGAACACCTTCTGGTATACTACTATCACAACTATTCACTTTACTACATATACACTACATACAGTACCAGTCAAAACTTTGGACACACCTACTCATTCCAGGGTTTTTCTTTATTTTTACTATTTTCTACATTGTAGAATAATAGTGAAGACATCAAAACTATAAATAACACATATGGAATCATGTAGTAACCAAAAAAGTGTCTTCAAAGTAGCCACCCTTTGCCTTGATGACAGCTTTGCACAATCTTGGCATTCTCTCAACCAGCTTCATGAGGTAGTCACCTGGAATGCATTTCAATTAACAGGTTGTGCCTTGTTAAAAGTTAATTATTTCCTTCTTAATGCATTTGAGCCAATCAGTTGTGTTGTGACAAGGTAGGGTGGTATACAGAAGATAGCCCTATTTGGTAAAAGACCAAGCCATATTATGGCAAGAACAGCTCAAATAGGCAAGGAGAAATGACAGTCCATCATTACTTTAAGACATGAAGGTCAGTCAATCCGGAACATTTCAAGAACTTTGAAAGTTTCTTCAAGTGCAGTCGCAAAAACCATCAAGCGCTATGATGAAACTGGCTCTCATGAGGACCGCCATAGAAAAGGAAGACCCAGAGTTATCTCTGCTTCAGAGGATAAGTTAAAGCACCTCAGATTGCAGCCCAAATAAATGCTTCACAGAGTTCAAGTAACAGACACATCTCAACATCAACTGTTCAGAGGAGACTGTGTGAATCAGGCCTTCATGGTTGAATTGCTGCAAAGCAACCACTACTAAAGGACACCAATAAGAAGAAGAGACTTGCTTGGGCCAAGAAACACGAGCAATGGACGTTAGACCGGTGGAAATCTGTCCTTTGGTCTGATGAGTCCAAATTTGAGAGGATGGAGGAGGAGGTGTGATGGTGCTTTGCTGGTGACACTGTCTGTGATTTATTTAGAATTCAAGGCACACTTAACCAGCATGGCTACCACAGCATTCTGCAGCGATATACCACCCCATTTGGTTTGCACTTAGTGGGACTATCATTTGTTTTTCAACAGGACAATGACCCAAAACACACCTCCAGGCTGTGTAAGGGCTATTTGACCAAGAAGGAGAGTGATGGAGTGCTGCATCAGATGACCTGGCCTCCACAATCCCCCGACCTCAACCCAATTGAGATGGTTTGGGATGAGTTGGACCGCAGAGTGAAGGAAAAGCAGCCAACAAGTGCTCAGCATATGTGGGAACTCCTTCAAGACTGTTGGAAAAGCATTCCTCATGAAGCTGGTTGAGAGAATGCCAAGAGTGTGCAAAGCTGTCATCAAGGCAAAGGGTGGCTACATTGAAGAATCTCAAATATAAAATATATGTTTGTTTAACACTTTTTTGGTTATTACATGATTCCATAGTGCTATTTGATAGTTTTGATGTCTTCACTATTATTCTACAATGTGGAAAATAGTAAAAAACCCTTGAATGAGTTGGTGTGTCCAAACTTTTGACTGGTACTGTATACACACTACATTATTCTACGCTTGTATTACTTTCTGTTACTAGCCACTAATACCAAAAAAAATTACAATATTTTCTAACATGTAAATATCTTCTCAATGAATGCGCTCTAGTCTGAATATTCTTGTAAATTCCTCTCCCAGCTATCAGAGGTCCATCATGGAGCCTGGTCCAGACAGGGCTAGGGCCAGCTGGCAACGGCTCTGCAGCAAGGTCCGACTACAGCTGCAGCAGGTGAGACAGCCTGTGTGTGTGTGTGCTTGTGTGCATGCGTGTGTGTTTGTGTATGTGTGTGTGTGTGTGTGCATGTGCACGTGGATGTGTATGGATGGACACTATGTGGCTGCTCTCTCTGTTTCTCGCCATAATGCTGTCACTCCTTCATACAGTGCATTCGGAAAGTATTCAGACCCCTTCACTCTTTCCACATTTTGTTACGTCACAGCCTTGTTCTAAAATTGATTAAATTGTTTTTTCCCTTATCAATCTACACACAATACCCCATAATGACAAGCAAAAACAGGTTTTTAGACATTTTTGCAAACCTATTTATATAAAAATAAATGGAAATATCACATTTACATAAGTATTCAGACCCTTTGCTCAGTACTTTGTTGAAGCAACTTTGGCAGCGATTACAGCCTCGAGTCTTCTTGGGTATGACGCTACAAGCTTGGCACACCTGTATTTGGGGAGTTTCTCTCATTCTTCTCTGCAGATCCTCTCAGGCTTTGTCAGGTTAGATGGGGAGCGTCGCTGCACAGCTATTTTCAGGTCTCTCCAGAGATGTTCGATCAGGTTCAAGTCCGGGCTCTGGCTGGGCCACTCAAGGACATTCAGAGACTTGTCCCGAAGCCACTCCTGTGTTGTCTTGGCTGTGTGCTTAGGGTCGTTGTCCTGTTGGAAGGTGAAACTTCGCCCCAGTCTGAGGTCCTGAGTGCTCTGGAGCAGATTTTCATCAAGGATCTCTCTGTACTTTGCTCCGTTCATCTTTCCCTCGATCCTGACTAGTCTCCCAGTCCCTGCCAGCGAAGAAAATCCCCATAGCATGATGCTGCGACCACCATGCTTCACCGTAGGGATGGTGCCAGGTTTCCTCCAGATGTGATTCTTGGCATTCAGGCCATAGAGTTCAATCTTGGTTTCATCAGACCAGAGAATCTTGTTTCTCATGGTCTGAGAGTCTTTAGGTGCCTTTTGGCAAACTCCAAGCGGGCTGTCATGTGCCGTTTACTGAGGAATGGCTTCCGTCTGGCCACTCTACCATAAAGGCCTGATTGGTGGAGTTCTGCAGAGATGGTTGACCTTCAAGAAGGTTTTCCCATCTCCACAGAGGAACTCTGGATCTCTGTCAGTGAGACCATTGGGTTCTTGGTCACTTCCCTGACCAAGGCCCTTCTCCCCGATTGCTCAGTTTGGCCCGGTGGCTAGCTCTAGGATGGATCTTGGTGGTTCCAAACTTCTTCCATTTAAGAATGATGGAGGCCACTGTGTTCTTGGGGACCTTCAATAATTCAGACATTTTTTGGTACCCTTCCTCAGATCTGTGCCTCGACACAACCCTGTCTCGGAGCTCTTCGGACAATTCCTTCGACCTCATGGCTTGGTTTTTGCTCTGACATGCACTGTCAACTGTGGGACCTTATATAGACAGGTGTGTGCCTTTCCAAATCATGTCCAATCAATTGAATTTATCACAGGTGGACTCCAATCAAATTGTAGAAACATCTCAAGGATGATCAATGGAAACAAGATGCACCTGAGCTCAATTTCGAGTCTCATAGCAAAGGGTCTGCATAATTATGTAAATAAGGCATTACTGTTTTTTATTTTTTATAAATGTGCAAAAAATTCTAAAAACCTGTTTTCGCTTTTGTCATTATGGGGTATTGTGTGTAGATTGAGGAGGAAAACATTTCATTTAATCCATTTTAGAATAAGGCAGTAACGTATCAAAGTGTGGAAAAGGTGAATGGGTCTGAATACTTTCCCAATGCACTGTATGTCCCTGCCCTGAGGTTTCTATTCTGACGTCTGTGCCCTTTCAGTTGTGTTTCATTCACTTCTCAATCCTCTGGTTGTCTGTCATTCATGTCTCCTTCTATTACTCTGCAAATTGTAACCATGTGGATATTTTTGCCCAGCTTTATTTTGTTAAGATAATTTGTGTTTGTTTATACCCATTTTTTTCAGTTGTTTTTTTTCTCACTCCCTTAGCGATTTGCATGTTGTCCGTTCTGATTGGCCAGGGCTGGAGCCGACTGCCAGGTGGGTGTGTCTGTGGTTGGTCATGAGCGCTGCGAGTGACGATGACGTGAATGTCAGTGTCATGCTCTAAACACACAGCGAGACAAAGAGCACATATACAATTACTGGAATGGTAGCTCAGATAAGGATCGGTCACAAATCCACTTTCAACCATGTCCTTCAAACATAAAGGCCTCCCAACTAACGTTAATGAACAGCGAAATCACCCCTGGTAATGCTCTCTTGTCTCTCTGCTGGGTTTTATGGAAGACGTTATGGGTCAGTTTTTTGCCCAATGAAACACATCTTTCTTGATTTTATAGTAATAAACTCGGGTAGACTAGCCATGTGTCACGACTCCATCGTTGTAACTTACAGTTATTGTAGTGAGACAGACAGCTAGGGGCAGAAAGCTAGGGGCAGACAGCTAGAGACAGACAGCTAGAGACAGACAGCTAGAGACAGACAGCTAGGGACAGACAGCTAGGGGCAGACAGCTAGAGACAGACAGCTAGAGACAGACAGCTAGAGACAGACAGCTAGGGGCATACAGCTACACACAGACAGCTAGAGACAGACAGCTAGGGGCAGACAGCTAAGGGCAGACAGCTAGGGGCAGACAGCTAGTGACAGACAGCTAGGGGAAGACAGCTAGGGGCAGACAGCTAGGATCAGACAGCTAGAGACAGACAGCTAGGGGCATACAGCTAGAGACAGACAGCTAGGGGCATACAGCTAGAGAGACAGCTAGAGACAGAAAGCTAGGGGCATACAGCTACATACAGACAGCTAGAGACAGACAGCTAGAGACAGACACTACAGGCAGACATCTAGAGGCAGACAGCTAGGGGCAGACAGCTAGGGGCAGACAGCAAGGGGCAGACAGCTAGGGGCAGACAGCTACAGACAGACAGCTACTTACAGACAGTTACAGATAGACAGCTACCTACAGACAGCTACAGACAAACAGCTACTTACAGACAGCTACAGACAGACAGCTATAGACAGACAGCTAGAGACAGAAAGCTACAGACAGACAGCTACTTACAGACAGCTACAGATAGACAGCTACCTACAGACAGCTACAGACAAACAGCTACTTACAGACAGCTACAGACAGACAGCTATAGACAGACAGCTAGAGACAGAAGCTACAGACAGACAGCTACTTACAGACAGCTACAGACAGACAGCTACTTACAGACAGCTACAGACAGACAGCTACATACAGACAGCTACAGACAGCTATAGACAGACAGCGACAGACAGACAGCTACATACATACAGCTATAGACAAACAGCTACAGACAGACAACCATAGATAGACAGCTACAGACAGCTATAGACAGACAGCTATAGACAGACAGCTACATACAGACAGCTACAGACAGACAGCTATAGACAGACAGCTATAGACAGACAGCTACAGACAGACAGCTAGAGACAGACAGCTACAACAGACAGCTATAGACAGACAGCTATAGACAGACAGCTAGGGGCAGACAGCTATATACAGACAGCTATAGACAGACAGCTACAGACAGACAGCTAGAGACAGACAGCTACAGACAGACAGCTATAGACAGACAGCTATAGACAGACAGCTACAGACAGACAGCTACAGACAGACAGCTACATACAGACAGCTAGAGACAGAGAGCTACAGACAGACAGCTACATACAGACAGCTACTTACAGACAGCTAGATACAGACAGCTAGGAGCATACAGCTATAGACAGACAGCTACTTACAGACAGCTACAGACAGACAGCTACAGACAGATAGCTACAGACAGACAGCTATAGACAGACAGCTATAGACAGACAGCTAGAGACAGACAGCTATAGACAGACAGCTACAGACAGACAGCTACATACAGACAGCTACAGACAGACAGCTATAGACAGACAGCTAGAGACAGACAGCTACAGACAGCTACATACAGACAGCTAGAGACAGACAGCTACAGACAGACAGCTACATACAGACAGCTACATACAGACAGCTAGGTGCAGACAGCTATAGACAGCAGACAGTTATAGAGAGACAGCTATAGACAGACAGCTACTTACAGACAGCTACAGACAGACAACTACAGACAGACAGCTAGAGACAGACAGCTACAAACAGACAGCTACAGACATACAGCTATAGACAGACAGCTAGAGACAGACATGTACATACAGACAGCTACATACAGACAGCTAGAGACAGACAGCTACTTACAGACAGCAACAGACATACAGCTATAGACAGACAGCTATAGACAGACAGATACAGACAGACAGCTAAAGACATACAGCTATAGACAGACAGCTAGAGACAGACAGCTACAGACAGACAGCTACATACAGACAGCTAGAGACAGACAGCTACAGACAGACAGCTACATAAAGACAGCTAAAGACAGACAGCTAAAGACAGACAGCTACAGACAGACAGCTATAGACAGACAGATACAGACAGAGAGCTAAAGACATACAGCTATAGACAGACAGCTAGAGACAGACAGCTACAGACAGACAGCTACATACAGACAGCTAGAGACAGACAGCTAGAGACAGACAGCTATAGACAGACAGCTACAGACAGACAGCTAAAGACAGACAGCTATAGACAGACAGCTACAGACAGACAGCTATAGACAGACAGCTAGAGACAGACAGGTACAGACAGACAGCTACATACAGACAGCTAGAGACAGACATCTAGAGACAGACAGCTACAGACAGACAGCTATAGACAGACAGCTACAGACATACAGCTATAGACAGACAGGTACAGACAGACAGCTACAGACAGACAGCTATAGACAGACAGCTAGAGACAGACAGGTACAGACAGACAGCTACATACAGACAGCTAGAGACAGACATCTAGAGACAGACAGCTACAGACAGACAGCTACATACAGACAGCTACATACAGACAGCTAGGTGCAGACAGCTATAGACAGCAGACAGCTATAGAGAGACAGCTATAGACAGACAGCTACTTACAGACAGCTACAGACAGCTACAGACAACAATAGACAGACAGCTAGAGACAGACAGCTACAGACAGATAGCTACTGACATACAGCTATAGACAGACAGCTAGAGACAGACAGCTATAGACAGACAGCTACATACAGACAGGTACATACATACAGCTACAGACAGACAGCTAGAGACAGACAGCTACATACAGACAGCTAGAGACAGACAGCTAGAGACAGACAGCTACATACAGACAGCTAGAGACAGACAGCTAGAGACAGACAGCTACAGACAGACAGCTATAGACAGACAGCTACAGACAGACAGCTACAGACATACAGCTATAGACAGACAGCTAGAGACAGACAGCTACAGACAGACAGCTATAGACAGACAGCTAGAGACAGACAGGTACAGACAGACAGCTACATACAGACAGCTATAGACAGACAGCTATAGACAGACAGCTAGAGACAGACAGCTACATACAGACAGCTATAGACAGACAGCTAGAGACAGACAAGTACAGACAGACAGCTACATACAAACAGCTAGAGACAGACAGCTACAGACAGACATCTACATACAGACATCTGGAGACAGACAGCTAAATACAGACAGCTAGAGACAGACAGGTACAGACAGACAGCTACATACAGACAGGTACATACATACAGCTATAGACAGACAGCTACATACAGACAGCTACATACAGACAGCTACAGACAATCAGCTAGAGACAGACAGCAACATACAGACAGCAATAGACAGACAGCTACAGACATACAGCTATATACAGACAGCTATAGACAGACAGCTACATACAGACAGGTACAGACAAACAGCTAGAGACAGACAGGTACAGACAGACAGGTAGAGACAGACAGCTACATACAGACAGCTAGAGACAGACAGGTACAGACAGACAGCTAGAGACAGACAGCTACATACAGAAAGCTAGAGACAGACAGGTACAGACAGACAGCTAGAGACAGACAGCTACATACATACAGCTATAGACAGACAGCTATAGACAGACAGCTACAGACAGACAGCTAGAGACAGACAGCTACATACAGCTAGAGACAGACATCTAGAGACAGACAGCTAGAGACAGACAGCTACAGACAGACAGCTACAGAAAAACAGCTACAGACAGACTGATACATACAGACAGCTAGAGACAGACAGGTACAGACAGACAGGTACAGACAGACTGCTACATACAGACAGCTAGGCACAGACAGGTACAGACAGACAGGTACAGACAGACACCTACATACAGACAGCTACAGACATACCGGTACATACAAACAGCTAGAGACAGACAGCTATAGACAGACAGCTACAGACAGACAGCTAGAGACAGACAGCTACATGCATACAATTAGAGACAGACAGCTAGAGACAGACAGCTACAGACAGACAGCTACATACAGACAGCTAGAGACAGACAGCTACATACAGACAGCTACAGACAGACAGCTACAGACAGATAGCTACAGACAGACAGCTAGAGACAGACAGCTATAGACAGACAGCTATAGACAGACAGCTACAGACAGCCAGCTACATACAGACAGCTACAGACAGACAGCTATAGACAGACAGCTAGAGACAGACAGCTACATACAGACAGCTACATACAGACAGCTAGGTGCAGACAGCTATAGACAGCAGACAGCTGTAGAGGGACAGCTATAGACAGACAGCTACTTACAGACAGCTACAGACAGACAACTATAGACAGACAGCTAGAAACAGACAGCTACAGACAGACAGCCACAGACATACAGCTATAGACAGACAGCTAGAGACAGACAGGTACAGACAGACAGCTACTTACAGACAGCTACAGACAGACAGCTACAGACAGACAGCTACAGACAGACAGCTACAGACAGACAGCTACAGACAGACAGCTACAGACAGACAGCTACAGACAGACAGCTTCATACAGACAGCTAGAGACAGACTGCTAGAGACAGACAGCTACATACAGACAGCTAGCAACAGACATCTACAGACAGCTATAGACAGACAGCTACAGACAGACAGCTAATGACATACAGCTACATACAGACAGCTAGAGACAGACAGCTACAGACAGACAGCTACATACAGACAGCTAGAGACAGACAGGTACAGACAGACAGCTACATACAGACAGCTAGAGACAGACAGCTACAGACAGACAGCTATAGACAGACAGCTACAGACAGACAGCTACAGACATACAGCTATAGACAGACAGCTAGAGACAGACAGCTACAGACAGACAGCTATAGACAGACAGCTATAGACAGACAGCTATAGACAGACAGCTAGAGACAGACAGCTACATACAGACAGCTATAGACAGACAGCTAGAGACAGACAGGTACAGACAGACAGCTACATACAAACAGCTAGAGACAGACAGCTACAGACAAACATCTACATACAGACAGCTAGAGACAGACAGGTACAGACAGACAGCTACATACAGACAGGTACATACATACAGCTATAGACAGACAGCTATATACAGACAGCTACATACAGACAGCTACATACAGACAGCTACAGACAGACAGCTAGAGACAGACAGCTACATACAGACAGCAATAGACAGACAGCTGCAGACATACAGCTATATACAGACAGCTATAGACAGACAGCTACAGACAGACAGCTAGAGACAGACAGCTACATACAGACAGGTACAGACAGACAGCTAGAGACAGACAGGTACAGACAGACAGCTAGAGACAGACAGCTACATACAGACAGCTAGAGACAGACAGGTACAGACAGACAGCTAGAGACAGACAGCTACATACAGACAGCTAGAGACAGACAGCTATATACAGACAGCTACAGACAGACAGCTAGAGACAGACAGCTACATACAGCTAGAGACAGACAGCTAGAGACAGACAGCTACAGACAGACAGCTACAGACAGACAGACAGACAGCTACAGACAGACAGCTACAGACAGACAGATACATACAGACAGCTAGAGACAGACAGGTACAGCCAGACAGGTACAGACAGACAGCTACATACAGACAGCTAGAGACAGACAGGTACAGACAGACAGGTTCAGACAGACAGCTACATACAGACAGCTACAGACAGACAGCTACATACAGACAGCTATAGACAGACAGCTACAGAATGACAGCTACAGACAGACAGCTAGAGACAGACAGCTACAGACAGACAGCTAGAGACAGACAGCTACATACAGACAGCTACAGACAGACAGCTACAGACAGACAGCTATAGACAGACAGCTACAGACAGACAGCTGTAGACAGACAGCTAGAGACAGACAGCTAGAGACAGACAGCTAGAGACAGACAGCTATAGACAGACAGCTAGAGACAGACAGACATACAGACAGACAGCTAAGACAGACAGCTACAGACAGACAGCTATAGACAGACAGCTAGAGACAGACAGCTGTAGACAGACAGCTAGAGACAGACAGCTAGAGACAGACAGCTATAGACAGACAGGTACATACAGACAGCTATAGACAGACAGCTAGAGACAGACAGCTAGAGACAGACAGCTGTAGACAGACAGGTACATACAGACAGTTACAGACAGACAGCTAGAGACAGACAGCTACAGACAGACAGGTACAGACAGACAGCTACAGACAGACAGGTACAGACAGACAGGTACAGACAGACAGCTACAGACAGACAGGTACAGACAGACAGCTAGAGACAGACAGGTACAGGCAGACAGGTACAGACAGACAGCTAGAGACAGACAGCTACAGAAAGTCAGGTACAGACAGACAGGTACAGACAGACAGCTATAAACAGACAGCTAGAGACAGACAGGTACACACAGACAGGTATAGACAGACAGCTATAGACAGACAGCTACAGACAGACAGCTAGAGACAGACAGCCTACATACAGCTAGAGACAGACAGCTAGAGACAGACAGCTATAGACAGACAGCTACAGACAGACAGCTAGAGACAGACAGCTATAGACAGACAGCTACAGACAGACAGCTACAGACAGACAGCTAGAGACAGACAGCTATAGACAGACAGCTACAGACAGACAGCTATGGGTTTGATATTGTAGAGCTAATAAAACAATTTCCAGGGGTACTATGTGCCAATCACTCCTCCCCCTGTCTCACCCCCCTCTCCACAGGCTCGGGGGGAGTCCGTTGGGATTTGCTCCTTGTTGCTATCAGCAGGGTAAGTGTCTATCACTATCACACCCACATACATGATAATAGTAGTATAATAATCGTTGTGTTAGTTGTATTGTGTTTATCGTTGTTTTCTACATTTGCGTGACTGTATCAGTGTTTTGTTACTTGTCATGTTTTGTGTTTTTTTGTGGATCCCAGGAAGAATAGCTGTTGCTTCTGCAAAAGCTAATGGGTATCTGAAGAAACCAATAAACCAATAAGAATCAAATCAAATCAAATCCAATTGAATTTGTCACATGCGCCGAATACAACAGGTGTAGACCTTACTGTGAGATGCTTACTTACAAGTACTTAACCAACAATGCAGTTTTTAAAAAAAGAGTTAAGAAAATATTTACTAAATAAACTAAAGTAAAAAGAAAGTAACACAATAAAATAACAATAACGAGGCTATATACAGGGGGTACCGGTACCGAGTCAATGTGCGGGGGTACAGGTTAGTCGAGGTAATTGAGGTAAGATGTACCGGTAGGTAGGGGTAAAGTGACTATGCATAGATAATAAACAGCGAGTAGCAGCAGCGTAAAGAAAATGGGGGGTCAATGCAAATAGTCAGAGTAGCCATTTGATTAACTGTTCAGCAGTCTTATGGCTTGGGAGTAGAAGCTGTTCAGGAGCCTTTTGGACCTAGACTTGGCGCTCCGGTACTGCTTGCCGTGCGGTAGCAGAGAGAACAGTCTATGACTAGGGTGGCTGGAGTCTTTGACAATTTCTAGGGCCTTCCTTTGACACCGCCTGGTATAGAGGTCCTGCATAGCAGGATGCTTGGCCCCAGTGATGTACTGGGCCGTACGCACTACCCTCTGTAGCGCCTTGCGATCGGAGGCCGAGCAGTTGCCATAGAAGGCGGTGATGCAACCAGTCAGGATGCTCTCGATAGTGCAGCTGTATAACTTTTAGAAGATCTGAGGACCCATTGCCAAATCTTTTCAGTCTCTTCACGACTGTCTTGGTGTGTTTGGACCATGATAGTTTGTTGGTGATGTGGACACCAAGGAACTTGAAGCTCTCAACCTGTTACACTACAGCCCCATCGATGAGAATGGGGGCGTGCTCGGTCCTCCTTTTCCTGTAGTCCACGATAATCTCCTTTGTCTTGATCACGTTGAGGGAGAGATTGTTGTCCTGGCACCACACTGCCAGGTCTCTGACCTCCTCCCTATAGGCTGTCTCATCGTTGTCGGTGATCAGGCCTACCACCGTTGTGTTGTCAGCAAACTTAATGATGGTGTTGGAGTCATGCTTGGCCACGCAGTCATGGGTGAACAGGGAGTACAGGAGGGGACTAAGCACGCACCCCTAAGGGGCCCCCGTGTTGAGGGTCAGCGTGTCAGATGTGTTGTTGCCTACCCTTACCACCTAGGGGCGGCCCGTCAGGAAGTCCAGGATCCAGTTGCAGAGAGAGGTGTTTAGTTCCAGGGTCATTAGCTTAGTGATGAGCTATAAAGCTTCACAACATGAAATAATACAAAACTGTATGACATTTTGAGCAAATAGTTGGAGTGAAGTTGGTCCCAGATTTGGTTGTGTTGCCTATTATCATTGTCATCTGTCAGTGGTGGTGGTGGATGTGGATGTTGTGGTGATGAGGGATGTTTGTGGTGAATGAAGGAATGTTGTGGGGTTGATTGGAGGTGTTGTGGTGATGAGGATGTTGTGGGTGATGTGGGATGTGTTGGTGAGTGGATGTTGTGGTGTGAGGATGTTGTGGGTGATTTGGATGTTTTGGTGATGAGGAGTTGTGTGATGTGGATGTTGTGGTGATGTGGATGTTTTGTGGTGATGAGTGATGTGGATGTTGTGTGGATGGGATGTTGTGGTGAGTGGATGTTGTGTGATGTGGATGTGTGGTATGAGTTGTGGTGTGGATGTGTGTGGGTGGTGTGATGAGGATGTTGTGGTGATGTGGATGTTGTGGTGATGAAGATGTTGTGGTGATGTGGATGTTGTGGTGATGAGGATGTTGTGGTGATGTGGATGTTGTAGTGATGAGGATGTTGTCGTGATGTGGATGTTGTGGTGAAGAGGATGTTGTGATAACAAGGGCGCTGTGTTTGTGTGGTTTCTCCCCATGCAGGGTGGGTGGTGCGCTGTATAGCATCGACAGCATGCCGGACCTCCGCAAGAGGAAAGCCATGCCTCTGGTCAGGGACCTGGTCAGTGTAAGTTCTGACCATATACTAAATATATTTTACTCTATATTCTCTCTCTCTCTCTCTCTCTCTCTCTCTCTCTCTCTCTCGCTATCTCGCTCTCTCTCTCTCTCTCGCTCTCTCGCTCTCTCGCTCTCTCTCTCTCTCTCTCTCTCTCTCTCTCTCTCTCTCTCTCTCTCTCTCTCTCTCTCTCTCTCTCTCTCTCTCTCTCTGTGGCTCTCTCTCTCTCTACCCTGTCCTGCTGTCTCTGCCTGAGGAGCTCAGCCCCAGCACCAGGGTCAATGGTCTCTTCTGATGGCCACTGAGACCTGCCTTGGAGAGGCTGTCAGACCCTAGCCCTCCCCCACCTCCCAGAGCATGTCACTCTGTCCTTTGTTCTCTGCTCTCTGACGCTGCTCACCCTGGATGTGTGCCATGTTGACCAATGGAATGCTGTGTAGAGGAGAGTGGAGAAATAATCCTGGATAGCTACATCCTACTGTACTGTACGTGAACACTCATAGCCTTCTTGTCTGTCCCAATAAAGATTGAATAGAGTAGATTATTTTCATTGGAGTAGTATACAGAGGGATAGTGACATTATTGGGCTCCAGATGGAGACAGTAATAATTCCAGAGCAAGAATTAACATACAGGACTAAATAGCTCAGCACTTTGTCTCTATGAATCCAGTTTACTGTCAGACTGTACAACCCACACACTCGCGCGAGCATGAACACACACACGGAGATGCAGATACACTACCAGTCAAAAGTTTGGACACACCTACTCATTCAAGGGTTTTTCTTTATTTTTACTATTTTCTACATTGTAGAATAATAGTGAAGACATCAAATCTATGAAATAACACGTATGAAATCATATAGTAACCAAAAAAGTGTTAAACAAATCAAAATATATTTTATATTTGAGATTCTTCAAATAGCCACACTTTGCCTTCATGAATGATTTGCACACTCTTGGCATTCTCTCAACCAGCTTCATGAGGTAGTCACTTTTTTGGTTACTACATGATTCCATATTATTTTTTCATCGTTTTGATGTCTTCACTATTATTCTACAATATAGAAAATAGTAAAAATAAAGAAAAACCCTTGAATGAGTAGGTGTGTCCAAACTTTTGACTGGTACTATATCTTATTTATCACACGCATACAGCATACAGATACAGAGCCTTTGAGTGGAAATTCTGTCAGAAAGCGCAAGAGCTGCTGCCTGTGACGCTTTCATGACAACTGGGAACTCTGAAAAATACGAGGTAAAATCATGATGTCAGTGATCTTCAGGTCGGAAAGTCGGATCTCTAGAAAGAGGCCTGAGTTCCTGAGTTTGAATTCTGAGTGGACGACCGTTCAAAACAATTTTCACAGTCGGAGCTTGTTTTTTTTCCAAAGTTCCCAGTTGTCCTGAACACACTGAAGGCGGAAGTCAGAGATTTATGAGTTCCCAGTAGTTATGAACACTTCATCAAACAGCAAGGGTAGGAAGGCTTCATCAGCGAGCCACACACCACTTTGCAATGAGCTGGAGGCGGTATGCATTTTGAAAACATATACTTAATTGTTTGAAACCTGAACGTTTTAATATATATTATGAGGCATGTCTTACCTTACTTCAAAGTAGCCTATTAGATCTACATTTCGAACAGATATTTTCGTTAGAAATCCTATACCTGTAACTCACTGGGTTTTAAATAGAGTCTATCCTTCAACATCGCATCTCATTGTTAAGGAAATACAGTTTTCCACTCTGTTCCTAAGGGCCTTTGTCCTCCACTCCAAAAGGATTATTCGATTGTCCCCATAAGAGAAACCTTTTTGGTTCCAGGTAGAACCCTTTTGGGTTTCATGTAGGTTCTACAAAAGGGTTCTGCCTAGAACCAAAAGGGTTTTATCTGGAACCTAAAAGGGTTCTTCAAAGGGTTCTCCTACAGCTGAATAACTCTTTTAGGTTATGATAGCACAATTATTTTCTAAGAGTGTACCTATGTACAAGGTTGTTTACATGCCACGTGATTAATAGGTCTTCATCTAAATGAATAGAAATGTCCTCCCTCCTTTCCCCTGATATAGTGATCTTTCTGTCCCTTGGCACATCTATCACGATCGATCACTCTGTATCTGTCTTGAAATCACCCCTATGCCATTGTCACCATGTTTATGACTGTGGCTAGAGCTGTTTGACATATGGAGCCTGGTTCCTCTCTAGGTTTCTTCCTAGGTTTCTGCCTTTCTAGGGAGTTTTTCCTAGCCACCGTGCTTCTACATCTGCATTGCTTGCTGTTTGGGGTTTTAGGCTCGGTTTCTGTATAGCACTTTGTGACATCTGCTGATGTAAAAAGGGCTTTATAAATACATGTGATTGATTGATTGATTTATATGGTCCTTTAAACACTTGTTTCTCTTCCTGCTTCCTGCTTCCTCCACCTGTACTGCTACAGGCTATGGTGAGTAACACTGTGGCTGATTCCATATGAAAAGAGAATGCTGTTGAGACATACTGGCTTTGTTTGCTCTCAAGGGGAATAGCAATTTGTGTAGAGAAGCACTTCATTCCAGATACCCATGACCCCTTGATTCTTGTATACACTTAGGGAGAATACAGCTGGACTGCAATGTGACCTGTTGGCTTAAATGCTGTACTGAGATGTAATTATTTCCACTCTATGTTGAAAGATGTTCAATTATATAGCAAGAAAAATAGACTTCTTTCTTTGATCAAAATCAAAGTTGTCACTTTGTTTTAAAAATGCTTATTGAATGTATTTCAATCGCAGTATGTACAGAACTACTATGTATTAATCTTATCTCTTCATTCAATTCCTTCCTTTCTTTCTGTCCCCTGCCTGTCCTACCTCAGTCCCTGGCTCAGAACTCCAGGAAGGCAGGGTTCACAACAGCTATGGCGTCCAGCACTCTCAATAACGAGGAGCTGGTGCGTTTCTGGCTCTTTCTTTTCTCTACTTTCAGTATATCCAGATAGTGAACTTTTTCCCTCTCTCCATGTAGTCATAGATTCCACTAATTATTTGACTCTGTATATATCTCCTCTACGTTTCCCTCTCTTGTAGAAGAGCCATGTGTACAAGAAAACGCTACAGGCTCTGATTTATCCCATCTCCTGCACCACGCCCCATAACTTTGAGGTGTGGACAGCCACGACGCCCACCTACTGCTACGAGTGTGAGGGGCTGCTGTGGGGCATCGCCCGCCAGGGCATGAGGTGCACCGAGTGCGGGGTCAAATGTCACGATAAGTGCCAGGACCTACTCAACGCTGACTGCCTGCAAAGTAAGCAGAGCCATGTTGATATTGCTCAGTGAGTGGTAAAGGTTTGTTCAGTTGGTGCTAAAACATAATATAATGGTAAAACATAGAACATTTAAAAAAATGTGGGTAGCGGTTGGTTCTAACTAACAACACCAAACGTGTGGGATACTACAGACTGTAAACTGCTTTGGATAAGAGTGTTAGTTAAATGGCTGTCTGGCATTCCCCTTTGCCTGTCATACTTCAGACTGCCCTCCTCTCTCCTCTCTCCGACATCTCTCATCCCACTCTCCTTGTCCTCCTCCCTCCCATTCTCTCACTCTGCTGTCTCAGGCACTCTCTATCTTTTTGGGTTTTTCTGAAAAGGAACTTTCCTTGACATCCTCTCCACCTTTCCAACTCTTTGTGGGAGTTTCACAGGTCTGCAGATACTGCTTGAGCACTCATCCATAAATCATACTGTATACTCTGTCTCACAGTGTTCTCATGATAGGGCACATTTACTCTTATAGATCAAATCAAATCAAAATGGATTTGAAGTGCATATCAAATTGCAACATACTTTACAGCAAAACAATACAATTAAGGAGATAAAACACGAGAAAGCAATAAAAGAGATGAATAAAATAATAGTAAAATCTGTTTTTATAGATGCCATGGTTTATGTTATGCACCATTTGTATACATTCCTCCAATGTTCACTCCCTTCATCCCAAAGAAAACTGTTCATGCCCTCCATATACTGTAGCACAGGAATGGGCACCTTGCAAGCAAAACATTTTAGTGGCCCTCCTCTTGACAGTTACAAGAAAAACTTGTTTTATTTAATTTCTTGCAATTCTACACATTTTGCCACGGGGCGTAAAGAAAATGTTGCAGTTTTAAAGCACGTTTGCTGCAATTCTACACATTTTGCCATGGGCAGAGAGAAGACTTTACAATTTTGTAAGACATTTCATGCAATTCTACTCATTTTTTGTTGTTTCTTGGGGGGAAATTGAATCGCGGGCCTACAAAAGGGGGGCCGCGGGCCGCATGCCGCCAGTTTCCCATTCCTGCTGTAGCATAATACAACATAAGACCTTATTTGTCATGTTACTCAATGAAATAATAAATAAAATCTGACCCTCATCTCTCTTGTCTACCCCAGGGGCAGCGGAAAAGAGTTCTAAGCATGGGGCGGAGGATAGAACCCAGAACATCATCATGGTTCTAAAGGACAGGATGAAGATCCGAGAGAGGAACAAGCCGGAGATCTTTGAGCTGATCCAGGAGGTGTTTGCCATGGTCAAAGCCACTCATGTCACCTACATGAAGCAGATCAAACAGAGCGTACTGGATGGCACCTCCAAGTGGTCGGCCAAGATCAGCATCACAGGTGAGAGAGAGAGAAGATACCAGGGCTTCAGAGTTGGAGTGCTGATCTAGGATCAGTTCCTCGCTGTCCATATCAGAATCAGAATCAGAAAACGTATCTTATTCATTATGATCTAAAAGGGAAAACTGATCCTAGATCAGCACTCCTATTCTGAGACGCTTTGTGAATAGTATGAGTCCAGAACCATCCATTTGTAAAGCTCTGGCAGATTCCATTTGAGTCTGACTCCATCACAACACACATCATCCACCCTCTGTCTCCTCTTGCTTGTTTGTGTTCCAGCTCTATTTGTTGTTAAGGTCATAATGTGTTGTAGACCATTGAGTCACTGTCTGACATGAAGTACGGCTTACTGGTAAAAACGTAATAAACTACCACTACTACTACTACTACTACTACTATTACTACTACTACTACTACTACTACTACTACTACTACTATTAGCCTCTAAACTAGACTGACCGCTGCGCTCACTAGTGAAACTATGTTGAGTGCAGTAGTCAGTCTGGTTGACCAAGCTACGCTCCAGCCAGACTGACCACCTGATGCTGCCCCCTGTCCCCTCCCCACAGTGCTGTGTGCCCAGGGCCTCCAGGCGAAGGATAAGACAGGCTCCAGTGACCCCTACGTCACGGTCCAGGTGGGCAAGACCAAGAAGAGGACCAAGACCATCTACGGAAACCTCAACCCTGTCTGGGAGGAGAACTTCAACTTGTGAGTAGAGAGAAAAATTACTTTTTTTATTTAGCAGACACTGTTATCCAGAGCGACTTACAGGAGCAATTAGGGTTGTGCCTTGCACAAGGGCACATAGACAGATTTTTAACCTAGTCAGCTTGAGGATTCAAACCACCAACTTTTCGGTTACTGGCCCAACGCTCTTAACCGCTAGGCTATCTGCCACCGGTACGGGACTGGAATAACATTGAAGGTTGTTTATTTACAGGTTATGAATGGGTCACAATTAATGCATGTGTCTAACTGTAAACCCATATGAATGTATGAGATTGGTGGGTCCCTCAAATGGATGAGATTGGTCTCTCTCTCTCTCTCTCTCTCTCTCTCTCTCTCTCTCTCTCTCTCTCTCTCCTCTCTCTCTCTCCTCTCTCTCACTCTCTCCTCTCTCTCTCTCTGTAGTGAGTGCCACAACTCCTCGGACCGGATCAAGGTGCGGGTGTGGGATGAGGATGATGACATCAAGTCTCGGGTGAAGCAGAAGTTCAAAAAGGAGTCAGATGACTTCCTGGGTCAGACCATCATCGAGGTCCGCACACTTAGCGGAGAGATGGACGTCTGGTACAACCTGGGTCAGTACAGTCACAGTACAGGAGGAAATAACCACTTGTTAAGCTAATAAACCCAATCATTGAGCCTCTGACACTCCGGGTCCATATAATCACTTTCTAGGTATCCATACGATGAGGTTAATTTGGGTGAACTATCCTTTAAAAAAATATTTTATATAAGATCATTATCATAATGGTTGAGGTCTTTATTACATTTACATTTTAGTCATTTAGCAGACGCTCTTATCCAGAGCGACTTACAGTTAGTGAGTGCATACATTTTTCATACTGGCCCCCCGTGGGAATCGAACCCACAACCCTGGCGTTGCAAGCGCCATGCTCTACCAACTGAGCTTCACTGTCAAATATAGTTGTTGTTAGGTTGACTGTGGTATGTGTTGACTGAGACTCTTGTGTCTGGTCCCTCTCTGCAGACAAGCGTACAGACAAGTCAGCCGTGTCTGGTGCCATCAGGATGCACATCAATGTAGAGATCAAAGGAGAGGAAACAGTCGCTCCGTATCATGTCCAATACACCTGTCTGCACGAGGTAAGCTGTGTGTGTGTGTGTGTGTGTGTGTGTGAGAGAGAGAGAGAGAGAGAGAGAGAGAGAGAGAGAGAGAGAGAGAGAGGAGAGGAGAGAGAGGGAGAGAGAGAGGAGAGAGAGAGAGAGAGAGCCTGTGATAGCATGGGTGCCTGCCTGCATACAGTATGTGTCTGTGTGTGTGTGTGTCTGTTTGTGTGCGTGCGTGTGATCGTGTACACGAGCCTGTGTATGCTCCTGCCTTCAGGTGCCAAGTGATGTTAATAGCCCAGTCATCTTGGTTCATTTAGCTGACTGATGCAGCAGTCTTTCATTGAAGTGGCCTTTCAGATGAAATAGAGGTGTCACCGCCTGCATTGCTCTATCAAGATAAAAACCACATCAGATATAAAATACCACAGATAATATCTCTCCCTCTGACCTTCTTCAAATATGGAACTGTCTACCATGTTGATGCTAAATGCTCATTGCCCTATATCAAGGCATTACTTGGTCTAATATCAGGACATAGTTTGCAAACAGCAAACCTAACAAGAGCTACTATTCAATTGCACTGTAAATACAGTTGAAGTCGGAAGTTTACATACACCTTAGCCAAATACATTTAAACTCAGTTTTTCACAATTCCTGACAGTTAATCCAACTTCAACTCATTAACATCATAGTCTAGATTGAATAACCTCTCTCTCTCGTTGGAGTGCATGCTGGGAGTGAGTCAGTGGGTGCTATCATTGGGTATGATAGCATAAAATCAGCCTCAAGTATGAATAGCGCTGTAGTGATATTCTTAGATTCCATTGAAAAGGTGAATACGATAGTTGAGAGTGGTGTTGTGTTGCGGGAGTCACAGACGTCGGTATTTCCTCTTATGAATCCTGCGAAGAAAGTTATACTTTCTAAGGTGCCACCATTTGTTAGAGATGAAGTGTTGGAGCGAGAGTTATCTCGTCATGGTCAACGTGTATCTACAATAAAGAAGGTTCTTTTTGGATGCAAATCTCCTTTGCTGAAACATGTCGTGTCTCATAGGAGACAACTGTATATTATTTTAAAGAAGGACACTGACGAACTGAATGTAGCATTCAGTTTTAAGATTGATGGATTTGATTATGTCTTCTACGCTTCTACTGAATCAATGAAATGCTTTGGCTGTGGAAGAGAGGTGGCATTTGGTGCGTTATTGTCCCGAGAACGAGCGCGCAGAGCCCGGTAGCAGCTCTAGTGCTGGTGCAGCTAATGTACCACCGCGAAGGGATGAACATTCTAAGGGAGAAGGTGGGCAGATGTGGTTGGAAAAGTAGGAAAGGAAAGCAGTGTGGCTACGGAGGCAATTGTGGTAGATCAGAACAAAGAGGGAGGGGAAACAGTCGGTGAGATTGCGACTGCGGTCGGTGAGGTGGTGCTGGAAAATGAAATTGGAGGTCAAGAGGAGATTGAAATAATGGAAAAGGAAGCAGCTGTTTTTAAAGTACCGAGGAGTAAGAGGAAGAATTTAAGGGGTGATGAAGGGTCTAATTCTAAGAGGAGGGTAGAGATTGATAAATCAATTGAGGATAAACAGGTTGTAGAGATGGTGGAGTTTTCTTCTGGGGAGGATGGCGAGAGTGAGTCATCTGACGCGTCACAACAAAATAGCGAGATAAATGGGGTGGAAGAGAGGTATGGGATTGAGAAGGTACGTCAATTTCTGAAGTTGACAAAAGGGAAGAAATATATGCAGGATTATAATGTAACAGATGTTTTTCCTGAAAGTGAATTGTTTATTGAATCAGCAGGGTTTCTGATGTCAAAAATAACAGGGGGAGGTTTGACAAGCCCTGAAATTGCTAGACTCAAGAAAGTGGTCACGAGAGTGATAAGTGATGTAAATTCTAAAGAAAATGAAAGAGTTCAGTCGCAGCCTTAACTCTGTAAAGAGATGTGGTTTCTGTGTCTTCCTCTGTATTTTTTTTCCCATCCATGAGCAGTTTTAAGATGACTTCTTTAAACGTAAATGGGGCGAGAGACGTAAAAATTAATAGCCATAGTGTATGAGTTAATTAGGGGAAAGGGAAGTGACATACGTTTTTTTTTACAAGAAACGCATAGTAATTTGGGAAATGAAGTTATGTAGCAACAGGAGTGGTGGGGGGGGGGACAGTGGTGTGTAGTCATAAAAACTAAAAGTGGGGGTGTGGCCATCTTGTTCTCAAAAGGGTTTTTGCCTTTGTCATATGAGGTTGAAGAGGTAGTTGAGGGGAGGTTATTAAAAGTTAGAGCAAGGTATGAAAACATTATGTGTCTGATAAATGTAAATGCCCCAGTGGTGGCAGTTGAGAGGGTATGTTTTTTAGAGACATTATCAAATACCATTGAGAAATGTAATACTGAAGATTATTTATTTATTGCTGGGGATTTTAACTACACAGTCAGTGATTTAGATAGAAATCACAAAGAACCTCATATAGCCTCAAGGACTTTTTTAAAACGCCTCATTGTAACACATATTTGGCGAAGTCAACATGGAGGCACGAGACAGTACACCTGGGCCCATGTGAGAGAGAACACAGTAGTCAGTTGTCGGCAGGTAGCTTAGTGGTTAAGAACGTTGTGCCAGTAACCGAAAGGTCGCTGGTTCTAATCCCCGAGCCGACTAGGTGAAAAATCTGTCGATGTGCCCTTGAGCAAGGCACTGAACCCTAGTCGCTCTGGATAAGAGCGTCTGCTAAATGACTTAAAAAGAACACCATCTCTATGGCCAGGTTAGATAGGTTTTATTGTTTTGAGCATCAATCTCAGGTCTGTAAATCAAGTGTGATAACCACAGTGGGATTTTCTGATCATTGTTTAATAACAGGTGGTGTTCATTAACGCAGTAAAACCCAAAAGCGCATACTGGCATTTTAATATAACTTTATTGAGTGATGCTCACTTCAGGAAATATTTTAGTTTTTTCTGTGAGAGGTGGAGGTCTCAAAAGGCCAGTTTTGTATCCCTTCAGCAGTGGTGGGATATAGGGAAAATCCAGATTCAACAATTCTGTAATTCATACACGAGGAATGTCACCAAAGACATCACCAGATCAATGAAATCCCTAGAGTCTGAAATAGTGGAACTCCTGACGTTGGTTGAGACCACAGGAGATCGAGGCCGTACTCAGGCCCTCAAGAGGAAAAAAACTGCATTGGCAGACCTGCTGGGTATCAGAACACAGGGGGCATTGGTGAGAAGTAAGTTTCAGGGAATCTCTGAAATGGATGCCTCATCCACATTTTTCTTTGGTTTAGAGAAAAAGAATGGACAAAGAAGAATTATTCATTGTCTCAAATCAGCTGTTGGACAGGAGCTCACCAGCCCTAGTGAAATTAGAAAGAGGGCAGTAGAGTTCTATGCTGAGCTCTACAAGTGTGAGTACAAAGAGGATAAAAACAGTGACACAGCAGTTCCTTGATGGGCTCCCACAGGTGGCTGCAGAAGCTCAGGTTGAGCTAGAGCAACCATTGTCTTTGCAGGAGCTATACACTGCATTAAAAGGCATGGGAAATGGAAGGGCACCAGGCATTGATGGGCTTCCCGTTGACTTTTTAAAGTGTTTTTGGGCTATGTTGGGAGAGGATTGGCTAACAGTAGTTAATTATAGTTTGACCGGAGGGTTACTACCGATAAGCTGCAGAAGGGCTGTCCTCACCCTACTGCCCAAAAAGGGTGACCCAAGGGAAGTGAAGAACTGGAGGCCGGTGGCTTTATTGTGCACTGATGGGGGAGGTGATGGGGCAAATCATACGGACCAGTCCTACTGTGTTCCCGGCAGGCAGATAGGGGATAACATTTCTCTGATTATAGATTTTTTGGACGTCTCTAGGGCTATTGGGTTGGATGCTGGTCTAATTTCAATTGATCAGGAAAAGGCATTTGACCGAGTTGAACATCAATACTTATGGCACGCTTTTGAGGCATTTGGTTTCAGCTCTGGTTTTATTGCTATGATAAGGGTGATATATGGGGACATTTAAAGTGTATTGAAAGTTAACGGTGGCTTGAGTGCTCCTTTTAAAGTGTGTAGAGGTATTAGGCAGGGATGTTCTTTGTCGGGAATGTTATATGCCATTGCTATAGAGCCACTACTAAATAGCATTAGAAGTCGCATTGAAGGGGTGTACCTTTCAGAGGATATTCATCCTATTCGTCTCTCAGCCTATGCTGATGATGTAGTTATTTTAGTGAAAAATCAAGAGGAGGTGAATAGTTTGAGTCTAATGGTTAATTGTTTTTAGGGGACTATCCTCTGCAAAGGTAAATTAGGAAAAAGGTTGTGCTTTAGAGATTGGAGAATGGTCTGGAGGGATCATGGCTTTGCCAGGGGGGCTGGAATGGTGTAAGGGAGGTTTTAAGTATCTTGGAGTGTACCTAGGAGATGAGGGGACAATGGAAAAAAATTGGATTGGGGTTGTTGAAATGGTGGAAGGGAGGAGATGGTGTTGGTTGTTATCTCGTATGTCATATAGGGGGCACACTATTATAGTTAACAATGTGATTGCCTCTGCACTGTGGCATCGGTTGTCAGTTTTAGAGCCACCATCTGGCCTTCTGGCTAAGATACAGGCGATTATTGTAGATTTATTTTGGGATAAATATCATTGGGTTCCACAAAGTGTTTTGTATTTGTCAAAAGAGGAGGGGGGACAAGGTCTTGTACATCTTGCTAGTAGGGCTGCTGCTTTCCGGTTTCAGTTTATTCAAAGGTTGCTTTATGGACCGGAAATGTGGTTTGGAGATGGGTGGCAGGTCTTGTATTACAGCAGGTTGGAGGATTAGGTTTAAAGAAGGCTTTATTTTTGGTTGATAGTAGCCAGATTTCTAGGGAGGGAGTACCTCAGTTTTACAGAGGCCTTCTTAGGGTGTGGAGCATAATGAAGGTGTCCAGACACACTTCAGCGGAGTCAGTGCATTGGCTGTTGGAGGAACCTCTGGTGTACGGGGCAAGACTGGATTGTACAACTGCAGCTGTTCCACATTTCTCCAAGATTCTGGTGAAGGGCAAAATCATCACCTTAAAACAGTTAATGGCCATGGCTCTGCCCACCTTAATGTATGGAAGACGGGTGGCTGAACATTTGGGGGAGATGTCGGAAAGGATTGTCGGACAACTGGTGGGAAGCTGCAGGAAGGCTCTGTCAGCAGAAGAGTGGGGTATGCTTAAAAGTCACAAGAAGAAGGTACAAGATGAAAACCTCTCATTTCCAAGACTAGGGATTACAGCCAATATCACAGTCAGAAAGAAAGGCATTATTACTGGATTTGAGAGGGTTGGAAGAGGTGGGTTTGGATGAGGTGAATGGGAAAGACTTATATAGGGGGTGTGTCAAGGTGTTGAATAAAGATACATTGAAAAATAGAAAAGACACTCCATGGAGGGTAAAATTGGGCATTGATGACAAGGTAAAGCCAGCATGGAGAGCACTATACAAGCCTCCGTTACAAAAGGGTACTGGGGATATGCAATGGAGGGTTTTGCATGGCATCATTTCAGTTAATGCTTTTGTATCTGTTATTAACTCAGATGTTGTAGATGGATGTCCTTTTTGTAATATAAGAGAAACAATTTTTCACTGTTTTATGGAGTGTGAGAGGATAAAACCTCTCTTGGAAATGCTGGAGTCTTTGTTTAAAGCTGTAGGGGAGATTTTCAATAACACTGTTTTTATTTTGGGTTTCAATATAGTAAGCAAAATAAAATAAAATGTAAACTGTTAAATTTGATTTTAGGACAAGCTAAGATGTCAATTTTTCTGAGTAGGAAACATAACATAGAAATGGGATATGGGCAGGATGTAAGATGTGTTTTTAAAGTATTAGTGAAAGCGAGAATAAAAGTGGATTTTGAGTTCTTCTTGGCTGTAAAATATCTCCCATTGTTTGAGGAGAAGTGGGCTTACAAAGGAGCGTTTTTGTTTTGTGGAGGAGGGGAAACTATTTTTTGTTGATGAAATGAGTTGAATGTATATACAGTGAGGGAAAAAAGTATTTGATCCTCTGCTGATTTTGTAAGTTTGCCCACTGACAAAGACATGATCAGTCTATGATTTTAATGGTAGGTTTATTTGAACAGTGAGAGACAGAATAACAACAAAAAAATCCAGAAAAACGCATGTCAAAAATTTTAGAAATTGATTTGCATTTTAATGAGGGAAATAAGTATTTGACCCCTCTGCAAAACATGACTTAGTACTTGGTGGCAAAACCCTTGTTGGCAATCACAGAGGTCAAACGTTTCTTGTAGTTGGCCACCAGGTTTGCACACATCTCACGAGAGATTTTGTCCCACTCCTCTTTGCAGATCTTCTCCAAGTCATTAAGGTTTCGAGGCTGACGTTTGGCAACTCGAACCTTCAGCTCCCTCCACAGATTTTCTATGGGATTAAGGTCTGGAGACTGGCTAGGCCACTCCAGGACCTTAATGTGCTTCTTCTTGAGCCACTCCTTTGTTGCCTTGGCCGTGTGTTTTGGATCATTGTCATGCTGGAATACCCATCCACGACCCATTTTCAATGCCCTGGCTGAGGGAAGGAGGTTCTCACCCAAGATTTGACGGTACATGGCCCCGTCCATCGTCCCTTTGATGCGGTGAAGTTGTCCTGTCCCCTTAGCAGAAAAACACCCCCCAAAGCATAATTTTTCCACCTCCATGTTTGACGGTGGGGATGGTGTTCTTGGGGTCATAAGCAGCATTCCCCCTCCTCCAAACACGGCGAGTTGAGTTGATGCCAAAGAGCTCCATTTTGGTCTCATCTGACCACAACACTTTCACCCAGTTCTCCTCTGAATCATTCAGATGTTCATTGGCAAACTTCAGACGGGCATGTATATGTGCTTTCTTGAGCAGGGGGACCTTGCGGGCGCTGCAGGATTTCAGTCCTTCACAGCGTAGTGTGTTACCAATTGTTTTCTTGGTGACTATGGTCCCAGCTGCCTTGAGATCATTGACAAGATCCTCCCGTGTAGTTCTGGGCTGATTCCTCACCGTTCTCATGATCATTGCAACTCCACGAGGTGAGATCTTGCATAGAGCCCCAGGCCGAGGGAGATTGACAGTTCTTTTGTTTTTCTTCCATTTGCGAATAATCGCACCAACTGTTGTCACCTTCTCACCAAGCTGCTTGGCGATGGTCTTGTAGCCCATTCCAGCCTTGTTTAGATCTACAATCTTGTCCCTGACATCATTGGAGAGCTTTTTGGTCTTGGCCATGGTGGAGAGTTTGGAATCTGATTGATTGATTGCTTCTGTGGACAGGTGTCTTTTTTGCAGGTAACAAGCTGAGATTAGGAGCACTCCCTTTAAGAGTGTGCTCCTAATCTCAGCTCGTTACCTTTATAAAAGACACCTGGGAGCCAGAAATCTTTCTGATTGAGAGGGGGTCAAATACTTATTTCCCTCATTAAAATGCAAATCAATTTATAACATTTTTGTCATGTGTTTTTCTGGATTTTTTTTGTTTGTTATTCTGTCTCTCACTGTTCAAATAAACCTACCATTAAAATTATAGACTGATCATTTCTTTGTCAGTGGGCAAACGTACAAAATCAGCAGGGGATCAAATACTTTTTTCCCTCACTGTATATGCTTTAGTATTTAAATTTTTATTTAATTTTTTTTTGTTTTAATTTTTATTTTGGAATTACATTTTTTTTTTTAATTTTTTTTTTTTTTTTTTTTTTTTTTTTTTTTTTTTTAGTCATTTAGCAGACGCTCTTATCCAGAGCGACTTACAGGAGCAATTAGGGTTAAGTGCCTTGCTCAAGGGCACATCGACAGATTTTTCACCTAGTCGGCTCGGGGATTAGAACCAGCGACCTTTCGGTTACTGGCACTATGCTCTTAACCACTAAGCTACCTGCCGCCCTCATTTGTTGTTTCATTTCTGAAAAGGCAGTGTGCCATTCTTTGTGTTAACACTTGAGTATAAAATAAAGGTTTTATAAAAACTCAAAACTCTCTCTCTCTCTCTCTCTCTCTCTCTCTCTCTCTCTCTCTCTCTCTCTCTCTCTCTCCTCTCTCTCTCTCTCTCCTCTCCTTTCTACTCGCTCTCTCCTCCGTCTCTCGTCTCTCCCCCTCTCTCTTCTCTCTCTCTCTCGCTCCCTCCTCTCCTCTCCGTCTCTCTCTCATGCTCGCTATACTCTCTCTCTCTCTCTCTCTCTCTACAGAACCTCTTCCACTTTGTCACAGATGTGCAGAGCTCTGGTGCTGTGAAGATTCCTGATGCTAAAGGGGATGATGCATGGAAGGTGTACTTTGATGAGACTCCTCAGGAGATAGTGGATGAATTTGCCATGCGTTACGGAGTGGAGTCAATCTATCAGGCTATGACGTGAGCTCAAACTTAGTACCCTACACACCCTGTCACTGACACTCAGCAATAGCATACACATTGTCAGATTGTAATGTAATGTATTAAGAGATCACCTAGTGTATGGTGTTTAGGATGATACTGTGGTACACCCTTAACATCACAAGGGAATGCATGGGCTTTATCAGAGTCAGCTTCATTAATACCAAAGTGATAGTGTTTATGCCGTGTGTGTGTTCTCCCACAGTCACTTTGCCTGCCTGTCGTCTAAGTATATGTGCCCTGGGGTTCCCGCGGTAATGAGTACCCTGCTGGCCAACATCAATGCCTACTACGCCCACACCACCCAGGCCACCAACAACGTGTCGGCCTCCGACCGTTTCGCCGCATCCAACTTCGGGGTGAGTCGCCCCTTCCCCATTGAAGTTTAAATGTAAAATGGTTAGGGTTAGGGAAGGGTTATGGTTAAGGTTAGTGTAAGGGTAGGGGTAGGGGTTAAGGTTAGGGTTAAGGTAGGGACGTCCCAAGGATTCCAGATAGCACTAACCAATTAATGAGGGATGGATAGAGATGCAATGCCTCAACTTAATGTTTAAGGTGAGCCAATGGATATGCTAGCTCTTAGGCTAATGTGTTGTGGCGTGTTTTTGTTATTTCAGAAAGAACGATTTGTGAAGCTCCTAGACCAACTCCACAACTCCCTTAGGATTGATCTGTCCATGTACCGGGTAGGCTACTCTTGACTCCCGCTCTCGCTCTCGCTCTCGCTCTCGCTCTCGCTCTCGCTCTCGCTCTCGCTCTCGCTCTCGCTCTCGCTCTCGCTCTCTCGCTCTTGCTCGCTCCCTCTCGCTCGCTCTCTCTCTCTCGAAACAAAATTATTGTTTGTGTCTGCACCTCTCTTCTCTCTAATTTCTCTGTCGCTCACAGACACAAATACACACTCTCTCTCTCTCCCTCTCTCTCTCCCTCTCTCTCTGTGTGATGTGAGAAAGGAGGCTGAGGTGTTAATTGGGCTGACGTCTCGTCATACACACACAGGGTCAGTGAGGTGAAGAGTTGAGGGTTTTAGTCTGGCCTGAAATCAATGGCGGAGAGAGACTGCTTCTTCAGCACCACAGCTTTGGCCAGATTATACAACCTTGTCTACACACACACACACACACACAAACACACACACACACACACACACACACACACACACACACACACACACACACACCTCACTGTAGATCTATCATCTGTGTTTAACAGAATAACTTCCCAGCCAGCAGTCCTGAGAGGCTGCAGGACCTCAAGTCTACTGTGGACCTGCTCACCAGCATCACCTTCTTCAGGATGAAGGTAACTCTCTCTTCTCTCTATTCTATCTTCTCTTTCATTTCACTCCATCCGCTCCTTGGATCACCTCTACTTTGCTCTGGTTGGTACCGCATGTATCCATTCTTGTTTACGCTGTACAGTATCGCTACACTACATGCTCTTTTCAGACATGCATCTTCACTGAGTTCCTTTGACCCAGTGTGCTTATATGGGGCTTTCCCAGTCTCAGTAACTTCTTAATCTGTCTGTGTCTGTGTGTCTGTCCTCAGGTCCAGGAGCTACAGAGTCCCCCCAGAGCCAGTCAGGTGGTGAAGGACTGTGTCAAGGCCTGTCTCAACTCCACCTACGAATACATCTTCAACAACTGCCACGAACTCTACAGCCGCGAGTACCAGACAGACCCAGTGAGTTTGTGTGTGTGTGTGTGCGCGTACGTGCATTTGTGTGTGCTGTGTGAAGGTGTGTGTGTGTGTGTGTTTCTCTGTCCGTGTCATTAGCACCTCAGGTGGTCTCCATCAAGCACAGGATTTATATATGGATTTACAAACCTTGTTTTTGCCTCGTTAAAGTGGAGCGATTCATTCCGACTCCCTTCATGAATTTCAAAAGCCCATTTTTCATTTGAATAAAACATTCCATCCTGAGGTGCTTTGCAATATTTTGTTAAATCTTCAGTTCATTCTTCAGTTTGAAACCCTGCGGTGGTATGGATACTTTTTTCTGACTTTGTCAGCTCTCTTCAGAGGACTAAACTAGCTACATGTGGTTTAATGGGTTCATCAGCTCATTAGAGTAGCGAAGAGATATATATCATTAGAGTTGAGTGGTAGCGAAGAGATATATATATATATATATATATATATATTGGACAAACTACGATAGTATCTACAATAGTAGCCCATGTGATAGTATCCCAGTGACTGAGTGTGTTGTTGTTTTGTCCAGGCCAAGCCAGGAGTGGTCGCTCCAGAGGAGCAGGGTCCCAGCATCAAGAACCTGGACTTCTGGTCCAAACTCATCACCCTCATCGTGTCCATCATAGAGGAGGACAAGAACTCCTACACACCCTGCCTCAACCAGTGAGTCTGTCACTCTCTCTAGCCATTTCAGTCTGTTTCACTGTCTCTCTCTCTCTCTCTCTTTCTGTCTCCCTCCACCTTTACATCCATATGTAACTCTGTGTCTGTTTCTTACCATCTGCCACACACAGGTTTCCTCAGGAGCTCAACGTGGGTAAAATCAGTGCTGAGGTGATGTGGAACCTGTTTGCTCAGGATATGAAGTACGCCATGGAGGGTGAGCACTGAATAATGTTGCACCTCACCACACTGGTGGTCTAGATCTGTCCTAGCAGTTGTCTTCTTCTATTTTTATGGGGCTGTTATCGTGCGTTTGGCTCGTGGGCAGTTTGTCAGAGCCTAAGGGCTTTTCTTCATTAGCCAGTTAGCGCTGCATGCTGGAGAATAGATCAATCCTCCGGGCTCATTTGTTCTTTAATGAAGTGCTTTGTCTTCCATATCTCTCTCTCTCTTTTTGCTCCCCTCTCTCCCTCTCTCATTCTCTCCCCCTCTCTCTCACTCGCACTCTTTTCTCTTTCCTCTCTCTTTCTCTCTCTCTCGCTCTTTCTATCTCTCGCTCAACTCTCAGAGCATGAAAAGAACCGCCTATGTAAGAGTGCAGATTACATGAACCTCCACTTCAAGGTCAAGTGGCTGTACAACGAGTACTGCAAAGACCTGCCCTTCTTCAAGAGCCATGTGCCTGAGTACCCTGCGTAAGGGCCACCTGTGCCATCAAGACACACACTCACATTAAAACACGCACATGTATACACACAGGCACACACACATACACACATGCAAACACTCACACACACACACACACACACACACACACACACACACACACACACACACACCACACACACACACACACACACATATACACACACACACTACCCCCCTGGTACTATACAGCACTGCCCATAAACAGCGACAGGTTTTCTCTAAGACCCCAGAAGTAGTTTGAAATCAAAAGTTCCAGTGGGGTTGATTCAAATTAATCCACCCCTGTGTGATGTCTCCTAGGTGGTTCGAGCCGTTTGTCATCCAGTGGTTGGACGAGAACGAGGAAGTGTCTCGAGACTTCTTGCACGGTGCACTGGAGAGGGACAAAAAGGACGGGGTAAACTCTTCTCCTTATGTACTCAAAATGAAAGTTGCATTGGTTGTGGCAGAATGAAAGTAATCCCTTCCTTTGTAGCTCCTCACTAATCCTCCTAGTTATCAGGCAGACTTCTCCTCCTCCGCCTCTCCAGCACTCATCAAAGACTTTCCTGAGACAATGGATGCCGAAGCACAGATGTTGCGGGGGGACTCGAGCTCAAAGTAGAAAGTAGGGAGTTTAAAATACAAAGAGACGTTCTCAGAAAGTAGAAAGAGACTATAAATACATTTGTACAGACTCTTCTCAGGTAGGGAGATAAAGTCTGACTATACCAGCCTGTGGATTAATGAGCTCTGTTCCCAACCAGTGGGAGCTGCCCTTCCCTCATTACCCAGCAGCACCTGGGGGAGCCACCACAGACTCACCTCTGGCCAATTAGAGGCAGACAGACAGACAGACCCACCTGACTCGGTCATCTGTCTGGACTGTTGTGGTCCTCTCAGACCAATCCAGACCATACCACAACTATCATATCTATTTACTCTCTCAGAGCTCAGTGGTCCAGCAGCCCACACACCATCTCTCTTTTCTCCTCCCTCTCTCAGAGCTCAGTGGTCCAGCAGCCCACACACCATCTCTCTTTTCTCCTCCCTCTCTCAGAGCTCAGTGGTCCAGCAGCCCACACACCATCTCTCTTTTCTCCTCCCTCTCTCAGAGCTCAGTGGTCCAGCAGCCCACACACCATCTCTCTTTTCTCCTCCCTCTCTCAGAGCTCAGTGGTCTAGCAAACCAAACAACCTCTCCCTCTCTTCCTCCCCCCTCGCGCTCCCCTGATGTTAACAATCCATGGCCTCTGTCCCCCAATCATAATGGTATCTCTACTCCTCTCCGCTTCTCTGCTAAGGACCACTCTCTCCTCTTCCTCTCTTCCTTCCTCTCTCTCAGCTGAGGAAGACTCTTTCCTCTCTTTTTCCTCTCTTTCCAGTCTCTCTCTCCTCTCCTCCCCTCTCTCTCTTAATGTTCTCTCTCTCTCCTTTCCCACTACAGTTCCAGGTGACTTCGGAGCATGCTCTGTTCTCCTGCTCCGTGGTGGATGTCTTCTCTCAGCTCAACCAGAGCTTTGAGATCATCCGCAAGCTGGAGTGTCCCGACCCCCAGATCGTAGGCAACTACATGAAACGCTTCGCCAAGGTACACAACAGTATTCTACACACTATAGCCACTTCATTCATGGCTTCATGATGGTAAGCTGAGTCACAGAGACAGTGGTTGACATATTCCTTTCTCCTCCTGCTCTCTCCTCAGACAATCGGCAACGTTCTCCTGTCCTACTCGGACATTATCTCCAAGTGCTTTGCTAACTATGTCAACATGGAGAAAGTGGTGAGTGTCCAATGACAGGACGTGACATGTTTGGTGGGGATGCACATCAGTATAGTGTAGTGTTGGGGCTCCCGAGTGGCGCAGCGGTCTAAGGCACTGCATCGCAGTGCTAGAGGCGTCGCTACAGACCCGGGTTCGATCCTGGCCTGTATTACAACCGGCCATGATCGGGAGTCCCATAGGGTGGCGCACAATTGGCCCAGCGTCGTCCGGGTTAGGGGAGGGTTTGGCCGGGGGGAGTTTACTTGGCTCATCGCGCTCTAGTGACTACTTGTGGCGGGCTGGGTGCCTGCAGGCTGACCTCGGTCATCAGTAGAACTGTGTTTCCTCCGACATATTGGTGCGGCTGGTTTCCGGGTTAAGCGGGCAGGTGTTAAGAAGCGCGGTTAGGCAGGTCATGTTTCGGAGGACGCATGACTCGACTTTCGCCTTCCGAGCCCGTTGGGGAGTTGCAGCGATGAGACAAGATCGAAATTAGGGAGAAAAAGGTATAGTGTAGTGTTTGTACATTTCAGTGAAAATGTGTGGTATTTGGATAGTGTAGTGGATAATGACTTTGTGTTGTTTGCAGCCATGCATCCTGATCAACAACATCCAGCAGCTCAGAGTTCAACTGGAGAGGATGTTTGAAGCCATGGGAGGAAAGGATGTGAGTGACTCTCTTATCCGTGTTTGCCCCCAGTATATATCTGAGTATGTGTGTGTTCCTGTGTGTGTGTGTGTATGCGTGTGTTTGTTTGTCTTTCTGACTGAACTGGTTTCTCTGCTGAGTGCTTCTATTCTCTCTGACTGACCGTCTGTTTGTTGGGGAATGTTTCTGTCTGCCTGCTGAGAGCTCTGTGTGAGAGCCCTGGTGCTCTGCCAGTTTCACTGACACTCTGTGTATGTGTGTGTGTGTGTGTGAGTGTGTGTGTGCATGTGCGCGTGTGTGTGTGCATGTGTGTGTGTGTGTGCACGTACGTGCGTGTTTGTGTGTGTATGGTGTGTGTGTGTGCGTGGGTGTGTGTGTACATGTATCTATTGGTGTGTGTGTGTGTGTGTGTGTGTGTGTGTGTGTGTGTGTGTGTGTGTGTGTGTACATGACTGTGTGTGTGTTTCAGCTGTGCAAGGAGGCCAGTGACTTCCTGAAAGACCTGCAGGTGAAGCTAAACACTGTGATGGATGATCTCAGCAGGATCTTTTCTGTCAGGTGAGCTGGGCACACTGCTGGGCACTGCCAGGCAACAGACGGGCATCAAACAGCCATTCCAACTACTCATACTCGCCAACTCCAATATGTATTTCATTAATATCACAGAGGCTTTCTCTCCTTGCTACATAGTCTCATCCGAATATGTCAAAATAGTGACATTTAACCATTTTATGTCACTTCAGCTGACATATTAGTTATGTCAGCGTGTGTGTGTGTGCGTGCGTGTAGTTTCCAGCCACAGATTGAGGACAATGTGAAGCAGATGGGAGACATCCTTGGCCAGGTGAAGGGGACCAAAGTGGGGGCTAACAACTGCAGCAGTGTGGCCCAGGACGCTGACAACGTTCTGCAGCCTATCATGGACTTCCTGGACAGCAAGTGAGAGAGAGTTGTCCTGTAATGTTGCTAATCACTTTCTGGCTGCAGTCTCGATTTCTTTCTTGATTTCCAGTCTCTTTTCCAGTCTTTTTTCCAGTCTCTATTCCAGTCTCTATTCCAGTCTCTTTTGATCTTGCTGTCTTCTTCCCACTCTCTCTTTCAACTCATCTCTCCTTTCTTTTCTTCTCCTTTTTCTTCCTCTCTTTCTGTGTCTCCTCTGTCATCTCTCTCTCTCTTGGTATTTAGCACAATTTCTTGTCATTTAGCAGACGCTCTTATCCAGAGCGAATTACAGGAGCAATTAGGGTTAAGTGCCTTGCTCAAGGGCATATCGACAGATTTTTCATCTAGTCGGCTCTGGGATTAGAACCAGCGATCTTTCGGTTATTGGCACAACGCTCTTAACCACTAAGCTAATCTTGGCTGGAGCGCTATGTTGGACTCCATTCTGTCGCTCATTATTTCTCCCCTCCCTCGCTCCTCCCTCGCTCCTCCCTCCTCCCTCCCTCCCTCCCTCCCTCCCTCCCTCCCTCCCTCCCTCCTCCTCCCTCCCTCCCTCCCTCCCTCCCTCGCTCCTCCCTCCCTTCCTCCCTCGCTCCTCCCTCGCTCCTCCCTCCCTTCCTCCCTCGCTCCTCCCTCTACCTTCGCTCTGTCTCCTGCCAGCCTGACGCTGTTTGCTAAGATCTGTGAGAAGACGGTGCTGAAACGTGTTCTAAAGGAGCTGTGGAAGCTGGTGATGAACACTATGGAGAAGACCATCGTCCTGCCCCCTCTCACCGACCAGACGGTAGGAACACACACCCTTCACACACACACATGCACGCAGTCACACACACACACACATGCACGCAGTCACACACACACACACACACTCACATGCACGCAGTCACACATTCTTTGATACACACACACACAGCCCACACTACCAACTGCTACACAGGCACAAACCACTTCTCAGTATGGGATGGGAACCAAGACAGATCAGAGTTATTTTTAGTCAAGGGATTCATGCTCTGATATGTGGTATGTGAGGGAGATATATTGAATATTTTATCTGTTCTGAGTACAGTATTAGGTACAGTGAATCCTCTCCCACAGACGCACACAGTGAGCAGCCAGGACAGCCATTAGACAGGGGAGAAGTAGGGCTGAGATGGCGGACATTTTGTCTACATCATAAGATGCTTACAAGTGACTGTATAAGAATAGATCTGATTAGGGCTTCTTAATTAATGATGGGCCTGATACGCCCCTCTCCCCAGCCCCCTAGGCCACATACAAAAAGACCCCACTCTTCCATTCACTCAATAGATTTAGGGTGAAACACAAAAGTGGAAGTAGGAAGGATGCACCATATCATTCTAACCCCAGTGGAGCCTTTCATGTTGGAAAGCAGCTGGTATTTATTTTGTTTTTGATATATCTGTTCTCATTTTTATTTGGTAACAAAAGAGCCTCACATCATTCTATAGTAGAATGGTTGCCCTGTATCTCTATCAGTAAGACCCCCCCAGTGTGGGTCAGTCCCCGGTCCCTCTCTCAGCTCTCCCACAGGGGCAGAGACAGGGTCCAGGGGGGGTGTTACAGTACCAGTCTCAGTGTTTTGGGTCACTCTGTCCCTTCCATCTGATATGTGTATTACTGCTGCTTGGAGGATTGATCTGGGGCTCTTTGCAGCGTCACTGACCCTCCTTTCTGGTTATTACATCCTGCTCCCACTGCTCTTCCTCCACAGATGATTGTAAGTACGGCACTCCTGCGTGTCAGTGTGTCTGTCTGTCCCACAGTTCGTTAGTGCAAGGTGGTCAGTCATCTGCTATATGTGGCTGCAAACTGTCCCCCCTTCTCCCCCCACATCCTCACTCCTCCTATCTGTCTCTCTGTCTTCCACTTGCTCTGTTGTTCCTCTCCTCCTCTCTCTGTTCTCCTCTCTTCTCCTGTCCTCCTCCTCTCTCTGTTCTCCTCTCTTCTCCTGTCCTCCTCCTCTCTCTGTTCTCCTCTCTTATTATTATTATATTATTCTCCTGTCCTCCTCCACCTCTGTCTCTCTCTCTGAGGTGACAGCTGCATGGTACATTCCTGACTGACTCAGATCAGGCCCCACTCTCCCCCATATGAACCCTCCAATCGGGCGCCCCCCTGCCTCCCACTGCTCTTCGCCCTGCCCCACCCCCTCTTTGCTCTCTCTCTCTCACACTCTCCTGTATCTGGGATGTGGCACTTCTCTGGCTCCCAGTGTTGCCTTGTTCTTCTCTTGCATATTGTCCCAGGACTCCACCCTCCCCCCACCTGTTACCTGTTTGAAGTGTGTCCCCCTGCCCAATGTTGGTTTGTTGCTTGTATCTGATCTACTCCAACTTCCCTGTAGTAATTCTGCCAGTATGTCTCTGCAGGCCTGCTGTGTTGATCTGTCCTGGTTTGGTTCCATGTCCTGTTGTTATAGAATGATAGTCATAATAGCATAGTGATAAGCTAAGGTATATACTTTCACCAAGGCTGGTCTATACCAGAAGTAGTATTCTACACTTGTGGGGTTTAGGATTGGTGACACACACACATACAGTAGACATATGTCTGAGAACACACTTCTGCTCTAACGCACAAAAACCCTCTCAATGCTTTAAATGTTGTTGTGTTTTCTCAATTTTATCATCCATGGTCTGTAAAATCTGGAAAAAAATTTTTTTTACTTACTTTTCTAGAATAGCTTGAATTTTTTTCTAACATTGTTTAAAAATATATATTTAAATGTTTTAATCTCTCTGGTGGAGGTGTTGCTGGCCGTCAGTGGCCTGTCTTCTTTATCTGAAGCTAGTATGGGCTCATTACCAAGACTGCTCATACTGATATAGACCTAACTAACTGTAGGCTAAACTTAAAGAAACTCTTAAGGACAATGATCAAACATAGACCTCTGGAATACATTATGTTGATCCATCAATTTTGATCTGTAGATTTTGCTAGATTACATTATCTGACCCATTAGAAATGAAAACTAGGACTGATTGGCTTTGAACCATAACCATTAACCTAGCAGATGGACAGTTACTAAGATGTCTGCTCCATTAGTCAGTCAGACAATCAAACTGTGGGGACAGGTCCCTTCCTGATGTATTAACCAATGTCCTCTCTTTACAGGGGAGGGTGAAGCTTGCTTGTCACAGTGATGTAAGGACTAAACCCACTCTAGCTCAATGTGTCTTCTCTCCTCTATGTCTCTTTTCTCTGGTGTTTTCTCGCCTCTCCGTCCGATACAAAGCAGTGGAAGCGATCGTTTCTCACTTTTAGTTTTTTAAATGGCGTTCCTCTTTGCCAGTTTACCGTACAGTTCTGTCTGTTGTAGTCCACCACCTGTAGACGTACCTGGAGCTACCTGCATCCCAGCCTCCACACAGACCAAGTACTGCTGGACACATGGAGGGTTGACGTTACAGTACATACTGTTAGCACACTAACAAACACCCCATAGGACAGGACTGCTGTAGGCCCGTTGCCTGACCTTGACCTCTGTTCCTCAACCGACTGGCATTGAACGTCCATGATGGCATAAACTATTTGATAAGCCACATTTATGAGATGAGAGTGGAACCCTTCTTGGTATTATCCTTTTGTAGGATGATAATGGTTCTCTGAGTCTTTGGACAGCCATTTTTGTTTGTTTAGTCTGTTCTCTGTTTAAAGAGTGTTCTCTTCGAGATAAGGTGTAGCCCCAGAGTGGTGGGTGCTGTGTGGTATTAGTGAGTGATCACTTAGTGATATACTTTGCTAACAGAGGATCACAGAGTCGTCATAGATACGGGATATATCACCACAGTGCTACTGCGAAGGCTGTGGGCTTGCTGGCTTGGTTGAACCTTTGCATTCACTGTCTGTCTGTGTGTGTGTGTGTGTGTGTGTGTGTGTGTGTGTGTGTGTGTGTGTGTCTGTGTCTGTGTCTGTGTCTGTGTCTGTGTCTGTGTCTGTGTGTGTGTGTGTGTGTGTGTGTGTGTGTGTGTGTGTGTGTGTGTGTGTGCGAGTGTGCGAGTGTGTGTCTCTGTGTGTGTGTGTGCTCTTACAATAAGCTGAACTCCTGTCTTCTCTTGCTGTGTGTGTGTGTGTGCGTGTGTGTGCGTGTTTGTGAGAAAGATAATGACTAGTATGATAGCTAGTATTTTTGAAAGTCCTGTAATGTGTTGAGTGAGTTTTGGAATGTGAATGTGAGTGACTCAGAACTGTCTGTCTTTTGTGATGTGACGGTTATCTGTGTGACTGCTACCCTGTGTCGTGACCATAATGAAGCCCTCTTCTCTCTGTTTATACCTCTGCTTGCCTCTAGGGCACTCAGCTCATCTCCAACGCTGCCAAGCAGCTGGGACAGCTCTCCAAGATAAAGGTACCACACATCTTGTCTCGTGCAACATTAGTACTGTCTGCATTTAAAAGTTCTGTATTTGTATTGTTAACCTGTCTGTGGGTGTGTTCCTCAGGAGCACATGGGTCGTGAGGAGGCCAAAGCCCTGTCCCCTAAGCAGTGTGCTGTGATAGAACTGGCCCTGGACACCATCAAGGTACAACCCAAAACTCCTGTCTTTCTCCTGAACCTAAGCACACACACACACACACACACACACACATAGAAACACACACACACACACTTTGACCAGATCGCCTACGACTGTTTAAAATATACATCATATTATATCATGAATAGAGTGGTTAATTTTAGGCCTTCCATTGAAGTCAGTAAAAGTGTTGGCCTTGGGCTAGTACAGTTAAACAACCCTAATCTATAAAAAATATTTTCAAGATGGATGAAAGCCTCATTTTCCCAGCCATGCTCTGTCTAACTGTAGCAGACAGGTCTATGATTCAGTGTGAGAAGGTTTCCTATGTGGCCTGTGTAGTGTGATTTAAGGCAGATTAAGCTGAGGTAAATTAGGCTAATTTGTAACGGTCATTTGAATAAGGGCTTGTCAGTGAGCCAATGGCAACTACTGCTCTGCCTGATTCCTAGAGTGTAGTTTGCCTGTGTAGTACTAAACCACTCTGTGTTAACATAGTAGTGTATCAGGAAACGTCAAGGTGTGGCTATCAGAAAAATGTTGTAGGAATGAAATGGCTGTATAAAGTCTGAAATGTATCTGCATGTAGTTTATTTCAGGGACATACAGGTATGGGTATTATAATGCATACTCAACACACTTCAGCCTAGTTTGGAAACAGCTATAGTCTGACTCTGTCATCTCTCTCTCTCTATCTCTCTCTCTCTCCTCTCTCTCTCTTCTCTCTCTCTCTCTCTCTCTCTCTCTCTCTCTCTCTCTCTCTCTCTCTCTTTCTCTTTCTCTCTCTCTCTCTCTCTCTCTGGCGTACTGTAGCAATACTTCCATGCTGGAGGGGTGGGTCTGAAGAAGACATTTCTGGAGAAGAGTCCTGACCTGTTGTCTCTACACTACGCCCTGTCCCTCTACACCCAGGCCACAGACAAACTCATCAAGACTTTTGTTTCATCTCAGATCGCACAAGGTAGGGTGCCTGTCCAACCCCTCTTTTCCCCCTGTTTCTCTCTCTCTCTCTCTCAATTCAATTTCAATTTAAGGGCTTTATTGGCATGGGAAACGTGTGTTAACATTGCCAAAGCAAGTGAAGTAGATAGTAAACAAAAGTGAAATAAACAATAAATATTAACAGTAAACATTACACTCAGAAGTTTCAAAAGAATAAAGACATTTCAAATGTCATATTATGTATATATACAGTGTTGTAACAATGTGCAAATAGTTAAAGTACAAATGGGAAAATAAATAAACATAAATATGGGTTGTATTTACAATGGTGTTTGTTCTTCACTGGTTGCCCTTTTCTTGTGGCAACAGGTCACAAATATTGCAGCTGTGATGGCACACTGTGGTTTTTCACCCAGTAGATAAGGGAGTTTATCAAAATTGGGTTTGTTTTCAAATTCTTTGTGGATCGCTGTAATCTGAGGGAAATATGTGTCTCTAATATGGTCATACATTTGGCAGGAGGTTAGGAAGTGCAGCTCAGTTTCCACCTCATTTTGTGGGCAGTGTGCACATAACCTGTCTTCTCTTGAGAGCCAGGTCTGCCTACGGCGGCCTTTCTCAATAGCAAGGCTATGCTCACTGAGTCTGTACATAGTCAAAGCTTTCCTTAAGTTTGGGTCAGTCACAGTGGTCAGGTATTCTGCCACTGTGTACTCTCTGTTTAGGGCCAAATAGCATTCTAGTTTGCTCTGTTTATTTGTTTGTTCTTTCCAATGTGTCAAGTAATTCTCTTTTAGTTTTCTCATGATTTGGTTGGGTCTAATTGTGTTGTTGTTGTTGTTGTTGTTGTTGTCCTGGGGCTGTGTGGGGTCTGTTTGTGTTTGTGAACAGAGCCCTAGGACAAGCTTACTTAGGGGACTCTTCTCCAAGTTAATCTCTCTGTAGGTGATGGCTTTGTTATGGAAGGTTTGGGAATCGCTTCCTTTTAAGTGGTTATAAAATTTAACGTCTCTTTTCTGGATTTTGATAATTAGCGGGTATTGGCCTAATTCTGCTCTGCATGCATTATTTGGTGTTTTACGTTGCAGAGTCTCAATTTGGTGTTTGTCCCATTTTGTGACTTCTTGGTTGGTGAGCGGACCCCAGACCTCAGAACCATAAAGGGCAATGGGTTCTATAACTGATTCAAGTATTTTTAGCCAGATCCTAATTGGTATGTCAAATTTTATGTTCCTTTTGATGGCATAGAAGGCCCATCTTGCCTTGTCTCTCAGATCGTTCACAGCTTTGTGGAAGTTACCTGTGGCACTGATGTTTAGGCCGAGGTATGTATAGTTTTTTGTGTGCTCTAGGGCAACGGTGTCTAGATGGAATTTGTATTTGTGGTCCTGGCAACTGGACCTTTTTTGGAACACCATTATTTTTGTCTTACTGAGATTTACTGTCAGGGCCCAGGTCTGACAGAATCTGTGCAGAAGATCTAGGTGCTGCTGTAGGCCCTCCTTGGTTGGTGACAGAAGCACCAGATCATCAGCAAACAGAAGACATTTTACTTCAGATTCTAGTAGGGTGAGGCCGGGTGCTGCAGACTGTTCTAGTGCCCTCGCCAATTCATTGATATATATGTTGAAGAGTGTGGGGCTTAAACTGCATCCCTGTCTCACCCCACAGCCCTGTGGAAAGAAATGTGTGTGTTTTTTGCCAATTTTAACCGCACACTTGTTGTTTGTGTACATGGATTTTATAATGTCGTATGTTTTTCCCCCAACCCCACTTTCCATCAATTTGTATAGCAGACCCTCATGCCAAATTGAGTCAAAAGCTTTTTTGAAATCAACAAAGCATGAGAAAACTTTGCCTTTGTTTTGGTTTGTTTGTTTGTCAATTAGGGTGTGCAGGGTGAATACATGGTCTGTCGTACGATAATTTGGTAAAAAGCCAATTTGACATTTGCTCAGTACATTGTTTTCACTGAGGAAATGAACTAGTCTGCTGTTAATGATAATGCAGAGGATTTTCCCATGGTTGCTGTTGACGCATATCCCACGGTAGTTATTGGGGTCAAATTTGTCTCCACTTTTGTGGATTGGGGTGATCAGTCCTTGGTTCCAAATATTGGGGAAGATGCCAGAGCTAAGGATGATGTTAAAGAGTTTAAGTATAGCTAATTGAAATTTGTGGTCTGTATATTTTATCATTTCATTGAGGATACCATCAACACCACAGGACTTTTTGGGTTGGAGGGTTTGTATTTTGTCCTGTAGTTCATTCAATGTAATTGGAGAATCCAGTGGGTTCTGGTAGTCTTTAATAGTTGATTCTAAGATTTGCATTTGATCATGTATATATTTTTGCTGTTGTTCTCTGTTATAGGGCCAAAAAGGTTGGAGAAGTGGTTTACCCATACATCTCCGTTTTGGATAGATAGCTCTTCGTGTTGTTGTTTGTTTTCCAATTTTCCCAGAAGTGGTTAGAGTCTATGGATTCTTCAATTACATTGAGCTGATTTCTGACATGCTGTTCCTTCTTTTTCCGTAGTGTATTTCTGTATTGTTTTAGTGATTCACCATAGTGAAGGCGTAGGCTCAGGTTTTCTGGGTCTCTATGTTTTTGGTTGGATAGGTTTCTCAATTTCTTTCTTAGGTTTTTGCATTCTTCATCAAACCATTTATCACTGTGATTACTTTTCTTTGGTTTTCTGTTAGAGATTTTTAGATTTGATAGGGAAGCTGAGAGGTCAAATATACTGTTTAGGTTTTCTACTGCCAAGTTTACACCTTCACTATTACAGTGGAACGTTTTGTCCAGGAAGTTGTCTAGAATGGATTGAATTTGTTGTTTCCTAATTGTTTTTTGGTAGGTTTCAACACTACTTTCCTTCCATCTATAGCATTTCTTAATATTATTCAGTTCCTTTGGCTTTGATGCCTCATGATTGAGTATTGCTCTGTTCAGGTAGGCTGTGATTTTGCTGTGATCTGATTGGGGTGTCAGTGGGCTGACTGTGAACGCTCTGAGAGACTCTGGGTTGAGGTCAGTGATAAAGTAGTCTACAGTACTACTGCCAAGAGATGAGCTATAGGTGTACCTACCATAGGATTCCCCTCGAAGCCTACCATTGACTATGTACATACCCAGTGTGCGACAGAGCTGCAGGAGTCGTGACCCGTTTTTGTTGGTTATGTTGTCGTAGTTGTGCCTAGGGGGGCATATGGGGGAGGGAATGCTGTCACCTCCAGGTAGGTGTTTGTCCCCCTGTGTGCTGAGGGTGTCAGGTTCTTGTCCAGTTCTGGCATTTAGGTCGCCACAGACTAGTACATGTCCCTGGGTCTGGAAATGATTGATTTCCCCCTCCAGGATGGAGAAACTGTCTTCATTAAAGTATGGGGATTCTAGTGGGGGGATATAGGTAGCACACAGGAGGACATTTTTCTCAGTTGAGATAATTTCCTTTTGAATTTCTAACCAAATGTAAAATGTTCCTGTTTTGATTAATTTAATAGAGTGAGTTAGGTCTGCTCTATACCAAATTAGCATACCCCCTGAGTCCCTTCCCTGTTTCACACCTGGTAGTTTGGTGGATGGGACTACCAGCTCTCTGTAACCTAGAGGGCAACCAGTGGGTCCGTCTCCTCTATGCCATGTTTCTTGTAGGATGACAATGTCTGTATTTCCGATTTCTTTGGTGAAGTCCAGATTCCTGCTCTTTAGGCCAAAGGCAGATGACCTCAGGCCTTGGATATTCCAGGATGAAATAGTGAAGGCTTTGTGTTCCATAAAGTGTCTAATGTTGTTGGTTGTGTGGTTTGGCCTCAGGCCAGTAATTGTGAGCAGAGCCTGCTGAGCATCTGGTACATGCCATTGGCTTGGGCTAGTGTAAGAGTGGGTGTTGGGCCTGTTTGCCTGCTCACGGCCTGGGCGTATGTGTGACTTTCATGTTGAGGTCCTCTTTGTGGGAGTGGGGGGCTTGGGGTGGGTAGGAGGGGCATAGGTCTGATCTGAGGGGGCCTAAATGGGGTGTGGGCATGGTTGACTTGGGGGGGAGTTAATTGGTGGGGGTGGGGGTGTAGATGTGGTTGATGGTGCTGTGGTCTGGATGTAGGTCCTCTCTGCGGGGGTCCTCTATGTGTAGGTCCTGGGGGGGGGTCCTGCAGGTCTGGGAGAGTGTCTCGCTGGTCTGGGCGGGGTGTCTGTTGATCTGTTGCTCCTGTGTGAGATGTTGGGTCTGCGGTTGAGGGCGATATCCTTTAGGGTCCGGGCGAAGGTGGGCACTGCTGCCTTGTATAGGTGGACCTGGTCATAAAGGCTGTTCACGTCCAGGGTGGAGTGGTGGGCCAGGAAGACATTTGGTTATGATGCACAGTTACGGGAAATACTTGCGTTTACCCGCTGTATGGTAGCAGGGTGGAAGTATTTTCATGGTAACAGGGTTGAGATAACCACTTGTGCGTTGGGGAAAGTAGAATAAGCTTTTTTCTATCACTCCCTTGAGTGATGTGGCCACCCTTTCCTGCTGTGTTCTCAGGTCGTTTGTGCCTGTGTGTATTATTATGTGGCTGGGTGATCCTAGTCGGTCCTCAGACAGAAGGTCTAGGGCGCGCTGGGTGTTTGGACACCAGAGTTTAGACACTGTGTGTTTTGGAAAAAGTTTATTTTCTTGTATGTATTTCCCGTTTGAGTCCATAAGGAGTACAATCTGTGGCTTGTGATGTCCTCAGTGGGTGTGGGGGGGTCGTCATGAGGGCTACTCTCTTTCTTCTCTCGCTCTGTGTTTCTCTCTCTCGCTCTGTTTCTCTCTCTCTCGCTCTGTGTTTTTCTCTCTCTCTCGCTCGCTCTCCTCTCTCTCTCTCTCTCGCTCTGTTTCTCTCTCTCTCTCTCTCTCTCTCTCTCTCTCTCTGTTTCTCCTCTCTCTCTCTCTCTGTTTCTCTCTCTCTCTCTCTCTCTCTGTGTTTCTCTCTCTCGCTCCCAAGTCTTCCATTTCTTTACTTCCTCTCCTCTCTCTCCTCTACCTCTAGTCAGTTTCTCTCTCACTGTGCTTAATGGACATTGATGTGTGTAATATGGCCACTTATTGAGTGTAATATGATGCCATAGCTCCGTGTATCTTTGTTTGCCTTCTGTGCTGGTATGTATCAGAGACATTCTCTAACATATCCTGTGTTGTGTTTACTCCGGGGTTTCCCACTATTTTTATTTCCTGTTAAATATTTCAGTGGTGTTATAGAGTAGAACCAACTGCTTTGGAGGGGTGCTTTCTCTCCGGGTTATAAAACATTTAAGTCTCTAGTCAGGCTCTCCGGGAGCGGAAAGAGAAACGCGTTATGTGATCAGACAGGTATTTGAGATTGAATTAACAAGAGATTCTCCTCTTTCTTCTTCTCTGTCCTCATCCCTCCATCGTGATATAACAGTGATGGTGTGTTAGGCGGTGGAAACATTGACCTGGTCTCTGAACGAAATGAATGATCATTTGAAATGTAATTAGAATATATATAATTGGTGATTTTAGAGAATGTTTAACCACACTTCATAGCAATGGCACAGTCAGAAGGAAGCTGTGTGTGTGTGTGTGTGTGTGTGTGTGTGTGTGTGTGTGTGTGTGTGTGTGTGTGTGTGTGTGTGTGTGTGTGTGTGTGTGTGTGTGTGTGTGGACCACCATAGACTATGAATAAGGACCACCATAGACTGGAAGGAGTTTCACTGGATGACAATGATGTAACTTCACTAGACGTCACTGATAACAGCATATTAATCAAGGATAACATCAATTCTTCGTCTGAATCTATTTGACTCTCTTCTGACTCTCTTTTGACTCTCTTCTGACTCTCTTTTGACTCTATGACTCTCAACTCTATCTCTGCACTCTTTCTATTTCTCAGTCTCTTCTATTTTCTCTCTTCTTCCTCCTCCTCGACACCCTCTGTCCGCTAGTTTTCGACGGGAAGGGAGTGAGGTTCACGGCTAGTGAGGATGTGTACCCAGAGAAAGGTATGTGGACACTAAGGGCCTGAAAACACCAGGCCTCCAAGGACCTAGACCTCCACCCCCATATGCATCCTCGGACTACCCTCCTGCCTGCTCAACCTCATCCCAACACACACACACGGACATAGGACATGTATGCGTGCATGCGTATGACATCCAGTACACACATATGATGTAGGTACTACGTATACATACTCAGTATGTATGACCTGAAACTACTAAGGCATGGTAGCCATCAGACAAAGGGAACCACATTATAAGACTGTGAGGACTCATGCTCTGTCAGAGGCAGAGTCATCAGTATGCATCATAGGAGAAGACCCATGTGCATGCAAAAGGATGAGAGAGAGAGTGAGTCAGACAATGACTGGGCAAAAGGAGTGTGTGTGTGGGTGGGTGTTCATCTCTGACTGACTGTGTGAAAGGGTATTTTATTTTGAACCACAGGGTCTGTCTCCTGCAAGGTGTTGGAGTTGGGGATTTCTTTTTTGCTTGTTTTGTTTTCCCCTCCTCCTTTTTGAATGATGGAGTGATGATGATGATAATGACAGATGGCTCCTTGCCATACCATACCCCCTGTTCTACACGTAAGCACGCACATACACACACACAACGCCTCCACCGTCCCTCCAATGTGCAGAGTGGCCAGTCATCCCTCCCCAGGGCAGGTCCCTCCAGCAGTGACAATTGACAGTCCCCCCCCTCCCCCCCACTCCCCTTCGGCAAAACACAGAATCGTCCAATCAGCAGTAGTCCCTGGGGTCAGGTGGTGCGCTCTTTGTCAGTGTATATCAGATCTGAGGGTCTGATTCCACATCTCCTCCTCAGAGATTTAGACACTAAACTGCTACACACACACACACACTCAGCTCTCCAGGAAATAAGCTCTCTAATGTATACTGTATTATGCAGCTGTTGAATTATAATCAGTTTAGATTGCTCTTATTCCACACAAAAAAGTGTTGTGATGCACCCTCTGACCCTCTGAGTGACTGGAGGACATCATGCCCATCACACAGAGCAGCCAGAACTCTACTGTTGCCCTCCTACAGAACTCTCACTTCACCAGCCTGTACCTCACCGACACACAGACATTTTTCAGTCACCACTGATTAAAACGTTCAGAGATATAAATCATTGCAAACTTAGATCACATTTTAGGGAATGAAAGTCAGTCAACCTACCTACCTACCCACAATTTCCACCATCATCCCTCCTCCCTCCCAGACAAACTATGTCCGTGCCTGACTGGAGCCCGCTACAGGGCCCTGCATGTATCCCGCTAACCCTCACCACCCCCCAGGCCTAGCAGCATGGAACGAAGGACCCCAAACCCAGGCCCAAGGCTATCCTGTGTTGTGTGGAGAGGTACACACATTCCCTTGTCAAGTACACTTCAAATCCTGTTGGCTTTCTGGGCAAAATTCCCCTTGAAGTTGCAAGATAACAAGCACTCTATAGGCATGTATGCACCCTGCCTCAGGATAACTGTGACTGGGCCACTGGTCTGCTCCCACAGCATGGTCCCTCCAGTTGCCATGCTTGCTCTGTGTAAAGGGTTCAGCAAGGAATGGGTTTCTCCGTCTGACTGGATCCATCTCAGCATGTTACTTGCCTACTCTGCTCTGCCCAGCAGCAGTAGAGGAGGACTGCGATAACCCTCTCCTCTCTCACCACCAGTCTCCTCTGACCTGCCTCCCACTGCCATCACCGCTGCATCCTAACTGAAAGGCTCCTACCCCCTGGGGCCGGGCAGGCAGAGTCACAGGGCAGCTATGAGTGGTTACATGAATTTATCCAAAGAACTTTAATAACATCAGATGCTTCTCGTATTTAGTTTGCCTGGAACTGTTAACTGAAAAGTTCTTTACAACCCAAAACCACTCATAGCTGCATTCTCTGATTGTCCCCTCATACAGGCCTACTTCTCTCAAGCCCTATGAAATATGTTGTTTGTTTTCCCACCCTCAGACACAGTTACATCTGCCAGACTTAAGCATACAGCCTATCATGACTGTATTGTACTGAGGGAGTATGGGCAGAAGGGAAGGTGTTCTGGCTATAGTGTTGGCCTGCCTGCAGCTGTGAAAGAGGCCCCACTCTGGGCCACAGAGGAGTGACTTGTACCCCTGTCCCTGTCAGGCTCTGGTGTGGACGACGCTGTGGGAGAAGTGTCTATCCACGTGGAGATCTTCACCCACCCCAACACTGGAGAGCACAAGGTCACTGTCAAAGGTCAGTGTCCAGTCAATTCTGTCAGAGATTTCATTTCATCATGTCTTAAAAATTGTTTTCAGAGGGTAACTCATACCACAGAAAATGTCTCTTTGGCTTTGTTGGGCGGTGTGTTAAAACCTTGTTGATAAATGACCTCCCGTGTCTATTTCTTTTTCCCTCTCCCTCTCTGTCTCAGTGGTGGCAGCCAATGACCTGAGGTGGCAGACCACGGGGGTGTTCCGTCCCTTCGTGGAGATCTACATCATTGGTCCTCATCTAGCTGACAAGAAGAGGAAGTACGCCACGAAGTCCAAGAACAACAGCTACGCCCCCAAATACAACGAAACGTTCACATAGTGAGTATTACAGTCTGGCCTCAGTGGTACAAAGCGTCTTGCGATTGAGGTGGCATCATATTGGAAGTGATCATGTTAGATATTGAATAGGGAATCCTGTCAGTTTTTAATCTATTTACCGGATCACACTTCTACATTCCAAAGTGGTGGAATCAGTGTAGATGCATTAGACTCTAAGCTGTGTGTCTCTGTCTTCTCTCCTTGCAGCACCCTCAGTAACGAGGTGGGCACAGAGTGTTACGAGCTGCAGGTGTGTGTGAAGGACTACTGCTTCGCCCGGGAGGACCGTATGGTGGGCATAGCCGTAATGCAGTTGAAGGACTTGTCCTCTAGGGGCAGCGTGGCGTGCTGGCTCCCCTTGGGGAAGAGGGTCCACATGGACGAGACGGGCCTCACCGTCCTCCGCATCCTGTCCCAGCGCAACAACGACGACGTGGCAAAGGAGTTCGTTAAGCTCAAGTCAGACCAGCGCTCTCCCGAGGAGGGCCAAGGATGAGAAGTCTTTATTCGCTCAGCGCCATCTACAGGCTAGGAAGTCCTTCTGCGGACCGACTGCAAGCCAAACTACTGCCCTGATTTTCTAGTGTTGGTCAAGCACAGAGAAACAGTTCTTTACTACAGTACTGTACATACATCTTATTGAAGAGGACATTTGATACCATCTACAGGCATTGCCCTGGTTGTCTTGAAAGCACCAATGTCTTTATTATGAATATAATGAATCATGTAATTTTGCATAGATATATTCATAAACACAACAAACTCACAAAACGGACCAACTTACTACAACACATTCACACAAAGAGAGTTTAAAGGGATAGTTCGGGATATTGGCAATGAGGCCCTTTATCTACTTCCCCAGAGTCAGATGAACTTGTGGATACCATTTTTATGTATCTGTGTCCAGTATGAATTAGAGGTACTTTCGCGAGCCAATGGATCAATCAATAACGTTATGTCAAGTCAAGCCCCAAGCACAAGTTAACAGGACCAACTGTATGCAGCAGACCAGCAGGCTTTTAGGCCTCATCCATTCCAAAGAGTAAGGTTTACACAGACTGGTTTATGATACTATTTCTATGAGTTTTCCACAGTAGGTTGAATTCAGAATCTTTTCTAATTCCCCCATGGAGTTTTCTATAGCAGAGCAGGCTGGACTAAATATAGATTGAAATGTTTATATATGTTATATAGAGAGATAATATCGGTCAATTTATGGTATATTTAAATACTATATGAAGACTTTGAACTTGAAAGAGTGTCCCTGTCTGTGTCTCTGTTTATAAGTCTGTTTGTCTACCCTGTTACAGAGCACACTGCCTGAAACCCTCAAATGCCTTGTCCTGTCAAACCTCAAATGCCTTGTCTGTTTTCAGTACAAAGTGAGAGCAACCTGATGAAGACAAGCCTCGGAGCACTGTGATTCATCAGTGTGTGTGTGTGTTTGAGAGAAAGAAATGAGTGAGTGTGTGTATATACTGTTTATGTGTGTGTTATAATTAAGCAATAAGACCCGAGGGACTGTGGTATATGACCAATATACCACGGCTAAGGTCTGTTCTTAAAGCACGACGCAACGCGGAGTGCCTGGACACAGGCCTTAGCCGTGGTATATTGGCCATATATCACAAACACCTGAGGTGTCTTATTGCTATTATAAACTGGTTACCAACGTAATTAGTGCAGTAAAAATAAATGGTATACGGTCTCATATACCACGGCTTTCAGCCAATCAGCATTCAGGGCTCGAACCACCCAGTTTATAATACTACAACGTTGACCTCGTGTAGACACCAGTGTTCCCTGTTTGTGTCTTTTACTTTGGTTTATTGCTTGTTTGGTCAGAAACATTCCGTGGGCTGTACAGTGTATGACCAGAGCTCCATTTGTTTGCCTTGGAAAACAGCCACCTCCTCTCTCTCCTTCAACCTCTCTGATCGATATGTGTCAGTGTGGAGGAGAGCGTTTAGAGACAAAAGACAGAGACGTTTCTTACCGCTTGTGTTGCCATAGCAACCTCTTATCAAATGAAGATGTCAGGCCACATGTGACCCCCACGGTCTCTTTATTCCCCTCTGCTGGGGCAGGCACACATAACCTAGACATTACCACATTTACCTAAAATGGCCTCTTCCCAGGCTGTCTGGTCCAGGTTTTGTGCACACACAGCCTGTCCACAAGGGCTATAGTACCAGTCCTGCCCTCTCCAGTGACACTTGCCATAGATAGATGACTGAGATAGCTTTGCATCTAATGGGATAGGAGTCTATAGGCCACGAATACACAGCCTCACAGACTGCTGTACTGTGCCTGTATTAACGTACAGGTATTGCAGCTGTAGCAATGAATGGCACAATATCATATGTATTGCTGTTGACAATGATACTAAGTATATTCGGTCACTGAGACCATTCTCTTTCAGACGTTTAGTGTCTGTGCTTTGAGGTAAAAAGGAAATCACACCCTTTCAGGTTTGCATGTACAGTGGGGAAAAAAAGTATTTAGTCAGCCACCAATTGTGCAAGTTCTCCCACTTAAAAAGATGAGAGAGGCCTGTAATTTTCATCATAGGTACACGTCAACTATGACAGACAAATTGAGAAAAAAAAATCCAGAAAATCCCATTGTAGGATTTTTTATGAATTTATTTGCAAATTATGGTGGAAAATAAGTATTTGGTCACCTACAAACAAGCAAGATTTCTGGCACTCACAGACCTGTAACTTCTTCTTTAAGAGGCTCCTCTGTCCTCCACTCGTTACCTGTATTAATGGCACCTGTTTGAACTTGTTATCAGTATAAAAGACACCTGTCCACAACCTCAAACAGTCACACTCCAAACTCCACAATGGCCAAGACCAAAGAGCTGTCAAAGGACACCAAAAACAAAATTGTAGACCTGCACCAGGCTGGGAAGACTGAATCTGCAATAGGTAAGCAGCTTGGTTTGAAGAAATCAACTGTGGGAGCAATTATTAGGAAATGGAAGACATACAAGACCACTGATAATCTCCCTCGATCTGGGGCTCCACGCAAGATCTCACCCCGTGGGGTCAAAATGATCACAAGAATGGTGAGCAAAAATCCCAGAACCACACGGGGGGACCTAGTGAATGACCTGCAGAGAGCTGGGACCAAAGTAACAAAGCCTACCATCAGTAACACACTACGCCGCCAGGGACTCAAATCCTGCAGTGCGAGACGTGTCCCCCTGCTTAAGCCAGTACATGTCCAGGCCCGTCTGAAGTGCATTTGGATGATCCAGAAGAGGATTGGGAGAATGTCATATGGTCAGATGAAACCAAAATATAACTTTTGGTAAAAACTCAACTCGTCATGTTTGGAGGACAAAGAATGCTGAGTTGCATCCAAAGAACACCATACCTACTGTGAAGCATGGGGTTGGAAACATCATGCTTTGGGGCTGTTTTTCTGCAAAGGGACCAGGACGACTGATCCGTGTAAAGGAAAGAATGAATGGGGCCATGTATCGTGAGATTTTGAGTGAAACCCTCCTTCCATCAGCAAGGGCATTGAAGATGAAACGTGGCTGGGTCTTTCAGCATGACAATGATCCCAAACACACCGCCCGGGCAACGAAGGAGTGGCTTCGTAAGAAGCATTTCAAGGTCCTGGAGTGGCCTAGCCAGTCTCCAGATCTCAACCCCATAGAAAATCTTTGGAGGGAGTTGAAAGTCTGTGTTGCCCAGCGACAGCCCCAAAACATCACTGCTCTAGAGGAGATCTGCATGGAGGAATGGGCCAAAATACCAGCAACAGTGTGTGAAAACCTTGTGAAGACTTACAGAAAACGTTTGACCTGTGTCATTGCCAACAAAGGGTATATAACAAAGTATTGAGAAACTTATGTTATTAACCAAATACTTATTTTCCACCATCATATGCCAATAAATTCATTAAAAATCCTACAATGTGATTTTCTGGATTTTTTTTTCTCATTTTGTCTGTCATAGTTGACGTGTACCTATGATGAAAATTACAGGCCTCTCTCATCTTTTTAAGTGGGAGAACTTGCACAATTGGTGGCTGACTAAATACTTTTTTTCCCCACTGTATGTAGGACAGACAGGCACGGAGGCATGGTACAGAGCTATAGAAGAAGTGCAATGATAACCAGACAGACACACATGTACTGTCACTGACACACCTACACAGGCAGACACATTGGCCATGTTCAAGAGCATCAATTGACTGATTTACAAATAATAATGAGTAGTTGATTAGGATGATGATTTGTAGATCAGTCAGTCTGCAGTCGCCGACTGAAATGTAGTCCATCTTCGAACACGACCACACAGTGATGCCAGCCTTGTACATAGGAATCAGTGCATAATGGGAAAAACATTTATTGTGCCAGCATGTGTTTATTTGATGTTATATTTGGCAATTGTTGTCTTCTTCATTTATTTTGACATCTTAGTATTATTTGTAAAAATGCAGATGTTTGTGAATATATTTATATGTATTGCTGATGATGATGTGTAACTGTTACATAATACTCGCAAGAGAGGATTTTTTTTATACTGAAGTCTGGGTGTTCTTATTGGGGTGGGGCGGTTGGGGATTGCAGCATTGCTGTGTTTCTGTTCCAATAAAATGTTAGAGAAAATCTCTCATTTTCATAGTGTCCATATGGATCAGAGTGAAAAACATATTTACAATATTATGTTTATATTGTACAATTATAATAGTGTATTCTGATATCTGGAACATATTACCAATTTCTAAATGTATTAAGCACACATTTCCAATGTACAAACTTTCACAGTAGAAAAATACACCTAGGTAGGCACTGAGGTAGGTGTGATGCCTCGAATAAGGAAATGTCTATCAGCAGACAGGAAATACTGTAATAGTACAGATAAGGAAATCTTTGTGTCAAAAATCAATACTATGAAACAGATAAGAAAATCCATATGACCATTCTAACAGCCCAATCAGAAGAACAGTAGCATGTGCTACTGAAAGAAAGAGTAATGCCTGATACAAAATAAGACAATTACACATATATATTCACGTATTACTTTGATATACTGTATATCCTGCAGGAAAAAGACCTGATGCAGCAGTACCAAGACTTGTAATCCACAGTGAAAGACCTGTATAACTACTGCTTCCTCTCAGGCCCGTCACAGTAACACATCTTGAGGGAATCTGGGATGTCCAGCTGGTCAGCGTGGACGGTCTGGGGCGGCAGGTAGGGGAACACATGCCATATGTCCATCAGCAGCTGTGGAGGCTGACCCTGATGGAACAGAGAGGAGATGATGACCACACAGTCACAACATAAATTAAAAATTTCAATATGCCATTTTATGAGCAGACGTATTTCCATTACTGTTGTATGTGTTACGGTACAGTACCTGCACTGTGCAGATAAAAATGAGTGTCACCCTCTCCTCTAGGTCAGAATCGTCACAATCTGTAGCACAACAGAGACAGACAGTAAGCTTAGCCCTGCAAGCGTGTGTTCAGTAGGAAGAAACATTCAGGAGTTTGGACATAAACATATACTGCATAGAAAGGACATGGTTCTTTAGCAAAGACAATAATGTTCACAGAATAATATTGGTTTTATTCTATTGAATTAATATCTGCAACAATTTGAACATTTCACCCTACCAATACCAGCTTAAAAACCACCAAGGCAGCGCAGGTATGAACGAGGGCCTGCGCATCAGCGTCAGTCTTCTTGCCCACTTGCAGGAGCTGAGCGGCCTGGGTGAGAGGCTCCAACATGGCCACAGCTCCCCCTGCCTGCAGCCCACGGCTCCGCAGCCACTCCAGCAGACTCACATTATACCTGGCAGAACACAGCAGAACGCAAGGACTGAACCTTATAGAGTTTCATCCAACACTTAACTTGTATCTACGCTATACACAAACTGACTTTACAAACTAAGTCTAGATTTATATTAGATATCTGGTTGCATATCTTTTACTGAAACTTGTTCCTGCGCAGGCCCTGTGTGTGCATAAATGCATGTGTGTGTGTCTGTCCTCTGAGCTCCAGCTACACATGTCCTTGCGCCGCAGCAGGCTGTTGAGGGCAGAAGCAGAGAGGAGGTGGGTGAGCTGGCGGAAGGCCTGCTCCATCAGGATGGGAGGCAGGGCCTGGCGGGACAGGGCCGTGTGGAGGGCGCCCAGCTCCCTCAGCACTGCAGCCATAGTGGGGGCCTCCCCTGCACCCCTGTCCCTGGGGTCAGACCCTGCACACTTCCTAAAGCCCCCCAGCTTCACCCCCATACCCAGAGGGCACTGTCCATCCTCACGCCTAGAACACATACAGAGAGGTCACATTAACTAACGATATACTGTAGTTGGGGCAGAGGTCACATTCACTAACTATATACTGTAGTTGGGGCAGAGGTCACATTCACTAACTATATAGTTGGGGCAGAGGTCACATTCACTAACTATATAGTTGGGGCAGAGGTCACATTCACTAACTATATACTATAGTTTGGGCAGAGGTCACATTTACTAATATGTTTGTGTTTTTCAATGTATTGTAAATGTGTCATACTACTTGGGCATTTGTGTATGAACGCAGTGGTTCATGTTGCTACACTGAAAAACTAAGACTGTCTCTAAGCAGTGTGGGATTTAGGGTAAGGTTTGAGGCCGGAGCTAGGGTTAAGGTTAGGATTGGGGTTGGAGATGGAGCTAGGGTTAGGGTTAGGTTAGGAGACTGTACACTCGACAGCCGTAGATGTCCAGCTGGCACAGGTCACCGCACATATCATGACAATCCCTTCAAAATGCAAAAAGTAAACTCAAGAAAAGAAAAGAGAAGTGGGAGGGGGAGGGTTACCGTAACAAAATAGGAGAGTATATTTTTTAGTTTATATAAAAAATATATATATGATAGTTGTAGGTAAAAGCGCCAATTAAACGTATCATGTGGGAAACGGTATTGGATCTCCCTAGGGGTTAGGGTTAGGCATAAGAACTGAGGAGATTAGGGTTCAGGCTCAGGCCTCAGGAGAGGTCAAGATTAAGCATAGGGGCCAAAATGGTTAGGGTTAGGTATTGGGGCCAGAGAGGTTAAGGTTAAGACTCAGGTCTCTGGAGTGGTTAGGGTTGGGTATGGGGGCCAGAGAGGTTAGGGTTAAGACTCAGGTCTCTGGAGTGGTTAGGGTTGGGTATGGGGGCCAGAGAGGTTAAGGTTAAGACTCAGGTCTCTGGAGTGGTTAGGGTTGGGTATGGGGGCCAGAGAGGTTAAGGTTAAGACTCAGGTCTCTGGAGTGGTTAGGGTTGGGTATGGGGGCCAGAGAGGTTAAGGTTAAGACTCAGGTCTCTGGAGTGGTTAGGGTTGGGTATGGGGGCCAGAGAGGTTAAGGTTAAGACTCAGGTCTCTGGAGTGGTTAGGGTTGGGTATGGGGGCCAGAGAGGTTAAGGTTAAGACTCAGGTCTCTGGAGTGGTTAGGGTTGGGTATGGGGGCCAGAGAGGTTAGGGTTAAGACTCAGGTCTCTGGAGTGGTTAGGGTTGGGTATGGGGGCCAGAGAGGTTAGGGTTAAGACTCAGGTCTCTGGAGTGGTTAGGGTTGGGTATGGGGGCCAGAGAGGTTAGGGTTAAGACTCAGGTCTCTGGAGTGGTTAGGGTTGGGTATGGGGGCCAAAGAGGTTAAGGTTAAGACTCAGGTCTCTGGAGTGGTTAGGGTTGGGTATGGGGGCCAGAGAGGTTAAGGTTAAGACTCAGGTCTCTGGAGTGGTTAGGGTTGGGTATGGGGGCCAGAGAGGTTAAGGTTAAGACTCAGGTCTCTGGAGTGGTTAGGGTTGGGTATGGGGGCCAGAGAGGTTAAGGTTAAGACTCAGGTCTCTGGAGTGGTTAGGGTTGGGTATGGGGGCCAGAGAGGTTAGGGTTAAGACTCAGGTCTCTGGAGTGGTTAGGGTTGGGTATGGGGGCCAGAGAGGTTAGGGTTAAGACTCAGGTCTCTGGAGTGGTTAGGGTTGGGTATGGGGGCCAGACAGGTTAGGGTTAAGACTCAGGTCTCTGGAGTGGTTAGGGTTGGGTATGGGGGCCAGAGAGGTTAGGGTTAAGACTCAGGTCTCTGGAGTGGTTAGGGTTGGGTATGGGGGCCAGAGAGGTTAAGGTTAAGACTCAGGTCTCTGGAGTGGTTAGGGTTGGGTATGGGGGCCAGAGAGGTTAAGGTTAAGACTCAGGTCTCTGGAGTGGTTAGGGTTGGGTATGGGGGCCAGAGAGGTTAAGGTTAAGACTCAGGTCTCTGGAGTGGTTAGGGTTGGGTATGGGGGCCAGAGAGGTTAAGGTTAAGACTCAGGTCTCTGGAGTGGTTAGGGTTGGGTATGGGGGCCAGAGAGGTTAAGGTTAATACTCAGGTCTCTGGAGTGGTTAGGGTTGGGTATGGGGGCCAGAGAGGTTAAGGTTAAGACTCAGGTCTCTGGAGTGGTTAGGGTTGGGTATGGGGGCCAGAGAGGTTAAGGTTAAGACTCAGGTCTCTGGAGTGGTTAGGGTTGGGTATGGGGGCCAGAGAGGTTAGGGTTAAGACTCAGGTCTCTGGAGTGGTTAGGGTTGGCTATGGGGGCCAGAGAGGTTAAGGTTAAGACTCAGGTCTCTGGAGTGGTTAGGTTTGGGTATGGGGGCCAGAGAGGTTAAGGTTAAGACTCAGGTCTCTGGAGTGGTTAGGGTTGGGTATGGGGGCCAGAGAGGTTAAGGTTTAGGCCTCAGGAGTAGTTTGTTTATTTTATTTTATTATTGTTATAAAAATTTTGGTTGGCCCTGTAGTTAGGGTTGGGGCTGGGTTTACGGTTGGCCCTGGAGGTGGGGCTGGGGTTAGGGTTGGGGCTGGGTTTACGGTTGGGGCTGGAGGTGGGGCTGGGGTTAGGGTTGGGGCTGGGGTTAGGGTTAGGGATGGAGTTAGAGTTGGGTCTGGAGTTAGGGTTGGGGCTGGAGTTGGGGCTGGAGTTAGAGTTGGGGATGGAGTTAGGGCTGGGGATATATTTAGGGTTTGGGCTGGGGTTAGGGTTGGGGTCGGGGATCCTACCTGTTATCAGGGTCTTCATGAGCTTGGCCTCGTCCCTCTTCCTACACTCCAGCAGCCCTGTGACAATCCCAGCCTTGGCCAGGGGGGCAGGGGAATCCTCTGTGGACTTGGCATTTTTCAGGTGTACTGTATAATAATTGTGTGTGTTTTTCCAGACCTGTCTGTGTCAGTGGTCTCCTGAGTGTGGCTGTGTGTCTCAGCGCGCTTAGTTCTCTCCTCAGTCTGCAGACCTCCCGCTCCCTGGCTTCGACCAGCTCCACCAGGTACTGAACAGTGAGCACACATACAGGACCATTATGACACATTAATAGCAGCGACGCCCAAAGTTACAGTATCTGCACTATAATCCACCTCAAGATGCCAGACCACTGAAATGAGGCCCTACCTGCTGGTATGCAGTGGAGGAGGGGTCAGAGCAGGTCAGTTTAACCTGCAGCCTCAGGGCCTCCAACTCCGCCTCCTTCTGAGAGTGCTGGCTCCGCAGCTGGCTCTCCAGGAACCTGACAGGAACACACAGACTGGGGGTAGAATCTATCTGCATTCGTTTATGGTAACAAAATGTAAATATATAAAAGGTGGCAGGTAGCCTAGCGGTTAGAGTGTTGGACCAGTAACCAAAATATCGCTGGTTCGTATACCCGAGCCGACGAGGTGAGAAATCTGTCGATGTGCACTTAACCCTAATTTGCTCCAGGGGCGCTGTACTACTATGGCTGACCCTGTAAAACAACACATTACACTGCACCTATCCGGTGTATGTCACAATAAAACATATTTATTGCTGTGAAGGTATTGATCAGGAAACAAGGACTGACTTGTTGGCCACTCGTACAGCATCATAGGCCTGCCCCAGATCTTCTCCTGTCATCTTCCCAGCTGAGTCTTTAGCCACACCCATATTCTCCATCAGACAGCATAATCTCAGCCAATCATGAGAAGCCATATTGTTTGATTGATAAGTAGGACTAAATCACACCCATCCTACTGATTCCCCGTTAAGGACCTATCTATCCAGAGGGTGGGGGTCTCACCATGGGTGTGTCCGAGCCAGGCCAGGCCATCCTCTCTGTGGTGGGGGACGTCACACTAACCCTCCTCACCTCCTCCATAGAGGGGAAGGCAGGGAGGCCGAAGAAGGAAGGTGTGACCGGGAAGGCAGGGGGACCGGAAAAGCGGGGCGACAATGGGGACAGAGATGGGGACCGGGGATCCAGGATCAGGCTCTGGTTTGAATCTGTCCATCTGTGGCCCTTAGTACACACAGAGAAATATTATTATTTTTTAGAGAGGTTGAATAGTATAGCCTGGGTATCACTCTACAATGCTACATTTATGCCTCACATTGGCAAAACAGAGAGACTGGCACCCAAGCTAGTGAAATATAGAGTTGGATATGAGTACCTCAGTGAACATGCTCATCTCTCGGAAGTTGTCGTATCTCTGCTCCAGCCTGGTGAACTCTCTGAGCAGGCCCTGGTACTTCCTCTTCATCCAGCTCAGCTGTCAGAGCTTTACCTGCCTGGGCCAGCGCCTGGACTACACACTCTGGACACACACACACACACACACACACACACACACACACCAACACACATGTACGCATGATTACAGACAAATGTAGATACACACATTGATAAAAACATATAGCAATTATGAATACACCTACCCTCCTGAGCCTTCCCCTGCTTCAGTAAGCGAGTGCTCAGATCCTCCTTCTCTTTCCCCAAAGAGTCCCTCTCTCCTGCAGGGCCTTCACCTACTGTAAACAGAGAAAGAGGTGAGTGACCGTGACCTTAAATACCACTACTCCGCAGAAAACCATAAGGGATGTTCCAGATCCATTAGGATCAACAAGACCTACCTGTGTGAGTCGTAGAATCTCCTGGGCTGCTTTCTCCTCTGCCCCCATCCTCTCTTCCATCTCCTTCTCTGTGATGGCGGGGCTGGACTGAGGCTGCTGGGCCTGGAGCTGGGTCTCTAGCTGGTTCTCCAGTTTAACTAGCGCCCCCGCAGGGCATCCAGCTCAGTGCTGTGGGCCTTACGCTCCTCCTGGAGGGTCTCTCTCAGAGCACTGCTATCTGTGATCTGAAGACACACACATAAACACACACACATTTTCACTTCTGTATTATTCATTTTGCACATGTATTTTTTTCACTCTGGATGTACCTCCTCAAAATCCACCAGCCCACCTCCTACAAACACCTGGTCTCCTCTACCTATCCCCAAAAAAAACAATCCATTGTCTTCTGAAGCCCCCTCACCATCTCCTTCCCAGGCTTCTCCACCCTTCTACACCTCCACCCATGCACCATCCCATCCCCTTTCTCACCACCCACCATAACCCCAGCATCTCACCTCCTGGTCAGCCCTGAGCTGCAGCTGCATCAGTTTGAACTCCATGCCCTTGTTGAGTTCTCTGAACTTCTCCAATGAGCGAACCTCTGCCTTCAGCTTCACCAGCACCCTCCTAGCTGCCCGCCGCCTCACACAGCACTGTATCAGCACATTGCTGCGATCACCCGCCTGTACACCCGCCGGGCCAGCCAGCCACGCACTGCAGACTGCAGTAACACCGCTGCCCGCTCCACCACCACCTGGGGAAGGAGAAGAGAAGAAGAAGAGATGCATTGTATTATCACACACACAACCTACTGGGGTTTTGGATACAAACTAAAGGATTACAGTTGTGATAAAGTACAAGGACAGTCTAGCATCTGGATCAGATATTACTGAGGAGAAGTTCCTGGGTCCTACCCTGCCTTATCTCTGGAGGTTTAGGCCTGGTATTAAATATATGAAATGCATTTTATATTTAAAGCCATAAAAACATTTGATTTATTGCTAGATAGATTGTGGGGCCTTTGTGCCAGCCTTTCCTCACCAGTCTGTATTGGCGTTGTGCCAGCGTGCCCCTGGTGAAGGTCTGGATGGAGACGGTGGCCTCGCGGATCATCAGGAACATCCGTCTTCTGGATGACCAGCGCTGCCTTGGTGCAGCGCAGAGTGTCTGCCAGCCTACACCACACAGAGCACTACAGTAGTTTGAATAGCTGGACAAATGTAGATGCCCTACTGCTGAGACACATTGTACTATATGGCAGTACACAGTCAAATAACATTGATGTGTTATCGTGCCACACAGCCAGTCATTCTGCTCTCACCGTTTGGCCAGGGCTCCTCTGGTGTGTCTCTGGATGGTGAGTTTTGCCCAAGTGGGTCTTAATGTATCTCCTGCGGCCCAGCCAGCCTCTGACCCAGCTCTGGATGATCACCCCCGCCGCCCTCAGCCTCTCTGCCCTCATCCTCTCCAGCAGAGCTACCTGCCCTGTCCGGAAGAACACCTTGGTCTTTCCAAAGCAGTACTGTTCCCGGTCTGGGATGATCTCTGGCAGGGCCCGCTGGCACGACGCCTGAATCTGCTCCTGGGTCTGAAACCCACCCCTGCGCAAGAGCACCCGGTACCGGCTACAGAACTCTGCATAGGTCCCTGGAACCAAGATGTTCGAGTGAGGAGGGAGACAGAGTTTGACAAAGTGAGTACAAATACTCTGAGACCTTGGATTGTGTGTTTTTCATCAACTTAGGTACAGGACAGGTACAATATTCAACGTATATGAAATAACTATGCTACTATATGCAAATTAACCGTGTATATGAAGGCTTTGTCTGTGACTGATGTTAAATGTACAGTGTACATGGATGGGTAGCCTGCAGCACTGATGCGTATGGTCTCCAGCACCCCACAGGCATGCAGCTGCTGGACTGCCCTTTTAGGGTCAAACCTGACAGGGGAAATCTGCTTAACACTCTACACACACACACACACACACCACACACACACACCCTACTGACAATAAACACATTATACAAACACTGTTTAACCTCTACGGGATCGGTGTCCCATATACAGGACGGTTGAGCAAATGTGATTAGCATGACATTTCAGGACATAGACATATCTTATATGGGCAGAAAGCTTAAATTCTTGTTAATCCAACTGCACTGTCCAATTCACAGTAGCTATTACAGTGAAAATATACCATGCTATTGTTTGAGGAGAGTGCACAACAACAAAAAACTTATCACGGCAACTGGTCTGATACATTCACCTCTGAAGGTAAATAATGTACTTACATTCAGTAATCTTGCTCTGATTTGTCATCCTAAGGGTCCCAGAGATAAAATATAGCATAGTTTTGTTTGATAAAATCCATTTTAATATTCAAATGTAGGAACTGGGTTCTACAGTTTGAACCCCTGCTGTCTCTGGCTCCACACCCACCATGCCCTGCCATCTAGATGTGTGAAAGTTAGTGTATAAGCTAATGATCAATCAATCAATCAATTTTATTTTATATAGCCCTTCGTACATCAGCTAATATCTCGAAGTGCTGTACAGAAACCCAGCCTAAAACCCCAAACAGCTAGTAATGCAGGTGTAGAAGCACGGTGGCTAGGAAAAACTCCCTAGAAAGGCCAAAACCTAGGAAGAAACCTAGAGAGGAACCAGGCTATGAGGGGTGGCCAGTCCTCTTCTGGCTGTGCCGGGTGGAGATTATAACAGAACCATGCCAAGATGTTCAAAAATGTTCATAAGTGACAAGCATGGTCAAATAATAATCAGGAATAAATCTCAGTTGGCTTTTCATAGCCGATCATTAAGAGTTGAAAACAGCAGGTCTGGGACAGGTAGGGGTTCCATAACCGCAGGCAGAACAGTTTAAACTGGAATAGCAGCAAGGCCAGGCGGACTGGGGACAGCAAGGAGTCACCACGGCCGGTAGTCCCGACGTATGGTCCTAGGGCTCAGGTCTCTCAGTTGGCTTTTCATAGCCGATCATTAAGAGTTGAAAACAGCAGGTCTGGGACAGGTAGGGGTTTCGTAACCGCAGGCAGAACAGTTGAAACTGGAATAGCAGCAAGGCCAGGCGGACTGGGGACAGCAAGGTGTCAGCATGCCCGGTAGTCCTGACGTATGGTCCTAGGGCTCAGGTTCTCAGAGAGAAAGAGAGAACGAGAGAATTAGAGAGAGCATACTTAAATTCACACAGGACACTGGATAAGACAGGAGAAGTACTCCAGGTATAACCAACTAACCCCAGCCCCCCGACACATAAACTACTGCAGCATAAATACTGGAGGCTGAGACAGGAGCGGTCCGGAGACACTGTGGCCCCATCCGAAGAAGCCCCCGGACAGGGCCAAACAGGAAGGATATAACCCCACCCACTCTGCCAAAGCACAGCCCCCGCACCACTAGAGGGATATCCTCAACCACCAACTTACAATCCTGAGACAAGGCCGAGTATAGCCCACAGAGGTCTCCACCACAGCACAAACCAAGGGGGGGCGCCAACCCAGACAGGAAGATCACGTCAGTAACTCAACCCACTCAAGTGATGCAACCCTTCCTAGGGACGGCATGAAAGAGCACCAGCAAGCCAGTGACTCAGCCCCTGTAACAGGGTTAGAGGCAGAGAACCCCAGTGGAGAGAGGGGAACCGGCCTGGCAGAGACAGCAAGGGCTGTTCGTTGCTCCAGAGCCTTTCCGTTCACCTTCACACTCCTGGGCCAGACTACACTCAATCATATGACCTACTGAAGAGATAAGTCTTCAGTAAAGACTTAAAGGTTGAGACCGAGTCTGCGTCTCTCACATGGGTAGGCAGACTGTTCCATAAAAATGGAGATCTATAGGAGAAAGCCCTGCCTCCCGCTGTTTGCTTAGAAATTCTAGGGACAATTAGGAGGCCTGCGTCTTGTGACCGTAGCGTACGTATTGGTATGTACGGCAGGACCAACTCGGAAAGATAGGTAGGAGCAAGCCCATGTAACGCTTTATAGGTTAACAGTAAAACCTTGAAATCAGCCCTTGCCTTAACAGGAAGCCAGTGTAGGGAAGCTAGCACTGGAGTAATATGATCAAATTTCTTGGTTCTAGTCAGGATTCTAGCAGCCGTATTTAGCACTAACTGAAGTTTATTTAGTGCTTTATCCGGGTAGCCGGAAAGTAGAGCATTGCAGTAGTCTAACCTAGAAGTAACAAATGCATGGATTAATTTTTCTGCATCATTTTTGGACAGAAAATTTCTGATTTTTGCAATGTTACGTAGATGGAAAAAAGCTGTCCTTGAAACAGTCTTGATATGTTCGTCAAAAGAGAGATCAGGGTCAAGAGTAACGCCGAGGTCCTTCACAGTTTTATTTGAGACGACTTTACAACCATCAAGATGAATTGTCAGATTTAACAGAAGATCTCTTTGTTTCTTGGGCCCTAGAACAAGCATCTCTGTTTTGTCCGAGTTTAAAAGTAGAAAGTTTTCAGCCATCCACTTCCTTATGTCTGAAACACAGGCTTCTAGCGAGGGCAATTTTGGGGCTTCACCATGTTTCATTGAAATGTACAGCTGTGTGTCATCCGCATAGCAGTGAAAGTTAACATTATGTTTTCGAATAACATCCCCAAGAGGTAAAATATATAGTGAAAACAATAGTGGTCCTAAAACGGAACCTTGAGGAACACCGAAATGTACAGTTGATTTGTCGGAGGACAGACCATTCACAGAGACAAACTGATATCTTTCCGACAGGTAAGATCTAAACCAGGCCAGAACTTGTCCGTGTAGACCAATTTGGGTTTCCAGTCTCTCCAAAAGAATGTGGTGATCGATGGTGTCAAAGGCAGCACTAAGGTCTAGTAGCACGAGGACAGATGCAGAGCCTCGGTCTGACGCCATTAAAAGGTCATTTACCACCTTCACAAGTGCAGTCTCAGTGCTATGATGGGGTCTAAAACCAGACTGAAGCATTTCGTATACATTGTTTGTCTTCAGAAAGGCAGTGAGTTGCTGCGCAACAGCTTTTTCTAAAATTTTTGAGAGGAATGGAAGATTCGATATAGGCCGATAGTTTTTTATATTTTCCAGGGCAAGGTTTGGCTTTTTCAAGAGAGGCTTTATCACTGCCACTTTTAGTGAGTTTGGTACACATCCGGTGGATAGAGAGCTGTTTATTATGTTCAACATAGGAGGGCCAAGCACAGGAAGCAGCTCCTTCAGCAGTTTAGTAGGAATAGGATCCAGTATGCAGCTTGAAGGTTTAGAGGCCATGATTATTTTCATCATTGTGTCAAGAGATATAGTACTAAAACACTTAAGTGTCTCTCCCGATCCCAGGCCCTCGCAGAGCTGTGCAGATCCAGGACAGCTAAGCCCTGGAGGAATACGCAGATTCAAAGAGGAGTCCGTAATTTGCTTTCTAATGGTCATGATCTTTTCCTCAAAGAAGTTCATGAATTTATTACTGCTGAAGTGAAAGCCATCCTCTCTTGGGGAATGCTGCTTTTTAGTTAGCTTTGCAACAGTATCAAAAATAAATTTTGGATTGTTCTTATTTTCCTCGATTAAGTTGGAAAAGTAGGATGATCGAGCAGCAGTGAGGGCTCTTCGGTACTGCACGGTACTGTCTTTCCAAGCTAGTCGGAAGACTTCCAGTTTGGTGTGGCGCCATTTCCGTTCCAATTTCCTGGAAGCTTGCTTCAAAGCTCAGGTATTTTCTGTATACCAGGGAGCTAGTTTCTTATGACAAATGTTTTTCGTTTTTAGGGGTGCAACTGCATCTAGGGTATTGCGCAAGGTTAAATTGAGTTCCTCAGTTAAGTGGTTAACTGATTTTTGTCCTCTGACGTCCTTGGGTAGGCAGAAGGAGTCTGGAAGGGCATCAAGGAATTTTTGTGTTGTCTGAGAATTTATAGCACGACTTTTGATGCTCCTTGGTTGGGGTCTGAGCAGATTATTTGTTGCGATTGCAAACGTAATAAAATGGTGGTCCGATAGTCCAGGATTTTGTGGAAAAACATTAAGATCTACAACATTTATTCCATGGGACAAAACTAGGTCCAGAGTATGACTGTGGCAGTGAGTAGGTCCAGAGACATGTTGGACAAAACCCACTGAGTCGATGATGGCTCCGAAAGACTTTTGGAGTGGGTCTGTGGACTTCTCCATGTGAATATTAAAATCACCAAAAATTAGAATATGATCTGCTATGACTACAAGGTCTGATAGGAATTCAGGAAACTCAGAGAGGAACGCTGTATATGGCCCAGGAGGCCTGTAAACAGTAGCTATAAAAAGTGATTGAGTAGGCTGCATAGATTTCATGACTAGAAGCTCAAAAGACGAAAACGGCATTTTTTTTTTTGTAAATTGAAATTTGCTATCGTAAATGTTAGCAACACCTCCGCCTTTGCGGGATGCACTGGGAATATGGTCACTAGTGTAACCAGGAGGTGAGGCCTCATTTAACACAGCAAATTCATCAGGCTTAAGCCATGTTTCAGTCAGGCCAATCACATCAAGATTATGATCAGTGATTAGTTCATTGACTATGACTGCCTTTGAAGTGAGGGATCTAACATTAAGTAACCCTATTTTGAGATGTGAGGTATCACGATCTCTTTCAATAATGGCAGGAATGGAGGAGGTCTTTATCCTAATAAGATTGCTAAGGCGAACACCGCCATGTTTAGTTTTGCCCAACCTAGGTCGAGGCACAGACACAGTCTCAATGGGTATGGCTGAGCTGACTACACTGACTATGCTATTGGCAGACTCCACTAAGCTGGCAGGTTGGCTAACAGCCTGCTGCCTGGCCTGCACCCTATTTCACTGTGGGGCTAGAGGAGTTAGAGCCCTATCTATGTTGGTAGATAAGATGAGAGCACCCCTCCAGATGAGAGCACCCCTCCAGCTAATGTCATACATGATCCATCATGTATGACATTCCTGGGAATGTGTAAACTTACATTTTGTATTACCATATCATTTTTGTATGTTCTCCATAGTTATGTACTTGAAAATGTATCAATTGACCAATTAGGCACATTTGGGCAGACTTGATACAAAATAGTCCAGTATTGCAATGCTTCACTGGATCAATCTGAAACTTTGCACACACACTGCTGCCATCTAGTGGCCAACATCTAAATTGCGCCTAAACTGCAATATTATATTGTGGCCTTTCTCTTGCATTTCAAAGATGATGGAACAAAAAAATTAATAGAAAACGCATGTTTTTTTGTTTGTATTATCTTTTACCAGATCTAATGTGTTATTCTCCTACATTAATTTCACATTTCCACAAACTTCAAAGTGTTTCCTTTCAAATGGTATCAAGAATATGCATATCCTTTTTAGGCGAAAATTGAAAAACAGGGTCCGATCCTTAAGAGGTTAACACACCTCGCGCCACACTGGATACACACTGTTTATCACATTGCACACATACACACCTACCCCACCACACACACACACACACACACACACACACACAGTTGGAGCTGGAGCACAGGGGTCTGACTCACACAAAAGGCTCTTTGAGGTTGTGATGGAATATTGGTGCTTTTCTATTTATACATTTCTGTGTTCTATGTTTGTGCTTTTCTAATAACCGTTTTCTGTGTTCATGCAAGTGACTGACTGAGCGTATCCTCACTATCAGTATGTGCAATTTGGCAGTACGCTCAGACCCTTGTTTTGAGAACGAAAGATATCTCAGTATCAAGGTCTCAGCTTAGAGAAGAAGCCTCGTGAGGTATTGGTCTGTCACATACATGACCCAGTATTGGTCGGTCACATGAAGGAAGCAAACGTTAATGATGAATTAATTATGAATAAGCTAAATCATGCAAATATGACTTGTCTGCAGTATATAAGAGAACTAAAGGGACTGCCCCGTTAGAGCTCCTGCCAGACGTTCACTATGGTGCATCAAGTTTGTTGGAACCTCTCCAGTTAACTGTTAATAAACAATGATTAATTTAAGACTGACTTCGAGAGTCTCTGTGTAAGAATTTCCACAAGGTAATTGGGCTTCATGCAGCGGACGTAGTGGGGGGTGGTGCTGTTCAGTGTCCATCAGCAGCTGCAGAGACTGACGGAACTACACAGAGAAACATGGAGGAACACACAAACTCACACTCCTGTCCCAGAGTCCACCGAACAACAAGGACGACAAGCCATGGATGAAGAAGTAATACAGACATTATATGGCAGCAAGAAAACAAATAGATTCTGTCAACTGAAAAAAAGCTGGAAATGAAGATGCATTTCAATAATAGGTGTAGATACTGGCTGTGTTGTTGCCTGGCATCAGCAGGGGGAGACACCATTCCTGGAAGCCCACAGTTTGTGTTCCCTGTGAGCGCTCTTTCCAGGGCCAGAGCGCAGACTGCCATTGGGCAGAGAGGACTTCCCACTTGACAGGGACAGAGTGCCCCCTGCTGGCACAGCTCAGCCACCAACTCAGACTGACAGAGAGACAGACAATCAGAATCACTTTATTCGTCAAGTACATTTACGGATACCCGGAATTTAACTTAGTGAATAGGTGCTGCAATAGACAATGTACAGACCGAATACAGACACAAGGTCAACAGAGAGGGTTACAGTAGGTTAAAAAGGCTTCTGTCCATTTCACCCTAGGATGAGATCCGAGATTTCACCACAAATTGACAAAAGTGGACAGCTGAGAGCTGGTTCCTCAGTAAAGCCTCCCTCAAAATGAGAAGAGGACACCTCTTCTAGAGATGCACTCAAATACGTACAGTAGGACAAGGAGGTTACAACAATGAGCCAAGAGTTTTGACAAGGGGAAAGCTGTAGATCATCCCTACACTCTTAGAAAAAAGGGTTTCAAAAGGGTTCTTCGACTGTCCTTATAGGAGAACCCTTTTTGGTTCCAGGTAGAACCCTTTTGGGTTCCATGTAGAAACCTCTGTGGAAAGGGTTCTACAATGAACCCCAAAGGGTTCTACCTGGAACCAAAAGGGTCCTACCTAGTACCAAAATGGGTTCTACAAAGGGTTCTCCTATGGGAACAGTCGAAGAACCCTTTGCGGTTCTAGATAGCACCTTTTTTTCTAAGAGTGTTCATGCAGTCCTTGTTCCATTTATACAATGAGTTTAAGTAAAAAGAGACGGCATGGACATGTATACCTGACTAGCTCTCAGGATGTTGATGGGTTCCTCAAAAACTGTGTCCTGGTTCTTGTCTAAAAAGCCATCACATTCATATTGCACCTGATTAACATGAAAGAAAGGTAAATAACTTTCAGCACTTATTGTATAAAAACATTGAATCTTTTCAGATTTTGCCTCACGTGTCAGCGAAGTGCAGGAAGGTGAAGGCAGAGTTAGACAAGCGAGGTTTGCAGAAGTGTGGACTGGGTCATTACTCTGATGCTGATCATACAGCTTCCTAGCCCAGCTGATCATACAGCTTCCTAGCCCAGCTGATCAAGGAAACAGACACCATGGGAGTAAGGTTTTTGTAGATCAATATACATTTGAGAAATCTTTTGCTTTTTATATAAATACTTTGAAGTTTGACTTTTAATAGAACAATACTTTTTCTGGCAGAACATGCTTTTTGGACTTAAGACAACAGTCTATTTTTCAAATCCACCACAAAGCATTCTTGGCTTGCCAGTGCACTCAGTGATGATTTAGTATCATATCCTGAGTACATTATTCATCGTATTTCAAGCCGGTTTGGACACATTAACACAAAGCAGACACAACACAATGTGGTCTCGATAGAAACCAGGACTGTGACTGACCCTGCACTCCTCATCCAGCAGGCCCAGCTGTCCCTCGATGACAGCGATGCACGGCTGGTTGTCACTGAACTATGTCGTGCTCCATGGCACCTCCTCACGGACATACTCCTCCTGCTCCAACTGGAACACGTGCTGAGGTGAGGAGAGGAAGACCAAGGGTTACTGAGGGGAAATGAGGATAACCAGTTCATGGAAACAGACATTCATATTTATGCACACGCTAGCAGGCACTCACTTGGTGACTCACCCTGTTGAATTGCTGCTGCAGTTTCTCATTGGCATAATTTATACAGAACTGTTCAAAACTGTTCCTTTCAAAGGTCTCAAACCTGCCAAAGAGAAATGGACAAAGAGGGGAATATGTTAATACCATGTTGTTACGACAGTGTCACTACACAAGTATAAGACCAACTTAATTTCAAGTGTTACTCCTTGTCCTTGCTACTCACCCATAGATGTCCAGCACCCCAATAAATTACTTGGCCTGCTCCCTCTGGGCATGGAGGGCTGAGTTGAGCCGGGTCATGGTCCAGGTGAACAGCTGACCGTACACATGCTTGGCCAGGGCGTCCCGGGCCTCTAGGGCCTGCTGACCATCATCTCTCCCCCTACTGCCAGCCTGCGGTGGCACAGCCAGTGGGCCATCTGGGTCCGCTCCACCCCCAGCAGCTTGGAAAACACCGCCAGGGAATGGTCCTTCCTCTGGTTATGGGATATTTGAGATACTTTTGTGAGTTTCAGGGATATAATGTGGAAAAAGTACTTTAAAAAAAGAATCTTACATCAATGTAACTTCAATCACGACCTCTCCCACTGGCCTGGATGTTGACATTGCCCAGGTGCAGACTGCCAGGATCCTGAAGGGCTCCATCTGCTGGTCAGGAGACCCACCTGTAGGAGCACACATAGCAGCATGATCCTACTGGATAGGACTATATGCAGAGTAAACATGTTAGCATAGATATATGTAATATAGATGCTGTAAACCCAGTATAGTGAATGCATAGCAGCAGATCTACTACATCATCAGTGCCTAGGATCTGCATGGAATCTTCTCCTCCTTGGTTCGTGTAACGTTTCAGCACCACCTACAGAGACACACATCAAAACACTCACTTAATGAACCCATTCTGAAATACACTGATGTTCATGTGTTCCCTGTTATTGTTGTAATAGGTTAATGAATTCTATGTGGTCCTCTGTAGCTCAATTGGTAGAGCATGGCACTTGTAACGCCAGGGTAGTGGGTTCGATCCCCGGGACCACCCATACATAAAAATGTAGGCACACATGACTGACTGTAAGTCACTTTGGATAAAAGCGTCTGCTAAATGGCATATTATTATTATGCGGTCTCACCCAGTTTGAGGACTCTCATCTCATCTGTGGTATTTCCTCTCCTGTGACGCTTGGAAGACGACTCGAGACTTCTCCAGCAGGTACGTCCTCATGTTGGCCCCAATGATATCGCCCTTCCGTCTGAAGCCTATCTCAATGTATTTCCAAAACCGGCTACTGTTGTCGTTGCAAGTAGTCTTAGCATTCCCAATGGACTAAAGAGTAAAGGAGAGAATCATAATTATGATAGATTACATCGTTTTAGCTATTACCTTTAGAACTGAATACTGATACAATACAGTACTCATTTTTCATACGCTTTTTCCAAAATCACACTCTTCAAAAATTAAAATCTTGAACAGCTTTACAGGTTAAACTTTTACTGCAGTGGGCGAAATCAGGGTCATACAGAGGGTATTTTGGTAGTCTTAAACAAATCTACTTTGAAACAAAAGTTTACACCTCACACACATGGTTATGGGCTTAAAAAATGAAGACACCTGTACCATGTCAGATATAGAGTTGAAATGTATTCAATTTTGAGTTTGCATCCCAATATTACACTTTACAGTATATACATCACAGAATACTGAAATATAATAAAACTGTTTGACATCGAAACACCGGATTTTCTGCGTAAAAAAATAAATAATGTTGATTAATTATGAAATTATGAAAAATATTAATAACATTCCACCTATGAGGCCATTTGAGGTCATTTGACTGCAGGAAAGCGGAATTCATCCACACATTCACCCACATGTCAGTACCTCCATGATGGGGTTGGAGGCCAGTACTCTCTCCTCCACACTGGTCTGCTGGGCTGCTCCGCCCACCACGGCAAAGTAGTGCATGGTGAACTTAGTAGAGACTGTTTTCCCTGCACCAGACTCCCCACTGATTATAATGGACTGGTTCTTATCCTCCCTGCACATAGAGACAACTACCCACTCAATAGCCATTCCTATTTCCAGAATCATTTGTCACGCAGGGTGAAGAGATTCGATCAAAGGCTCTGTTGTTTTCAGACCCAAGAACATCCATAAGTCACTGACATTTTACCTGTAGATCTTTACAAACAACAGCAACCCTCAACCAAACCCCCAAAGAGCAGGCAAAACGGCAGTGTTTTGAGGTAACAAAGGGCATATAAAATGGAGGCCAAGGAGGGTGACCCCTGGCTCTTGACCTTTAACCCCTGACCTGGTCATGGTGCGGTAGGCCTCTTCTGCCACAGAGAAGCTGTGAGGCTCCGCGTCAGCCATGTCCTGCCCTCTGCAGGCATCTATCACCTCCTCTCCATAGATGGGCAGCTGGTCATACAGGTTGAGAGCCACTAACACAATACCTGGAATGAACGGTGGGTGAAACTTTCAGTGTTATTGGTAGAATGAAAGGATCTGTAGGAATACAACATATTATTTTTTATTTATGACCTTTAATACACTGAGTGTACAAAACATTAAGCACACCTTCCTAATATTGATGAAAAAATATTTTTTCCCTCAGAACAGCCTCAATTCGTTGGGGAATGGACTCCACAAGGTGTCGAAAGCATTCCACAGGGATGCTGGCCCATGTTGACTCCAATGCTTCCCACAGCTGTGTCGCGTTGGCTGGATGTCCTTTGGGTGGTGGACTATTCTTGATACACTCGGAGAAACTGTTGAGTGTGAAAAACCCAGCAGCTTTGCGGTTCTTGACACAAACCGGTGTGCCTGGCACCTACTACCATACGCCATTCAAAGGCACTTAAATATTTTGTTTTGCCCGTTCACACTCTGAATGGCACACATACACAATCCATGACTCAACTGTCTCAAGGCTTAAAAATCCTTCTTTAACCTGTCTCCTCCCCTTCATCTACACTGATTGAAGTGGATTTAATATGTGACATCAATAAGGGATCATAGCTTTCACCTGGATTCACCTGGTCAGTATATGTCATGGAAAGAGCAGGTGTTCCTAATGTTTTCCACACTCAGTGTATATCGAAATTGCTTCAACTAACTTTACATTTAGTAAAGATTGCATTATGAGGTCATGACCCTAAAAGCAGGAGCACACAGGAACTGCATCTGTCCTATGGCCAAACGGAATCTGAAGAAAGACCCACACCCCCTATCTCTCACTTTCTCCTTCAACCTATTCCTACCATTCCTCTCTCACTATGTCCCTCCATCATATTCCCTCCCTCTGTCCTTTACTACAGTAGGTGTAGATGCTGCTGTAGTCCAGGAATCGGACTCTCAGGTTGTGAAGAACAACAGGCTCGTGTAGGAAGCTGAGAGCAGTGAGGTCATTCTCCCCCTCCAGAATATCAGGGTTCCCCAGAGGGGGGAGGCCAGAGGGGGGCACGACTGGAGTGGATGAGGTGTGGCACATTAAATATTTGGCATTAGCATATGCTTATCACAGGAGGCTGGTGAGGGGAGGATGCTCATAATAATGTCTGGAATGGAGTGGTTTCCATGTGTTTGATACCATTTCATTCCAGCCATTACTATGAGCCTGTCCTCCCCAATTAAGGTGCAACCAGCCACCTGTGATGCTTATCCAGAGCGACTAACAATACAGCTGTTGACTGTGTGTGTGTGTGTGTGCGCACACTGATCTACATTCTCGTCTCCAGGGTTGTAGTCCTTGAGGAGCTTGGCTGATACCCACAATGCCTCTGGGTCAGGCACCCACACACTGGCACCCTGTTACAGAAATACACGTTATCACAAATGTTGAGCTTATTGAATAAGAGGAAACCTAGTGAAGAAGTGAGCGTGCATTGAGGGGGATTTCCTATACTAATGGCCAACAACCTTTAGAGTATCACTTTACACTAGGTGGACAGATCAACAGCCAGTGGTCCAACACACAGCTGAAGAGTAGAAATTGGAGAGGATCATTTTACATCACACAGGACACTATCAACTCTACAGTCTGTTATTACTCTATGTGCCTTTCACTGTTACACTGCCAGGTCCCACCCAAGCAAGACATTTGTCGTCCATTAGCATAAAACACTATTAAATGCCGTTAAAAATGAATGTCTGTCATCCCTTTCTCTCAACTCGTATTACTCACTATCTTGGCACAAGATCCCGTACACCACATACAATGTGTATCATTGCTAACCAGTTAAGCATGAGCTTTTAAAGCAGATATGTACCTTTCTATCATGACATTGACATGTCATGACATGTAGGCCAACATACATTAGCTGATCCAAACCGCCTCACAGTAATGGAGAGAAATGTCAAACATGTCTTTGCAACTTCACACATGCGCACAGAAGTCATAAACAATGCATTAACAGGGTTGGGTTCCACAATGACAACAATATATCAATGTCTACCAAGAACACTTCAGTGAAAACAAACTGTCAATAAATGAAGTCTACTCAGCTACAGTCAGATATACCGGATCAAAGGCTTACCTTGGTGGTCAACTCAATAGTTCCAATCATAATGTTTTTTGCTTTCTCAGATATGAAGCCTCTGCCTGCAAAGGCCCTGACTAAGTTCAGAGTAGGTAGACTGCTAAGTTACTCCAAAAGGCAACAGGAGTCTAAAAAGGTTTGTAAGTCGCTCTGGATAAGGGTTAAATGACGTAAATGTAAATGTTTGTGTCCTCTTCCCCTATCATGTGTCCAAGCACTGGTCTGTCCCTGTGCACTTTATTCTGTCTGTCAGGCTGAAATGAAAACCTCTGAGAGCAGCCAGGTTAACTGTTCATCTCAAGGAGGAGGTGATTGAGATAGAAGAGAAAGTGCTTGTAAATCCTTCCATCGTCTCATTCACAGCAGAGGTTAACCCTGAGTTGTGGAGGCCTTCTGTCAGCACTGTTGGAACACCTGTAGTATTCAAATGATACATAAGACATTGGAGTATTAAGTATGTCATCAAGATATATAGACATGAAACCAAAAACGGACAAAGAAACTGTACTACTGTTGACATACAGACACATTTAATTCAGTAACACAATCCAATTCCGTTCAGCAGTCAGCCTGCTGATGTGGGATAGGGATCTCATTGAGCTTGACATTTCATACATACATCAAACTTTGAGAAATTTGGGTAAATGTTCAAAGCTCAATTCATTTTCTCAACACTGAGAATCTTCACCTTTATTCAAACAAAATCTTCTTAGCTTACTCTGTCTGGCACCCAGTGAACAAGAAAACAGGGAGGCAGCATGTGTTGTGGTGGCATTGACACATTATTGGAAACATTTTAAAGACATGTTGACTGAAGTCATGGCCATGGGAAAAACATGCATTGGCTAGAAACACCAAAGTTAAACCAACAACTTCAGTGAGCACCTATTTGACAGTGAGTGTTAAAAGTAATCAAATCCACACCACATAGCAGAGGGTCCATGTCACTTCTACATAACTGTTGTACCCATTATAACTATGTACAGTATGACTTGACTCATAACTCAGTGTTATGTGGAAACATCACTAGCTATTGAGAAGGTAGATATAATTCAATAACACAAACGCAGAGAACTACAGTAGATACTGTAAGACTTTCCAAAAATCACATGGCCCCTCTTTGGTCAGTACTGAGTAAGGGGTTTGTATGGACTACATTACAACAATAAGGATATTTCCTTGAGAACATGATTCAATCATTTTTCACTTATACTTTCTCCTGTGACTAACGCACGCTTTAGAATTTAGAGTGCATCATTTACATTTTAGTCATTTAGCAGACGCTCTACTTACAAGAGCAATTAGGGTTAAGTGCCTTGCCCGGCTCAGGAATTCAAACCAGCGACCTTTCGGTTACTGGCCCAACGCCCTTAACCCCTAGGCTACCTGCCGCCATATCATCATCATTTAGGCACGTATCTTGTTCCCTCTCACCAAAGCCACTCTCACATAGCCCTATAAAATTACCCAAAGTACCTTTATAATATGGTCCATCTATCCCGATGGAGTGCATTAGAAACCCAGAAAGAAAAACCCATGGAAAAAACAGAATTAACTTCTAATTCAAAATACCCAAATTCATTTAAAACATGTTTTTTTTTTTTGGGGGGGGGGGGGGGGTTGACAATGACAATATATAACTCACATTCAGCAAATCCATAAAATGTATTGTAAAAAAAGAATTGAACACTGAATTCATCATCATACTGTATGTAACCGATCTCTTTCACTCTGCACCGCCAAAATGTTATTTGATGCTCTCTTTTTCAAAAGAAAGCTAATTTCGCTAATAACCAATTTGATTCAGAATTGCTCAGTCCAAGTCCTTTCCTAGTGCTGGTGCCAGAAGAGCCCAAACAGTGGGCGGGCTGGGCAGTAGGTAGGCACAGCTTCAGAGGGGTAGCACGTGGAAGGGGATGGGTAGAAAGTGGGCAGTTCTTTTGGTTGGATTGGTACAGGGTTCCGGGTTTCATTGTCCTGTGAGAAGGAGTTGAAAACCCATCCAGACTACTCTATAACACCCCATCACCCTGGAACAGAGGATAAAGATAGAGGTTTGTTGAAATAGCTTAACAAATACAGATTGTAAATCAAATTATAAAATGTGTCATATCACATCCCTTGGGTGGCATGATTTGCAGCTCTGAATTTAATCTATTGAGAAACTGGGGGGAGCCCATAAATGCTGTACAAGCCTGAACAACCATTTTACAAATAAAATACAATTGTGTACAGGTGTAGACCTATATTGAAATGTTTACTTCCGGGCCCTTCCCAACAAAGCAGAGAGAAACGTGGAAAAATAATAACATGAGGAATAAATACGATGTGTAGGGGTATGGGGTAATTGCAGTAGATCTCTACATATAGGTATGGGTAAAGTGACTAGGCATCAGGATAGATAATAAACAGCAGCAGCGTATGTACTTTGAACAACAGGAGGCCGGCCGTCTGCGCACTTTAAAGGTCCTTTAAACCAAATAGTGTCTGTTCCAGGAGCGTAGTTATCAAAATGAGAATACTGGAAGAGATGGAGACCCCGACACTCTCGAAAAATAGGATCTTGATTGTATTTTCATGTATATTGTTGTGGTAAACAGAGATCATTTGGAAAAGAGACCTTGGTCTCAGCATTGACTCCCTGTCAAAATAAAAGGTAAAAATAAGAAAAAGGAATATATCCAAAACTGAGGCTTAAATGTAAAAATAGAGATGTTTTATTGGGACATCATGATGCCCAAATGTTCATTGTGCATAAATTAAAAGGTGAAAAACAGAGCACAAATGTTTCGGCATCAAGCCATCATCAGTGTCAAACATCAATATTTTTGCATTTAAGCCTCAGTCTTGGATTTATTCTTCTTTTTCAACAGTGTGCAAGGTCTCTCCCATGTTTCAACAACACTGACACTGTGGCCTACCTCTGCTATACAGTCTCTCTGTACAGTAGCCTACCTCTGCTATACAGTCTCTCTGTACAGTAGCCTACCTCTGCTATACAGTCTCTCTGTACAGTAGCCTACCTCTGCTATACAGTCTCTCTGTACAGTAGCCTACCTCTGCTATACAGTCTCTCTGTACAGTAGCCTACCTCTGCTATACAGTCTCTCTGTACAGTAGGCTACCTCTGCTATACAGTCTCTCTGTACAGTAGCCCACCTCTGCTATACAGTCTCTCTGTACAGTAGCCTACCTCTGCTACAGTTTCTCTGAACAGTAGCCTACCTCTGCTATACAGTCTCTCTGTACAGTAGCCTACCTCTGCTATACAGTCTCTCTGTACAGTAGCCTACCTCTGCTATACAGTCTCTCTGTACAGTAGCCTACCTTTGCTATACAGTCTCTCTGTACAGTAGCCTACCTCTGCTATACAGTCTCTCTGTACAGTAGCCTACCTCTGCAATACAGTCTCTCTGTACAGTAGCCTACCTCTGCTATAGTCTCTGTACAGTAGCCTACCTCTGCTACAGTCTCTCTGTACAGTAGCCTACCTCTGCTATACAGTCTCCATGTCGTCATTGCCTTCATCGAGTGAGTCGCCCTCGCTGGCTGCTTCCTGCACATGAGCCAACATGTCCGCCATTAGAGCCTCCTCCAGCTTCTTCCTCACACTGTACACCAGCTCCTCCTGCTTCCTACACTCACCATGATGAGATAACATACAAATACAACTATTAAAGATATGGACTGAAATTGAGCTAAACAGCATGGGAAAACAAAGTTATCAGCTCTTAATTACTCAGATTCAATTCTTCATAGCATGTCCTCTCCTGTATGTACCTGATGTCCTCGTCAGTGACTATGAAGGCCTTGCAGAGGGGCTGGGTCGTGTTGAGCCACACCCCTGGGTTCTTCTCCACGGCTGCAGACAGCTGACCGGTGATGGGGGCTGCACTGGTGTGCAGGGCGCTGGCTATCGCTGACAGTAGAGTCTTGTCTGTACATCCAGGTCCAACTCCTATATGACAGACAGGTGGTCACAATCACAGAAGTGAGAAGACATTCAAAAATCTAATGGGAAATATACACTGTGTGGGAAATGGGAAATATACACAAATATACACCTTCCTAATATTGTGTTGCACAATAGCTTTCACCTAGATTCACATGGTCAGTTCCTAATGTGTTGTACACGCAGTGAACATGGCTCTTTCTCTTACCTTGCAGACCTTTAGGCAGGTCCATTGTCTTCACTAGCTCCTCTGCGATGTCAAACGCATTGAGACCACCGAGCTTCTTCTCCCAGAAAAGCTGTGGACAAAACAAATACAAATGAATTTAGATTTGGTCTCTCATTAGTCAAAATAACCTTCAGGAATAAAAGCATATAACCCAATGTAACTGCAGTTTACACCATACAGGCTAATGGCTGTGTTTACCTGTCTCGGCTGGTCCACGGCTTTCTGTGGATCTGTCTTGACTTTGTTGCTGGGGTGGTTAGTAACCTTGGTGACAGGCTGCTTAAAGATGGAAGCAGTCTGTCTGACGGGGAGTGATGTGTTCAGGTCTGGCTTGCCCTGGAAGACACGCACAAAGAAACAGCTGACAGTGACAACCAACACTATGTAGCCACAGAGATGTTCCTCAAATACTAGAAAGTACTAGATATATAGTACCAGTCAAAAGTTTGGACACACCTACTCATTCCAGGTTTTGTCTTTATTTTTACTATTTTTTACATTGTAGAATAACAAAATTATGAAATAACACATTAGGAATCATGTAGTAACCAAAAAACTGTTAAACAGACCCAAATCTATTTTATATTTGAGATTCTTCAAATAGCCACCCTTTGCCTTGATGACAGCTTTGCACACTCTTGGCATTCTCTCAACCAGCTTCACCTGGAATGCTTTTCCAACAGTCTTGAAGGAGTTCCCACATATGCTGAGCATTTGTTGGCTGCTTTTCCTTTACTCTGCGGTCCGACTCATCCCAAACCATCTAAGTTGGGTTGAGGTCGGGGGATTGTGGAGGCCAGGTCATCTGATGCAGCACTCCATCACTCTCCTTGTTGGTAAAATAGCCCTTACACAGTCTGGAGGTGTGTTGAATCATTGTCCTATTGAAAAACAAATGATAGTTCCACTAAGCCCAAACCAGATGGGATGGCATATCGCTGCAGAATGCTGTGGTAGCCATGCTGGTTAAGTGTGCCTTGAATTCTAAATAAATCACAGACAGTGTTACCAGCAAAGCACCCCCACACCATAACACCTCCTCCTCCATGCTTTACAGTGGGAAATACACATGTAGAGATCATCCGTTCACCCACACCGCGTCTCACAAAGACACGGTGGTTGAAACCAACAATCTCCAATTTGGACTCCAGACCAAAGGACAAATTTCCACCGGTCTAATGTCCATTGCTCGTGTTTCTTGGCCCAAGCAGGTCGCTTCTTCTTATTGGTGTCTTTTAGTAAGCTAAAGACCCTGGGACTAAATACCTCCCTTTATTGGTGTCTCTGGGATTAAACACCTCCCCTTATTGGTGTCTCATCACTAAGCTAAGGACCCTGGGACTAAACACCTCTCTCTGCAACTGGATCCTTGACTTCCTGACGGGCCACCCCCAGGTGGTAAGTGTAGGTAACAACACATCCGCCAACTGATCCTCAACACGGGGGCCCCTCAGGGGTGCGTGCTCAGTCCCCTCCTGTACTCCCTGTTCACTCATGACTGCATGGCCAGGCACAACTCCAACACCATCATTAAGATTGCCGATGACACAACAGTGGTAGGCCTGATCACCGACAACGACGAGACAGCCTATAGGGAGGAGGTCAGAGACCTGGCTGTGTGGTGCCAGGACAACAACCTCTCCCTCAACGTGATCAAGACAAAGGAGATGATTGTGGACTACAGGAAAAAGAAGAGGACCGAGCACGCCCCTATTCTTATCGACAGGGCTGTAGTGGAGCAGGTTGAGAGCTTCAAGTTCCTTGGTGTCCACATCACCAACAAACTAACATGGTCCAAGCACACCAAGACAGTCGTGAAGAGGGCACGACAAAACCTATCCCCCTAAGGAGACTGAAAAGATTTGGCATGGGTCCTCAGATCCTAAAAAAGTTTATATAGCTGCACCAGAGAGCATCCTGACTGGTTGCATCACTGCCTGATATGGCAACTGCTCGGCCTCCGACCGCAAGGCACTACAGAGGGTAGTGCGTACGGCCCAGTACATCCCTGGGGCCAAGCTTCCTGCCATCCAGGAGGAAGGCCCTAAAAATTGTCAAAGACTCCAGCCACCCTAGTCATAGACTGTTCTCTCTGCTACCGCACGGCAAGCGGTACCGGAGTGCCAAGCTTCTAAACAGCTTCCACCCCCAAGCCATAAGACTGCTGAACATCTAATCAAATGGCTACGCAGACTTTTTACATTGCCCTCCCCTCTTTTACGCTGCTGCTACTCTCTGTTTATTATCTATGCATAGTCACTTTAATAACTCTACCTACATGTACAGTTGAAGTCGGAAGTTTACATACACCTTAGCCAAATACATTTAAACTCAGTTTTTCACAATTCCTGACATTTAATCCTAGTAAAAATTCCCTGTTTTAGGTCAGTTAGGATCACCACTTTATTTTAAGAATGTGAAATGTCAGAATAATAGTAGAGAGAATGATTTATTTAAGCTTTTATTTCTTTCATCACATTCCCAGTGGGTCAGAAGTGTACATTCACTCAATTTGTATTTGATAGCAATGCCTTTAAATTGTTTAACTTGGGTCAAACATTTTGGGTAGCCTTCCACAAGCTTCCCACAATAAGTTGGGTGAATTTTGGCACATTCCCCCTGACAGAGCTGGTGTAACTGAGTCAGGTTTGTAGGCCTCCTTGCTCGCACACGCTTTAAAAGTTCTGCCCACAAATGTTCTATAGGATTGAGGTCAGGGCTTTGTGATGGCCACTCCAATACCTTGACATTGTTGTCCTTAAGCCATTTTGCCACAACTTTGGAAGTATGCTTGGGGTCATTGTCCATTTGGAAGACCCATTTGCGACCAAGCTTTAACTTCCTGACTGATGTCTTGAGATGTTGCTTCAATATATCCATATAATTTTCCATCCTCATGATGCCATCTACTTTGTGAAGTGCACCAGTCCCTCCTGCAGCAAAGCACCCCCACAGCATGATGCTGCCACTCCTGTGCTTCACGGTTGGGATGGTGTTCTTCGGCTTGCAAGCTACCCCCTTTTTCCTCCAAACATAACGATGGTCATTATGGCCAAACAGTTATATTTTTGTTTCATCAGACCAGAGGACATTTCTCCAAAAAGTATGATCTTTGTCCCCGTGTGCAGTTCCAAACCGTATTCTGGCTTTTTTATGGCAGTTTTGGAGCAGTTTTAGGCTTCTTCCTTGCTGAGCGGCCTTTCAGGTTATGTCGATATAGGACTTGTTTTACTGTGGATATAGATACTTTTGTACCTGTTTCCTCCAGCATCTTCACAAGGTCCTTTGCTGTTGTTCTGGGATTGATTTGCACTTTTTGCACCAAAGTACGTTCATCTCTAGGAGACAGAACGTGTCTCCTTCCTGAGCGGTATGACGGCTGTTTATACTTGCGTACTATTGTTTGTACAGATGAACGTGGTACCTTCAGGCGTTTGGAAATTGCTCCCAAGGATGAACCAGACTTGTGGAGGTCTAGAATTTTTTTCCTGAGGTCTTGGCTGATTTCTTTTGATTTTCCCATGATGTCAAGCAAAGCGGCACTGAGTTTGAAGGTAGGCCTTGAAATACATCCACAGGTACACCTCCAATTGACTTAAATGATGTCAATTAGCCTATCAGAAGCTTCTAAAGCCATGACATCATTTTCTGGAATTTTCCAAGTTGTTTAAAGTCACAGTCAACTTAGTGTATGTAAACTTCTGACCCACTGGAATTGTGATACAGTGAATTATAAGTGAAATAATCTGTCTGTAAACAATTGTTGGAAAAATGACTTGTGTCATGCACAAAGTAGATGTCCTAACCGACTTGCCAAAACTATAATTTGTTAACAAGAAATGTGTGGAGTGGTTGAAAAACGAGTTTTAATGACTCCAACCTAAGTGTATGTAAACTTCCGACTTCAACTGTACATATTACCTCAATTCCCTCGACTAACCGGTGCCCCCGCACATTGACTCGGTACAGGTACCCCCTGTATATAGCCCCGCTATTGTTATTTTACTGCTGCTCTTTAATTATTTGTTACTTTTATTTATAGTATTTTTATCTTTTAGGTATTCTTTCTTAAAACTGCATTGTTGGTTAAGGGCTTGTAAGTAAGCATTTCAATGTAAGGTCTACCTACACCTGTTGTATTTGGCGCATGTGACAGATAAAATTAGACTTGATTTAATAGTAGTGGTTTCTTTACAGCAATTTGACCATGAATGCCTGATTCACACAGTCACCTCTGAACAGTTGATGTTGAGATGTGTCTGTTACTTGAACTCTGTGAAGCATTTATTTGGGCTGCAATTTCTGAGGCTGGTAACTCTAATGAACTTATCCTCTGCAGCAGAGGTAATTCTGGGTCTTCCATCCCTGTGGCGGTCCTCATGAGAGCCAGTTTCATCATAGCGCTTGATGGTTTTTGCGACTGCACTTTAAGAAACTTTCAAAGTTCTTGACATTTTCCGTATTGACTGACCTTCATGTCTTAAAGTAATGATGGACTGTTGTTTCTCTTTGCTTATTTGAGCTGTTCTTGCCATAATATGGACTTGGTCTTTTACCAAATAGGGCTATCTTCTGTATACCTTGTCACAACACAACTGATTGGCTCAAATGCATTAAGAAGGAAAGAAATTCCACTAATCAACTTTTAAGAAGGCACACCTGTTAATTGAAATGCATTCCAGGTGACTACCTCATGAAGTTGGATGAAAGAATGCCAAGAGTTTGCAAAGCTGTCATCAAGGCAAAGGGTGGCTATTTGAAGAATCGCAAATATGAAATATATTTTGATAAACACTTTTTTGGTAACTACATGATTCCATATGTGTTATTTCATAGTTTTGATGTCTTCACTATTATTCTACAATGTAAAAAATAGTAAAAATAAAGAAAAACCCTTGAATGAGTAGGTGTCCAAAATTTTGACTGGTAGTGTATGTCAGTTATCCTTAGCGCCTGGGGAAAAGCCTTGTAACACATTTTTCAGCATTCTTCTTTCTAACTGCTGGTTTGACAACAAATAAGGGTGCAGTCGTTTAGAAGAGTGTGTCCTACGTGTCTAGAAATATTATTTCAGAAGACAACCCTCTCACCTTGGTCTGATTGTTGTTGTCATAGCGCAGTCTCTGCCTGTTCTTGTTCAGTTTACTCATGAGCATCTTCCCTGTGCGGAAGTCGAAGGAGCTAAGGTCCATCTGGTTGCCAAGGTAACGAGCCAGCTGAGGCTTGCTCCGAAACTTCTTCCCGGTTGGACTAGAAGAGGTAAAGGACAACAGACCACAGTGTGAGGATATGGACAACTGACCAGGGGATAGCAAGAGGAGAAAAGCAGCGAGATAAATCAGGAAAGCAACTAAAAATCTGCAACAAACACATTTTATGCTGCAGAAAAACTGTAGACATGAGAAAATGTAAAACAAGACCATGCAAGAGCCAACACCACAAAGGAGACTACAGATGCATGAACTATTCAGATATCAGATTATTCATGTATAATGGTATGGAATCAGAGTGTGAACAATGAGTCTTCGCATTAGCATTTCATTCACTTATTTAACAATAAAATACATATTTTTAAGACCAATTTAATGTGTGTAGCTAATTGTAATAAACTATTTAAGCAGTAGAATATGTTTTCATGTATTGTAGCATATTCCCAAATGTATAACCAATTCGCCATTAAAATTATAGGCCTTAGAGTTTAAGATGGCTTAACTGATATGTTCTATAAGGAGTGGTAGGGGTGATCAAGTGCATTACATTTTGCAACATTTCCTAAAGTTCAATTGGAAATATTGTTTCAGAGTTAATGTTCACTGGTCCTAGACAAAGTGGACAGAACGGCAGGCCTCATTTAATCTGAATCTTAAATCTGTGGACAAAGGCCTTGGTAAATTAGCAATATAACTGGTTATTATAGCAAAGAGTATCAATTTCTATGGGGCAGACCTTTTTTGGAAGTACATAGCGGCCGTAACGTGAGTAAATGGAGATAGTTGCTCTGTGAAACCCCATATTTGGTGAGTAACAAACTTATTTTGACATAACGCTTGCAGAGCTGTGTAATGGGAGTTTGAATCAGAGCTTCCTGAGCGGTATGCCTCGTTCACATTACCCATAAGCACGCCGTTACGTTGCGCCACATGTCATGCATTTCAATGGGGACATCCACAACGGAGTGAAAACTCAACACCCCCTTGCGGTTGAAGGCTGCCGCATACTTTCATATTTTTCACATTTTGCATAATCTTCAATCCAGCCCACTGAGCTATAATAAGAACAGTCCAGACAGAGTCTGTCAAAGAACAGGAAGTTACCAAACCACAGAAGATGAAAATATCTGGTGATGGGATAGCGTGCAATTTATAGGAATGGGTAATTGTTTACAAGTTAGTAGTATTTTAATAGTAATGTTAAATAATACACATTTGCTGTTCAGCCAATTATATTATATGACTGTTGCCTCCAGTTGAAGTTTATTGTAACGCTAATGACTTTTGTTTTTTATTATAATTATTAGGTGGAGGTCGCTAGCTACAACGGTATCTTCAACCAAGCCTAGCTTTTAGCTAGCTAGCTGCTCTGCAGTGCAAGCTACTTTGACTTGCTATAAAGTTAGATAAACAAGTTGAGGAAAACGTAACTAAACAAAACATGTTTTATTATCACCTGAAACAATATATTTATCTTGTCTTGAATGAAAATGTCATATTTTGCAATCTCCCTAAATAAATGCGATCATTCCAGCCGGTGCCTATTCCAGAAGTTACCACCAACTAAATCTATTACATTAAAATGCCTATTTACTCTGTTCCATCTGACTCCGCAATCCACTGTCTCATCAGCTCAGCCAGGCAATTTATATACTAGATCTACACTGTAAAAAGCATCTAGATATTATCTTCCATTTCTTTTAGACTAGCATTTGGTTTTCAACAGCGTAGATTTGTAATAACCATGCAGTCTATCTCTCCGACATTTGCTACATTGTTTCAATCTTACAATTCGATCTCCAGCTGTCCGATGGTAATGAACGTGTCGGGAGGAGACAGACGGGCTGGCAGCTTTTCTCAGCCAGTCGAAATCATGAATCAGCATCATGACAATAGAAATAGGGGCGGCAGGTAGCTTAGTGAAGGTAGCTTAGTGGTTAAGAGCGTTGTGCCAGTAAGCGAAAGGTCGCTGGTTCTAATCCCCGAGCCGACTAGGTGAAAAGTCTGTCGATGCGCCCTTGAGCAAGGCACTTAACCCTAATTGCTCCTGAAAATCGCTCTGGATATGAGCGTCTGCTAAATGACTAAAATCTAAATAGAAGAACACGAAATGCAGCTAGTTTGCTGTCATTCCAGGTTCAGTTTGAAGTGATTGCGTTGGCCATCTCTTCTGAACAGTGGCCTGGCGAGAGAGCAAATGTTCTATGCCAGGCGAAACCGCACATCATTAGCTTATTGTTATGGATGTATCCCCCAAAAAATCATTAGAATACAGTTTAAACGCAAATGAAGCTACTTTCCTGTTATTCTGGCTGCACTGTTTGACGTGACTGTTAGCCAAAGTTGGCTAGCTTGCAAGCAAGGGATAAGAACATAGCCAGCCATCATTGCAATGGAACATTTAGAACGAACGACTGGGTCGCATCCATAGATTTAGAAAATAAAGACTTAATGACTCTGGCAACTGAACCGAGAGAAAAAAAAAAAAAAAGTTATTAATTAAAATATGTCAATTATTATTTGAATATGTTGGCAACCCGTTGTATAAAAGTGATAATGCCCCAGAAGCCGGTGTTCTGATGATATATTGGCACGGTTTGCCTGCCCGAGACGAACATCGTGCCAATATATCCTCCAAACACCAGCTCCGCATTATCACAAATTTGCTAAACTTGTCTGTTCAGTAGCAGGGCAAGACTCCGTGAAGATGACATATGGCTTAATGAAACACGCCACGATGTAATACTCATCATCAACATCTTTAAAGGCATCTCTAAATGCATCTGCATGCTTCCCAGCCAAAACAGTTCGGTAGAGGTCGTGCATATATTATGACGACATTTTGTGACGTTTTTGTTCGTTTTGGACTTTGCTGACGGGTTTTTCCGCTGTTTGGGCATTTTTCTGGAGGTAAACCGAAGTTCAGAGCTGAAGTCTACAACCCTTCATCAGTGATTGGTCAACAGTAGGGATTCTTCAATAAAGTCTTTGTTGTCATTGAACAAGAGACCACTCGTTTCATGCAGTTTTTCACTGAAGAATACTGAACCAAACATCAAAATTGCGCGACGAAGATAAAATTAATGACCGATTTTTTGAGTTACCTTAGATTAATTAGGACTATTTTGAAGTGTATAGTGGCTACGGCGTCGCAAAATGGACAAACAGTACTATTGACGCTTTTTCTAGTTTTTCAAGCGAAGGTCTTTTAAGGGAGTATGCGAGCAAACTCGTTCGGTTCGGCTAGCCGCCAGCCGATCTGAAGTATGCTGACGCCTTAACGCACAGATACTGGGGCAGCATTTCTATTTCAAATAAGTAGGCATATTGATGCAGTTTATTTTGATGCATGATGATTTTCTAAAAATGGAAAACTATGAATGATTACCAAACTATGGAAACGTCCGTGCTTGCTGATAATTAATGTAAAAAAAAATTGACAACAATTGCAAGTTGCGTGCGTGCGTGCATCACACCACAGAATGAAAATTCGGTATATGGTAGCCTACCACAAACTATACAACCGACCCGCCTCCCCCCTTTCTCGCCTCTCCTCCTCCTCTTCTTCTTCTTCCTTACCTCGGCTAAAAAAAGGACAGCTTGTAGTTTCTTGATTGTTGCTCCGGTCATATAAAAGGATAAGACTAGGCTATATATAGGTTATAGCATGGATCTGGATTCAGGCTAGGCTATTTGGGATGCGATCATTCAGATAACCTAACATTGTTGCATTAGGCCTGCTCCCTAGCTGATTGACAGGCTGTTAGGCCTACATAGGCTAAACATTGGTTTACAAGCTCCATATCCAACAATTTATAAAGAGTAGCCTAACATCGGCTACACCCCTCCCCAACTTTCTGTCTCCTGGTCACCCACCCCCTCCTCCTCCTCCTCCCTCAAGTAAACCCATTCAGCCCTAACCCTCTTGAAATACTGCCCGCTCAGTACCTATAATAATAGACATCGCTTTTCCCCGCAGACAAACCCGACTTTCTGGTCACTTCTTCAATTTGCCAGCCCTTGGGGAGAGCCGAGCACTCCCACCGTTTCTTCTCCATGTTCTCCCAGACTTTAATTCCGTTGAAGTGTTCAGTGATTGATCCTAACGTTATTATATTTGGGGTTAAATTTCGTGTTTTATACAAAGAAGTCCATTAGGCCTACTATGTGACATACGTCTCGGCTCACACACTATTCATGGCTCTCTCTCTCCCGATTTAACGCATCTCTTTGTCTTACAGAAATAATATCGCTCCGCCGTAACTCAGCCACATCACTGCCTGCCAATGAGGGCTACATCCGCAATACATTGGACAGTAGGCAACACATTATTGCATCCTGATCCGATAACATAAATAATTGATTTGTCGCGCGCGGTAGGCTACCGCAAGTCACACCATTTCGCTCCAAAAGTTGTGCATTATATATCCCCAAAATAGCTATAGATGACCATAATATGATTTCACAACGTCAACCATGTAGATTATTTTGTCAAAAATTAATGTCACTGACTATAGGTGAAATTCAAGAATGCATTGGGAGTCGTTTACATCACGACAATGCTCACTTGTCATTCAGTCATTGGACAAAGTAGGCCTAGGCAATACAATACTTTAATTGAGTTTTGATTGGGCTAGCTAGGCCTACATTAATTATAGGAGTTGTCTGAAAATATTAGGTATAAAACAATGATCTATTAGATATCGCATATAGGCCTACCTATCACTGCATTTGATGGAGCATAACCGGTACTAACGAATAATAACGAATTACTCGTCTTATTTTGAATAAATGCATCGCTTTCAGAAAACGTAAAAACTGCAACACCAATAAGAACAGTGTGTAACTAAATTTGGAATCCCACAACACTGCCTAGTTATGGTTTGCAGACACTCGAGACCACCGAAACGCCTCCCACACGAGAACCTAAACCCCTCGATGATTAATTTTTTATTTTGCAACAATTCTTTGCTAACATAACACATTCTATGTCAAAGACAGGAAAAGCAGCAATATAGCTCGGTATTCTTCTTCTTTGTTGGGTACTTACTCGTTTTTGTCCATCTCGCATACTATCTCGGTTTCTCTCTTTCAGTCTGTGTTAAATCCCTTCTACCTTCTCCTCTTTCATTCCCCTCCCCCTTCGATTATAGAAATTAAAGACATCCGCGCAAAGACAGAATCGCTCCCAGATTAAACCTGACTGGTAATAAAAATCAAATTAAATCAAAGTTTATTGGTCGCGTACACAATTTAGCAGGTGTTATAGCGGTGCAGCGAAATGCTTATGTTACCAGCTCCTAACAATGCAGTCAAATGTCAAACAATAATACAAAATAAAAAAGGCAAGAAATCAAGAATGGCGGTACGAAGCTAATGAACAACTCAAATAGCACTGTAGCAGTGTCAAAATGCAATATATTCATATGTACACCGGAGGAATTTACAAGATAAACTAAGAATGATATGTACAGCAGTATAATAGAGTGAGCTATGTCAAGAATCCAGTATATAAATACATATGCGGTGTATAAACAGTGTAACTAAAATACAATCTACAGTAGTATTAGAATAAGCTATGTAGGTGATAAAGTATTTGTATACAGTATTTGTATTTGTGTGAAACAGGAAGTGAGTAGTTTAATGTTTCTATAACATGGAACAACATGGGACAGCAGCGTTGGCTGTGAGTGTGTGTGAGATAGTTTGTGTGTGTGTTTTGTGTGATCTAATGTGCATCCGGCAGTGTGGTCCCGCTGATTTGTTGGGCTGTCCGCACCACCCTCTGGAGAGCCATGCAGTTGAAGGCGGAGCAGTTACCATACCAGGCGGTGATGCAGCCTGACAGAATGCTCTCAGTGTTGCATCTGTAGAAGTTTGTGAGGGTCTTAGGGGCCATGCCGAATTTCTTCAGCCGCCTGAGGTTGTAGAGGTGCTGTTCTGCCTTCTTCACCTAAATGATGTGAACGTCGAAGGAACTTGAAGCTTTTGACCCTATCCACTGCGGCCCTATCGATGTGGATGGGGCCATGTGCCCTCTTCTGTCTCCTGTAGACCACAATAAGCTCCCTCGTTTTGTTGACGTTGAGCCCAAGGTTATTTTTCCTGGCACCACTCCGCCAGGGCTCTAACCTCTGCCCTGTAGGCTGTCTCGTCTTTGTTGGTAATCAGGCCTACCACTTTCTTGAATCGTCAGTGAACTTGATCATTAAGTTGGAGTCGTGCGTGGCCACGCAGTCATGGTTGAACAGGGAGTACAGGAGGGGGCTGAGCACATACCCCTGGGGGTCCCCCGTGCTGAGGATCAGCAAGGCGGCGGTGTTGTTGCCTACCCTCACCACCTGGGGTCGCCCCGACAGGAAATCTAGGATCCAGTTGCACAGGGAGGAGTTCAGACCCAAGGTCCTGAGCTTAGTGATGAGCTTGGAGGCCCCTATAGTGTTAAAGCTGAGGTGTAGTCGATTAACAGCATTCTCACATAAGTATTCCTCTTGTCCAGGTGGGATAGGGCGGTGTGCAATGCAATGGCGATTGCATCGTCCATGGATCTGTTGGGGCGGTATGTAAATATTTGTGGGTATAGGGCACGACAACACCCTCAGATTCTCAAAAAGTTCTACAACTGCACCATTGAGAGCATCATGACTGGCTGCATCACCGCTTTGTATGGCAACTGCTTGGCATCCGACCTCAAGGTGCTACAGAGGGTAGAGTGTAGTTTCCATTCTGATGACCAACCGGTTTTTCCATCCTGCTTACTCTACCTCCTTAGAAAAAATTGCTTTACTTTTCTGATGTTTTATTGTGCGTGCAGCTAAATGTAAGTGCCAAAATCCTGATGTCTTGTTGTTTGGAGCTAAATAGTGTCTGTTGTAAAAATGTACCATTTGTGTTAAACTTGCTAGCTAGCTAGCTCGCGTACTCCCGCTAGCGTTAGCATTAGCATTGTCATCCGGAATGCATTACTATTTAGCATGCTTATTAGCATTTCTCTGTGGTACTAGGCTATTTTTGTTTGTAGATCAATCATGCCTATTATGTTTTATAATGTGTAGATATTTCTACATTGCTCTGTTTATTTGTGCATCTAGCATGTGTTTGGGTCCACATAGCCTGCTTAGTTTGTTGTCATGCAAATAGGCATATTTTCCCATACTGTGCTAACTTTTCCCCTTTTCTTTACAGAACCACAATGAGTATCAGATAGAGTGGTGTTGTGTGTGTGTGTGTGTGTGTGGATCTTCATTAAACCTTTGAACTGGAACTACTGCTTCCTCCACACCCTGTGGTGGTTGCTACAGGCCTAAAATCCAGCACCTTCGTTTTTTATCCATTTTTATTGGTCCGAATTCATAAACAACCCATATTGTTCATGGTCCTTCGAGCCGGATGCAGTAACTGCCAGAGCCCAAGGATGCCAGACACCAGAGAAGATCCTCCACAAGTTGTGGTTCGCCCCCGCCGTCAGACTCGACCCCCACATCGTCTGGTCGAATATGAGGTAAGCTACGAGTCAAGGCAGACACCACACACAACAACACACCACTCCAACAAGGGACCACGAGCAGAGGGCGCTGTAAGAGGAATTAATTACTCTCACAACAAGACCAGCAGCAGCTACCCTCCTGCACGAGATGAGAGAGAAACACGTTCTTCTTCCAGAACAGTCGTAACGTGCCTGAAGCTGATAGGAGAGGAAACTGGGAAGTTGACACGGGAGATACTGGAGATATCGGAAGAGCTAAATTCATCCACTTCAATGCGTCCCCAACAGTTCAAGTTACTACCCAGGCTAATCCGCAACAGTGAGGACGGAGCCTCACCTTCATTGGTTGCCAACTCACCGGCCCCCCATAGCAGGTGCACCTCGACTAGAGATTGTCATCAAAGTCAGCCTAAGCGGGCACAGCTGGTGACAACCAGAGATGATAAACTGCAGTCACAAAGGCAGCGTGATAAGATAGAGCAGCGCATTGAAAACCTTGGGATCAGAGGGCTCTCCTTCTCAGACCAGTCATCCTCATCATCTACTCATTCAACCCCTCGCCGTCGCGAAACCAGTCGTCTTCTCATTGCAGGACTTGTAGCCCTACAGCACCACCTAGAGGGCTGACTTCACATAATCGCCTACGTCAGCCCTCACCTAACCGCTGTGGTCAGCCTACACCTGATCGCCGTCGTCAGCCCACACCTGATCGCCACTGCCGCGACCTGAACGCTCCACCTGACCATCGCCGCTGCGATTACTCGCCTGACCGTCACTGCCGGGCCTACTCACTGAGCCTACTCACTTGATTGTCGTCAGCATTCACCTGTGCGCTACCGCACACCTTCTCCACCCAGCCGGGAGCGCGCCTACCGTGGACCAACTCCTAACATCCCCAACTTCATCAATGAAGACCAATGAGAATTTGTAAGGCTGAAGGTGGCCCTCGACAATGTGCTGCCTGTAGATGCAACAGAGTTTTTCAAGATTCCGATATTGGTGGACCACCTGAAGTTGGAAGAGGCTTTGCTAATTGCAGACTCCTACAGCAACAGCAGGTGATACAGTGACACCATGGAGTCCCTCACAGAACTATATGGCCAGCCCCACCAGCTTGCCCTCCAATGCATTGCAGGGTTAATGGATGGCCCAAACATCAAGAGTGGTGACACCAAGGCATTCCAAAGATTCGCTCTGAGGATGCGTGTCTTGGTTGGCATGTCAGATCAGCTAGGGTGTAATGGAGAGACAGAATTGAGGTATGGCTCACAAGTCTCCCGCCTCTCAGCTAAGTTACCACACAAGCTTGTGTGTCATTCTCTGTGGCCTCTGTTACTCAACCAAACAGGTCCTTCGACATCCACAGAGCCTTCACAGCTGAAGAGTTGGGACTCCGCATACCTACCCTGTCGAAGCCCTTCAGAAAACGTATTGGCACCTCGTAGGCCTTCCCCTTCAACCACTGGATCAGTCGCAGCCACTACTGCTCATCGGATCAGACTATCCCCATCTGATAACCCTGACAAAGCCAGTGCGTTTGGATCCAGACTTACAGTGAGGGAAAAAAGTATTTGATCCCCTGCTGATTTTGTACGTGTGCCCACTGTCTGCAAAGAGGAGTGGGACAAAATCCCTCCTGAGATGTGTGCAAACCTGGTGGCCAACTACAAGAAACGTCTGACCCAACAAGGGTTTTGCCACCAAGTACTAAGTCATGTTTTGCAGAGGGGTCAAATACTTATTTCCCTCATTAAAATGCAAATCAATTTATAACATTTTTGACAT